CACTTTAAGAACCCTGGAGGGATCACGTTCCTTGAGTTCGGTGGATCCACCAGGCATAAACCAGACCACAGACAGAGACTGTTGGTAGCCTTGAAGCCTTTATTAAGGCTTGTAAAAACATTTAAAAGAAAGTATTAAAATCCTTGGAAGGTTCTCTGTAATGCTTTAATCACTTAGCGTTTCTTCCCCTTTTGCATTCTTGACTCGCCTCACACATAACACATTTGTCTCCGTCCCCGGAGCTTTGTTAAAAGCTGAGCATTTGTTTTTTACTCTACTTGAGAAATAAAGGCTTCACAATTCTTATATTTTTGTCCTAAGGGTTCACCTGTTTTGCGCACCAACTTCTTGGGTTGATTTATGTATGGAGATATTCGCTTATATTCTTTGTTGGCTGCTGCCATTTTGTCACAATAAGCACACATTGATTGCTATTTACTATTGAATTGCACTTTAAATTGATAGGTTACACTGTTATTCTTGCACTTTGCTCATATATACAAAAAAAGTCTTCTGTTGTGCACAAAATATTTTGCACATTCAAGAGACATCCAAATATTTTGCACTTTAAAGGGATATACACCTAATTTTTATTTCACTGCTTTTTTTTTTAATATTGTTTATTTGTAAGCCCATGTTTTATCCACCTATTGTTTTTGGTTGTTATCTGACGTGGGATACATGTTCATATTGATATTATTGTTGGTTTTGTTTTTGTGTTAATTATTGGCAGTGTACTAGCACTAGCTCGCTGAGTCTTATGTTAGTCATTCTGGTTATGTCAGACTTTTTCTGAATTGGAATGTGATGGAAACATGTGAAAGCAGGGTTGATAGATGGCTTCTTTAGATACGGATATCCTGTAATTGAATTATGGTTCTTATCTGATCTCCTATTACTGGTTGAGAATTTGTAGTTAAATATGAAGTTGTACTTATTACAGAGAAACACATACACTAATCCTTGCTATTATGCTCTAAGACACTACAGCAGCGTGCCTACTTTATATTTTGCCCTCCTGGGGTGGAAAATGTGAGGAATTGGTTTTTCCATTTTCTTTTCTTTTTCTGTACATGCTTGAACTCTGCACCTTAAAAGAAAATCCAAGCCTGTGAGCTGGGATATAGGCAGTTTTTGAACTGCTCTCAAATCAATCCTTCTTCTTGGAGGTTGTTTTCTGCTCCTTTCAAAATAAGGTAGAGGCAACATTTGTGTATACCAAGTAATCTACCTCTGAGTCTGAATGTTGGTGCACTCTGTGTAGGTACAAGCTCCCATAGACTTTTTTTTTTTTTTTTTTAATAGTCTAATTTATAGGCAACGCTATTTTGCCTAGGCTTTTTGCCACCTGGTAACTGGAATGGAAATGGTTTTGCATGGTTTGCTCTACAGGCCCCCAAGTTCCTTCTGTGCCTCATTCAAACATCTGCTTCATGTCCTCCTGCCTTCTCACCCATGTTTCCTTTGATGCCCTGTTAAACATTCTCTGAGGTTTTTATTCTTTCTTCTCTATATAAACTATTGGGTTTTTTTTTATAAGGAAGTTTAGAAGTTTTCCAGACAAGTGTTTGAGACAAAGGTTTACACAAAATGAATTGATCAGAAACATAAGCGTGGAAGATGTCCAAAATAATACTGTTTACTTTCTGCCCTTCTTTTTAGACTGATGTTTCAAATGTTGAAAAGGTAGTACAGGCTTTTATCCAAATTTCTTCAGTGTACAGAGATGACCATGCAGTGAAGTCTGCCGTTGAAGAAACTGTTGGTATGTGTCTTATTTATTTTATTTATTTTTTCCTAATTTTCCCTAAAGTGTGTGTTTATGCATTTGTTCAATTCTCTTTTCTAGATGGATTGATGAAGAAGGCTTTTGGGAGCTCTATTTTCCAGCCTGATGTATTCATCACAAGCTTACTTGTGCAGATGGGTCTTCTTAAGGTAAAGTACAATTAATTATGGTTAAATATGGTCCACTTGACTTAGTGCTCAGAACATTTCCACCTAATTGAAATATTATTAGAATTCATATATTATCTACAACTAAAATGATTTGTGTCACTGAGGCTTTAGGTATGCAATACCCAAGAGCAAATATATTGTTTTGTTCATTTGGAACGACCGAATACGGATTTAAATGTATTATTTTTTTTATTTTTTTTAAATCAATAAGCCAAAATATAGAATGGGTCTTGCAGTTTATCATTTGACTCTGTAGCTCTCAAGTTTATTTGGATTAAACAACTGTATTCCTTGGTCAGTGGACCCTGAGGGGGTCATCCTTTTGTCACAGAGTTCTCTTCAGTGTTACTTATATCTAAGTCTGGAAATGTAAATTATTTGATTAATGCCTAAACATCAATTTCCCCTGTATCTTATTTTTCGTGATAGGTTGTTATAGACTTTTTTTTTTTTTTAATTGTGGTCTTCTATGCTGCTTAAATGTAAGAAACCCCGGATTGCTGAGCACTATATCTAGATTTCCAAATTTTAGGCTAGCTATGTCTACAGCAAAGCTGAGAATGTTTTACCAAATATGCTATTTTGTCCAACATTTTACAATTAGGTTTCCAATTTATTGCAAATCACACAGTGTAGCGAAGCTTCAACATTTGAAATTTACATTTTCATTTCACCTGTTTGTTTTTTAATTAATTTGAAATATATGCATTAGTGTTGGCCCTTCTATCAATAAATCTGAAACTATCTTAAACATATTTTCTGTTCTGTGCAGAGTGAAGACAAGATTAAAACTATCCCACAGTTGAATGGTCCATTACTGACCTTGAACCATGTAGTACAGCAGGATTATTTCCCAAAGCCCCTAGCTCCTATCCTTCTGGCTTTCATCTCAAAGTAAGTAACACCTTCCTAAAGGATGTTAAAGGAACACTCCAAGCACCTAAACCACTGCAGCAAACATAGCTTGTTGACAGAGTTTAACCCCTTAAGGACCAAACTTCTGGTATAAAAGGGAATCATGACATGTCACACGTCATGTGTCCTTAAGGAGTTAAGCTGATGGTTCTCAGCCACCAAGCTAAACCCTGCACCTCACATGTCTTTGTTACCTCATTCAAAAATGGTTTGCCTACTTAAAATGGGGAGTATCAGGGCTCTCCTCGTGGTTTTTCTTAGACTGTTCCTTTTTTTTATTTTTTTAATTCGGACTGTTCCTTTTAAATCATAAAAAATGGTTGTATTGTCCAGGTTGATTTTAAATTAATTTTAGTAGGAACCTATAACATAACCAGATTATCTCTTTGTTTATGTATTGTGTAACAAACCTTGTATATTAATGACCATTTATTTATTTTGTGTTTTTATGAAATACTTTTAAGTAATTTTACTTTCTTTGCAGGCCTAACCGTGCCCTGGAATCCAACCCCCTATCTCGACACGCACTCCTTCAAACCCTCCATAACTTATAATTTGTTCCTACGTGCCCTGGACCATCCAACACACGATCTTAATCCCACTGGTGAGAAGGGGATTTAATACAAGAACCTATGTAGGGAACTCCAGAACATTTATCTGGAGGGCATTTCCTTCTTCTCCCTAACCGTTTGCCAGTCTTTTTGTTTACATCCATTGAAGAACAGCACTTCCCTCTCTATCCTATTTGCTGACGTGGCTAACTTCATTTAAACCTCAGGAAAAGCGGAAAAGGAAATCAGAACTCATAGGGGATCCCTTGTGGATGTGTTTTGTGCCCACATATGACTCTGTTGTGTGATGCACTACCATAACAAGAATGTTGTCCCTGCCAATAGACTCATTAAGATAAAGTAGCGGAGCAAGAATATTATGAGTGCAGAACAATAGGTTCCAAAATGCAGGATGCATGGGAAATTTTATATACATATATATTATACCTTAAACATTGTATCCTTCCCAGTCAAGATACTTGATAGAACTTTGTATATATTAAAAATAAGAGGGAAGGTGAAGAGTCCACATTGCGTTAGAAATTGTATCCTAACAGAATGTAAGTTTAATATTTCTATTCTACTGAAATGGATAACATTGGTTTAAAGTAGTTTGAGTTGTTCATATTGACCTCCTCTTGTAAAACGAGTGGTTACTTTGACAGTTTCATTCTAATCTGCACAGTAATGCTTTTTGTATTTGTACATTAAAAATGTATGGTGCATAATTATATTCTAAAAAAAACAAATCTGGGTTTGGTCCATTCCAAATATGGTACATTTCTAGTTGAATGCAATGTCCCTAGGTCAAAAATAAAATTTGGTTTTACATGAACAAGCTAACTGCAGAGGTGTTATGTCTTAGAGTTGTAGTGCTAGCTGTAATTATTTAATTCTGAAAATATGCCCATGCTATTAGTTTTGAACTTTCCATAACTAAAGAAACACTATAGTCACCAGGACAACTACAGCTTATTGTATTTGTTCTGGTGAGTAGAATCATTCCCGTTAGTCTTTTTGCAGTAAACACTATCTTTTCAGAGAAAATGCAGTGTTTACATTACAGCCTAGTGATAACTCCACTAACCACTCTGCAGATGACTACTAGAGGTGCTTCTTGGGTCAGTGCTGCAGTGTGCCCTCTGTATGCAGACACTGAACTTTACTCATAGAGATGCATTGATTCAATGGATCTGCGGAGATGCTGATTGGCCCGGGCTGTGTTTGGCTTGTGCTGACTCTGCCCTTTACCTGCCTGTTTGACAGTCTCAGCCAATCCTATGGGGAAGCATTGTGATTTGGCTCACAGGATTACTTCTGATGATGTTGGATATGTAGCAAAGTCAGGTGCCGAGCCAGCAGCTGCAGACTTGAATACAAGTAAGATTTTACTATATTTAGGGACGCAAGGGTCGAAGGGAATACATCTTTGTGTACCTGACCCTATAGTGTTCTAGAGTTTGGCTCTTAAAACCTGTAATGTTGCAGTTTGCTATATCATGGAGATTTTTTTTTTCTTTTTTATATTCAACTCAAGAGTGTGAGAAAACCTATCCAAACAGTACATAGTGGGACATGAAAATGCAGACATTAATACATAGTGTCCAGAAAAATTAACCTGTGAGTTGAGGTTTTATAGAGACTATAACCATCTTATTGAATTCGTTGTAGTGCGTGAAGTCCCCATTTTTGAGCAGTTTAACATTGAATGATAGTCACTGGCCACACACAACCAAGCTACCATTGGATGTATGGCTAAGGCAGATATTACACTCATACATTTTCATTTCAATTCGTACTAGCACACGGTGGCAGTGATAGCCAGGAATTATGCGCGCTTTCGTCCGGTCACATTATCTGAAATTTATGATTTCAAATTTGTGTGTATTGACTGGGATATTGGTTAGACATCTTTTAGGAGGATAGTTAGAAAATGTGTTAAAGGGATTTCTTCAAAAATTTCTATATAAATGAGGGGTAAGAAAAGGTTGTATATTTATAAAGTTATTTATTTTTTTAAATTACGTGTACATTTATCTATATGGAGTGCCTCAAAATGTCCACTCAATTACCATTTTTGAATTCAAATAATCCCTTGTGAGTGTGCCATGGACCAACCTTTAGGCCTCTTTAGTAATGTATTGCTTGAGCCCTGTATATGGTATTCTCATGTGACAACTCTCCCCAAGCCTTAGATAATACATTTTAATTTATATAACGTATTTGCTGTTTCAACACTTTATTAAAACTTTCAGGGATTTCCATTACTTTTTTTTCACCCAAGGTAAGCATTGTAAAATAGACCATTTGTTCATAAATCTGCCAGTGTAAAATACTACAATCTCATAATACGCTGGGATCAGTAGTAAAAAATATTCGTACATTTGGTAGAAATTTAAAATACCCCATACTTTGGAACAGATGAGGGCATTGGTTCGGCCAAGGTACAGTCCATCTTTTCATTATTGATTTCCCATACACTTGATGCAGTGACATAAACTTGTCTATCCTCATCTGTGTTCTCGTTCACAGTGGATAATTTATATGGGTCAGATTCTTGCCTTTCTCTGGCCTCATCTTCATTGTAGTAACGTTGGAAACTGATGGTGCTTGGCCGTAGGGTGTATATAATGACTATGGCAACTACAACTAGCACTGCCACACCTATGGACATCCCTACGATCACAAGTGGAGATGTTGTAGTGTGGTGTGGAGAATGGACTTGATGTGCCTGCTCAGGAACTCCACCTGTTTTACCAAGGCCGCACTGCTGGTCTTTTGGGCTAACACATTTCAAGTTGTAATTGTTTGGGGGCACAATGCAGACTTTATACGTAGTACCTGGATCTAAACTGAAGAGTTGAGCTTGCTTGATATCCCCAATAATAAGCAGTGAAAGTTCACCCTCTGAAGCATTGTAACGCAAGTCAACCTGTTCAATGTCCCCAGTGACTGACCATGACACTGCAAGAGTTTCGTCCCCCAAAGCTCTAACCAACACATTAGAAATCTGATGAGAGAGACATGGATCAGGTAAATCAAATTCCACATTACTCCAAGCTGTAGAATGAGAGACATGTTTACTAGAGGATGTTTTGAATGCCATTGTGGTGACTGCCACGGCTGAGATAGATGGCTCTGTCATTCTGCTTTCAAAAAGGGTAACGGGAACTGTAGTCTTAATGGTTTCTCCGAAAGCTGGACAGGTAAGCATAGATAACTGGATTTAAAAAAAATAAAAAAATTTAATTGAAGTCTCCACACATTTGGTTCAATAGCACAAAAACCAATTCTAAGTACATGCAATAACATCAGTGTGAAGTGAAACATCAATGCATTTTTACTTTGAAACAATTTGGATTCCACACTCCACAAATTAAATGTGGATATGTCACGAGGAAACCTGTATTAGGAGTGTATTGATAATAACTGCAAAGTAAGAGGATAACGGTCACCAAAAACTAACTACAGGAAATTGAGGTTTAAAATCTACTATGAAAATACTGCTCCAAATCTCTTTCAGATTCATAACTTGTGGAGTTACATTGTAGGAGGGAGGCAGAGTTCAGATGCTGAGGGGGCAAAACGGTTATGGGTGGCGCATGGTTTCAGTGTGACAAATCTCATGATGGTTAGTTAGATGTGGAATCTGACCAAAGGAGCTGCAAGTTGGGTGCCAATTAAGAGTCCGGGGAAGATCTGGAGCAGTATTTCACAAAATTTCAATATACATGTTGTAGACGTTTTCATACTATATTTCAAAATTCAGAATTAATTTTCTGAAAGTCAGTTTTTGGTGACACTTGACCTTTAAGAGAGAAAATACCAATCTGTACACTGCAGTAACACACTAAGAGTGATGTGTTAACATTAAATCGCCATCCAGTGAGAGCAAGTTTCATATTGGTAATGCGGACATTCAAATTCCACATTATGAATGTAGCTGGCGAGAGTGAAGGCATGTATATCGTGGTTGTTTATGGTGAAATGTAAGGAGAGATTTATAGATATGAGTGTCTAGAGAGTCTTATATGAGACTGCTTCTTCAAAAGCCAGCAAATTGCTATTAACTATAAAAATAATATTGTTGCTTTATAACTAGATTGCATTATTTTTCACCAATGAAGCAGTTTTAGTGTATACATCATGCCCCTGTAGTCTCACAGCCCAGTTCTCTGCTATTTAGGAGTTAAATCAATTTGTTTATGTGACCTGCACAGCCTTCCTAAACACTTTCTATAAAGAGACCTAATATTTAAACTTTTAACTTAGATTTATTGCACAGTCTGTTTAATTTAGAATTTCTAATCTCCACTGTTAATCACCTATTAGACTTCCCAGGAGTCAAGGAAGTTAATCTCTGCTTAAAAATTAAAGGAACTCTCCAGTGCCAGGAAAACATATCAGTTTTCCTGGCGCTGCAGGTTCCTGCAGTGCCCCTCTACCTCCCACAACCCTTCCCATGTTGCTGAAGGAGTTAAAACCCCTTCAGTGACCTATCTGAATCCAGCGCCGATGTCCCTTGGCGCTGGGTCAGGCTTCACCCACACTCCTCCCCTGCTGGCATCAGGGGAGACTTGCCGCGCGCATGAGACCACTCCATAGGAAAGCATTATTCAGTGCTTTCCTATGGGGATTCCTGCGATGCTGGAGGTACTCATGCATAGCGTGAGAACGTCCATCGTCGATTAAAACACTTTTCGTGTTTTAAGAAAATGGAAGTCCCTCTAGTGTCTGAGAGACAGCCACTAGAGGAGGACTTCACCCTGCAAGGTAATTATTGCAGTTTATAAAAACTGCAATAATTACACTTGCAGGGTTAAGTTAAGGGTGAAAGGAGTTGGCTCCCAGACCACTTCAATGGGCAGAATTTGTCTGGGTGCCTTCAGTGTCCCTTTAAACCATTGATCAATGTAGGCTGGGACAGTTACAGCCAGAGGAGGTGGGGCTAGGGCTGCATAAACAGAAACAAACGTGATTTAACTCCTAAATGGCAGTTAATTGAGCAGTGAGGCTGTAGGTGCCATATCTATATACCAAGCCTGCTTTTTAAAGCAGTTTTGATGCCCGTAGTGTCCCTTTAATGTGGCACTCCAGACAGCATAAACACTACAGCATTTTGCAATGGTTATGTTGCAAGCAGTCTGTAGGTAGTAACCCCCATTTCTCTGAAATACCCGTGTTCACCCAGAATCCAAAGAAAAACTCTTTACCCATAAAAATCTGTCAAACCTCGAATGACAGGCTTTGAATTTTGGATAAGTATGTCAACACCATTTATAAAAAGAGTGCTTTAAAGGGACAATGTATTCAGCAGAACCACTATAGCTTAATATAGTGGTTCTGGTGTCAATAACATGTCCCTGCAGGCTTAGTACTGTAAATACTGCCTTTTCTCAGACCGCCACTATAGACGTTTCCGGTCAGTGGCAGAACTACCATGGTCATAGGGGTTACAGTTGCGACCGGTCCTATAACTCCAGGGGATCCAGCTGCCCTGTTAACCCCTGCTGGTGCATCTTCTGTCTGTGTCAGTGGCGAAACGGTCGATATTGTGGCCCAGCCCTGGACTTCCTAATTTTTAAGTTACTGACAGTGGGGGGTTGGCGTTTGTACTGCTCAGTCCACCCCAGCCCTTTTCCTGTCGGTCCCCACAGTCCAGTCTTCGGGAGCAGAAGGTGCACACTAACGAAAGAAAACTCAGTGTGCAGCTTCAGCTGTCAGACGAGAGTCAATGCGGAGACTGGGCAGTGGAGGTAGACAGCAGCGGTGGAGGTATGATTTGGTGTCAGCAATTGCTTTTTGTCTATTCTCCCTTATGTGAAAGAGGGAGAGGTTGTAGCCACAGGTCCAGCTTTCAAGTAAGGGAATTTTTTTATTTTTTTTAATAGTGTGCCTGTTCGTGTGTATGTACCTGCGTGTGCCTGTTACTATGTGTGTCTACCTGGTTGCTTGTGCACCTGTTTCTGTTTTGTAAATATTTATTATTGTAAAGCGCTGCAGAATAAACTGGCGCTATATAAATACCAATAATAATTACACACTCAGCTAACTGCAACATACTTATATTCGGCAAGTCCCACATATATACACAATTCCAAGCCCCTCTTTGAATCTTGCACAGGGATCTAGATCATCCTAGTTACGCCACTGCTTCCTGTCCCTGTAGGCTCAGCATTGCAAATACCTTTCTGTGAAAAGGCTGTGTATACACTGCTGCCTAACTAGTGACTCACTCAGGCAGCCTCTAGTGGGGACTTCCTGGATGAGATCCTGCAAAGCTTTATTTACCGTATATACTCGCGTATAAGTCGACCTGAATATATGTCGGGACCCCTAATTTTACCCCCAAAAACTTGGAAAACTTATTGACTCGAGTATAAGACTAGGGTGGGAAATGCAGCAGCTACTGGTAAATTTCTAAATAAAATTATATCCCCCCAAAAATATATTAATTGAATATTTATTTACAGAGTGTGTGTACGAATGCAGTGTGTGTGTGTATATGAGTGCAGTGTGAGTGTGCTTGTGTATGTGATGCAAAGCCTCGGTGGGGGGTGGGCATTTTTATAAAATTTTTTTAATTCTTTTATTTTTTTTGTTATATTATTAATATATATATATATATATATATTTATTTAAAATATTAATATTTTATTATTATTTAAATTTGTATTCATTTTTATTCGTCCCCCCTCCCTGCTTGTTAGCTGGCCAAGGAGGGGGGCTCTCATTCCCTGGTGGTCCAGTGGATGGGCGCTGGCAGAGAGCTGTAACTTACCTTTCCTGCAGCTCTGTCAGCTCCCTTCTCTCTCCTCTGGTCCGGTCAGCTCCATTGTAAGTCTCGCTGTGTGAGTGCCGCGCGGAGCATTGCCACGGTAACCCGCGGCTCTCGCGAGGCTGACGGGGAGCTGACCGGACCGGAGGAGAGAGAAGGGAGCTGCAGGAAAGGTAAGTAACAGCTCGCTGCCAGCCCCCAACAGGACCGCCGGGCTTGTAATGAGCCTGGCGGTCCTGGTCTGTATTATGGCAATGCAAGTTGCCATAATACAGACATTGACTCGAGTATAAGTCGAGTGGGGGGTTTTCAGCACAAAAAATGTGCTGAAAAACTCGACTTATACGCGAGTATATACAGTACTTACTTCTGGGGTTGGCAATAATCCAAATAGTTATACCAACACATTGCTTTATTCCTAACACTAGAATGTTCCTTTGAAGGAAACCTCTAGTCCAGAAAATAAAATATTTTTTGGGTCCTATAGATTCCCTTCTATCACAGTGACCACTGTCCACTGCTGATAAAACGTAAAGATTACTCCTTTCTTTCCAGTGCCAAAACTCTTCGGCTGCAACTGCTAACTCCCCCTCCGAAGTCATCAGCAAGACATCTTCCGTCCAATCCATTAGTGGATAAGATGCACTTGCATGGCCAAATGCCACACTCCCTCACTTAATCCTGCCAAGCACCGATTTTGACAGCCAATAGAGGTGTATTTAAGTCTGGTTGACGTTAGTGGTACTTTAAGCTTGGATTAAAAAAAAATAATTGGAGTCTTTTCAACCTAATATACACCACACATATTTATAGATAGAAGAATTCTGCTATATTCTTTACATCTATAGAATAGTTTGCCTAGAACATGACCATCAAACACAACTGAGCCTGTTTTGTGAGAAAGTCTGATTCAAATTGAATGCATCACTCTACTGTTTCTTTGATAATTCCTTAAAGGAGCATTATATGGTCAGGAACACAAACATGTATTCCTGACCCTATAGGGTTAAAACCACCATCTAGCCATACTGGTCCCATCATTCCTCCCTAAATATAGTAAAATCTTACTTGTATTCAAGTCTGCAGCTGCATGCCTTGTCCCTGTTTCCTTTAGACCTGCCCACTGCCTGCTGACATCAGCGGAAGTGGTAGCCTGATCCAATCACAGTGCTTCCCCATAGGATTGGCTGAGACTGACAAAAAGGCAGATCAGGGGCAGAGCCAGCACAATTCAAACACAGTCCTGGCCAATCAGCATCTCCTTATAGAGATAAACTGAATCAATGAATCTCTGAGGATAGTTCAGTGTCTGCATGCAGAGGGAGGAGATACTGAATGTTTGGATGCATTTTAGGCAGCCATGACCAAGGAAGGATCTCTAACAGCCATCTGAGGAGTGGCCAGTGAAGTTATCACTAGGCTGTTATGTAAACACTGAATTTTCTCTGAAAGGACAGTGTTTACAACAAAAAGCCTGAAGGTAATGATTCTACTCACCAGAACAAATAAGCTGTAGTTGTTCTGGTGACTATAGTGTCCCTTTAAATACAGCTAGAACATATGCAACTTTCAATTTTGTAAAATAAGTTATCGTATAACTTACTGCCAGAGTGATGAGGCTCTTACCCTCCAGTTCCTTAGGGTTCAGACATGTTGCTTGCTGTTCTGGATCCTGCTCGTTTACCAGTTTAAGTCTGGTGTGAAGTGGAATGATGGAGCAATCACATTTCCAAGGATTGCCTGTGAGATAGATTTTTGTGAAGGTCTTAAGTTGACTAGTAGAAAGAGACTGCAAGCTATTGTTCCTCAGGTCAAGAAACTCCAGTCTGTTCAGTCTGTTAAGAGACCTGACAGTCACGGTTTTCAGACCTGTGTTGTCCAAGTAGAGCTCGGTGAGAGACTTAAGCTTTCTTGAAAAGGAAGTGGTGGACAACCTTGAGATGTTATTACCACTTACTCGCAGCATCTGAAGAGCACGTAATGATCGGACAGAGGAAGGAATTTCTGTAATACTGTTCCACTCTAGGTTCAGTCTCCGAAGCCTTTTCGTGTCCGAAAAAGAATTAGAAGATATGTTGGAGATCATATTGAAACCCAGATCTAGCCGGCGCAATTGGGTTAAACCAGATAAGGATTGATCAGATAATTCACACAGCAAGTTGTAACGTAAGGACAGAGAATTGAGTTTTTTCAGGGTTGCAAATATACCTGCAGAAAGAGGACACAATGTAGTATCATTTATGAACTCTAGACATTTTTGTAGTGCCTAAGAAACTGTAATACCAAATTATGTCTGAAAAAGGAAGAAGCATTGATCCAACCTAAGCCAAAAAAAAACACTAATACCAAAAGCAATAAAAATGAGCTTACAAAACTAAAGTGCCATTCAAAAACAAAAAATTAAAATAAAAAAAACTTATAAAAGGGTGTGCAAAGTACAGACCACCAGTTAAGAATGTTCTCACTGTGAGCGATACTTTAAGTTACTGTGCACTGTCCCATAAGAGATCTCCTAGTTGTTCTTCCTTTCTATACGTTCTCACTCTGTAAAATACTACTTTGTTTACTGTTAAAATAAAACAAAAACCTGGCAGGAGGCGGAACATGGCACTGGTACAACCTGCCATTGCTAAATACTATATATGTAAGCCAGCTCTGCCAAGATTGTACCATGTCACCTACTACTACACTTGTAAAGATGACGTGTAATGTTATCTATGTAATATAATGTATTTATGCTAAAATATATTACTCTGATGAATGTAATGTCTCTATGCTAAGATGTATTAACTGATGAATGTATGATGTATCTCATCAGGACTATTGCTATAGCCATGGACCTGCAGAAATGCCAATTCTTAAATTAAGGATTTTTTTTTAATTTTCTATTTATTTATTTTTAAAGGGTGTGCAAAGACAAAGAGCATACGTGGTTGAATAATCCACTGTATTGTCCTGTATAAAAATTATATATACATATTACGGAGTGATATACAAATTACGAAAATACATTTTATATATAAAACTTGCCTATGTCATAAATGTGCAGCCTATGTTCTCTTAGTTTGCTCTTGGGCCATAATTCTAAATACAGTTCAGCTTATGTACCTGGATGCAGGTAGGTGATCTTGTTTTTGTCCAGGTACAGGTATAGCAGGTTGCTCAGATTGTAGAATGAGCCCTCCTCAAAGTAACTTAGCTCATTACTGTCCAGATACAAGTACTCAAGGCTATTAATCTCTTGGAAGGCACCGGACTGAATGATGCGAATATTACTATTGCTGAGGTGGAGGCTCCTGATCTGAGGCATGTCCTGTACAAAACTGTTATTAAGGACTGGAATGTTGTTGTTTTGCATATGGAGTTCCATTGTATTGTTGTCAAACTGAGATGGTAGCTGTGTAAGGGTGATATTATGGCACTGGATGTATTGCTGGAGAGGAAGGCAGGTACAGTGGTCAGGGCACTCAGTGATGGGAAGTGCTACAACAGAAGCCACACAGCTGACAATCACCAGTACAATCAGGAGTGAGCGTTTCTTGGTGGACAACCTGCAGAAATAAAAGTCTGAATTAAGACATACATTCATAGTCGATGTGAACATGGGTAAATACATCCAAGAATCCATCATATGGTGTAATAGTAAGTACACTCTACTTTATAAACCTCTGCTTCAAGGTTCATATCTTGGGCATCAAGTAACAAAACGTGGCTTTTAGGATACAAAAAAAAAAAAACACAGTTAGTTTTTCTGCATGTCTACAATTACAAAGCTTCTTTTTGCTTCTACTTTGCATTTAACTTATTGCTAAAGAAAATTGTTTAGTGGATACTATCATTGTTTTTGGTTTTGTGCTGTATGGCACACATCTACACTTTATTAGAAGGACCACTCATCACATAAAGCATTGCAGCTTGCTTAAGTGCTTAAAGGGACACTATAGTAACCCAGACCACTTCAGCTCAATGAAGTGGTCTGGGTGCCAGGTCCCTCAGGTTTTAACCCTTCAGATGCAAACATAGCAGTTTCAGAGAATGTTATGTTTACATTTGGGGTTAATCCAGCCTCTAGTGGCTGTCTTCCAGACAGCTACTAGAGGCGCATCTGCAATGCTGGAGGCATATTATGCCTCCATCGCGCAGAGTGTCCATAGGAAAGCATTGAGAAATGCTTTCCTATGGACACTTTGAATGCGCGCGTGGCACTTGCCGCGCATGCGCATTCGGCTCCAGTGATGCCGGACTGGGAGGAGAGGTCACCAGCGCAAGGGAGCCCGGTGCTGGATTAAGGTAAGTGGCTGAAGGGATTTTAACCCCTTCAGCGCCAGGTTTGTTTTCCTGACACTATAGTGATCCTTTAATGTTTGTATAGTATCCCTGTTTAAGTTGCATATTATAAAAGTGCCAATCTCCCTGAATCAGCTCTTTCACAATAAAGTTAGAAACACGTCCTCTGCTGTAAAACAGCCTTCTGTTGACTCCTCTGAGCTAATGGAAGTGGCAGGCGTGTTATGTTAGAGCATGGGTCCCTACCACCTATTAGTGAGCAGTTTGGGATTTCAGGTGGGCGTGGTGGTTTCTGCAGAAAATGCCCCCTCACACACTGCACCACTAACGCACACACTACATTCTTTGCACACACTGCATCACTAATGCACACACTACATTCTTTGCACACACTGCACCTCACAGACACACATAGAAAAACAATAGAATAGAAAAGAGAAACATTTTTTAATAAAATAGACAAATTTAAGTGCATACGTTTTTGTTTTTTTAAAACCCTCCTTTCAAAAAAAAAAAAAAACGCACTTGCACTATAAAATTAGTTACTGTGGCACTAGTGGGTGGTAAAGAAATTTTACCATCAACAAAGATTCGAAAGTGGGCGGTAGGTATTAAAAGGTGGACTACCCCTGTGTTAGAGTAACTATGCGTGGTCCTCCATGGCTCCTGCATCTTTGTGGCTCCTATATCCTCTCAAGCTACCCGTCTCGCTGCACACATGCACACTCATAGCTCAGAACCAGAAGACTCTGAATCATCAGTACACACTGAGACAGGGCTTGGAATAAATGGAAGGGCATATGGAGTTTGCAGACATAAGAACTGAAGCTTTTGCAAACTTTTGAAAATATGCAGCAGTAAATGCATGCTTGCTTGTTTTGGAAGTATATCGATTAAATATAGATTACATTTTTTGGTGTGGAGTTTTCCTTTAAGTAAGCAACTATCAAAATAAATAAATAAATAAATATAAAAATAAGTAGTCTTTTAGGTATTATGTTAATCAAATAAAAAATAAATAAAATAACTCATTGCACAGTGCAATACTCTGCATCTTGTATACTGGACTAGTACGACTAATCCAGTCTTTATATTATATATCACAAAAAAAAGGCAAGTGCAAACACTTTGGAACTCTCTCTCTCTCAACATTTGTGTACAAGCCCAGTTTGCTGACAGGGCAGGCAGATGAGCAACGTAATCTTAATTGCGGTCCAGAAGGTTAGACAAGGCATATCGATAAATGCTGAATGTTTTCCTGCTAAGGTCAAATGAGGTTACTCCCATTTCACAGTGAAATCATATAGAAATATATCTAGCCCCATTATCCATCTTCTATTAGATTCATGTTCATAGCCAAGCAGAACAACCTGAATTAATTGGCCAAAAAAGTTTCCAACATCAACTCTAAAACGTATATATAATGCAAGTCTGTTAAACTGGTAATACATATTCGGAGATCCAGGATTTAGATTTCACTAATGAGTCATTTAACCATTTACAAATGGTTACATCCCCAAAGTGGTCTTTGTTATACATGTTTCGCAATAAGAAGACTCTCAGCCTACCACTGGCACCCAGTCAAGGTGTCTGCATCGAAGTTTGGAAGGTGGCAGAGGGTCTTGGAGGATGGGTGCTGTGTGGAACATTTTGGGGTTATATGGTTTGTAAATGGTTTAACCCCGTAAGGTAAGACACCACCCAGGACCTACAGGGACCATAACAACTGCATTAAGATTAAAGTTCTTAAGGTGCCAAAAGTGTTCCTTTAAAAAAATAAAATAAAACAATACAGATTAAGTAACATCATACACACATAGTGGTTTTATATTTTACAAGGCTACTTAGAATCACCTATCACCCCAAACAAATATGGGGTATCAGTTTTTACCATGTTACCCTATTGTGTTAAGCTCACCACTACATGTAGAACGCACCAATATTGGGGTACTGTGACGAATTCCCCAGCTTCAGGTGCTCCTTTGGAGGTGACCACAGGAGAGTATAAATTTGAGGAGGATTTTGATAGTAATGCTACTTTAATTCTAATTTTCATTTGATATAGAGCAGATATATGATATGCATTGTTAGTATATACATCAAAGCACTTTCACCTTAATTGTTTAGTTTTGACAATGTTTTTTTTAATTGCGTTTATCACAATAATTTTGCATTATATATATTCACAATGTTGTTATAACAGATTATTAAAATGCACATTAGCTCTTTTAGCACTATTCCCATGTTAGAATTAACGTAGGATCTACCGATATTGGGGTACTGTGGCTTTGTGGTGGGCTTAACACGATACAGACATATGGTGTAACTGAATCCCCATTATGGTTTGTGGAAATAGGTCATTTTAGGTAGCTTTCTGAAATGTAAATCTATTTTTGTGTGTGCTGTTCCCTAATCTGTATTTTGTTTACATTTTGGTCTCTACAGCAGCACCATTGCAGAGAAATGCATGTTCCAGGTGTGCCCCCAATTCCCTTTTTTCAATGTTTTTTACCTTAAAAAAACTACAGCATATAAGAAAAATTATTCAGCACAGAGAAATATATAAAGTAAGAACATTTAAAATGTGTTAGTGGGCCACAAAAAATCCAACAAGACCCTAACACGAGTGGCATACATCCCTTTCGGACAAACCTTAAAATAAAAATACATATATATACTTTTTAAAGTCTACGATTTCTGAAAAACACGAATAAAATGTATTTTAAGCTTTGCAGTGTATACAGTCTTTACACAACTTCATAGTCATTTAGAATTCAGAAGAAAAATACTTACATTTTTGATGCCATGTGTCTTGTTATACTTGCATCTCTGGAAATGTTGTGAATGCATTTGCTGTAGTTCAGAAAGTGGACACAGTGGCTCGTGATCACATGACCTGATTTGAGCGATTTTGTTTTCCTGTAACATGCCTTTGTAAAAACAGAGCTGGGAGAGAGAGGATGTGTGAAAAGGATCCAATACATTTCCTGCTATTGTTGAATTTCACTTTAGTTTTAGGAAATGACACAAACTAAAGAGTTTGTGTTGGACATTTTTCCTGTTCAGCGATGTTATACTTTCTTCTGCATTATTGTTAAACGCCATGTCATTTGGAGGACATGTCATAGATTAAAGAAGCGGTTCTTAGCATTTTTGTTGTTTACATTTAATGAATTGTCTCTAAAATAGATTTAAAGATGTGTGTGGCAGCCGGCAGGTAATCTCCAAGCTAGAGGTTTTCATGAAAGAGTTATGCCACCTCTTTTTAATAAAATGTGTTTCATTTACAATGCCCTATCGCATATTAGCTATGTGGTCCTCCCTCCTTAATACCATATAAAAGAAAGAATACACTTACCTGGAATGCAGTGCCTGGCAAAGCTTCCTGCGCTAGTTTCAGCGCCCTGTCCGAAGTCACAGCCTCCCTCTCTGTGGACCTTTAAACTTGCTCATAGAGAGTTGGGAGGTAGGGGGAAAACAAAACAATGCACTAAAGGGGAGTGGGGTGTTCAAGAAGAGAGTGGATACCAAGGCTGTACCTGCAAAGAAAAAAGCTGGCACTGCACGTGCTCATGGCAGACATTTTTTTTTGCACAGAATTGACATTGGGACAAAATTCCGGTATCGATAAATCACGTGCGTTGGAAACACATACAGATTCCTACTACCGTGACCACTTCTAAAAGCAGGTACAAGTCATCATGGTGGCTGGTCATTATTAAAAAAACAGAACGATAAAAACAAAAGCTAATTTTCTTAAAATAAACTTGCATACAAAACTATATAAACTACAAATTTTAAAATTAGGATTATTCTTTTAATTTGTCAATATTGACAGGTATAACATGGAAGATTTTAGAAATTACATTTTAAAGTTCCTTTAACATCTTCTACCACATACACTGTAAATGTTAAATAGGACGATTTGAAGTTTACTCACTATATTAACTAGTACCATGATCATGACCAAGGACTACTTGTACATAAAGGGCTGTGAACTGCAGGAGGCTGGAGATATCAGTGGAGGTTTGTCAGTAGGAACAGATGGACAGCTCCCCACCAGATTATGCTGCAGTAAAAAAAACTTATTTTTTTGTTTTTTTTTCTGGTGAGCATTTTAACTTGCAAACTCACACCTTTGATTATGAATGTGTGTGGAGTAAAAATGTTAGTTTTCTCTTTAATGAGGGTCTGCTGTTTCTCTTCCCCCTTAATGATCTCTGCAGCTGTGAACAAACAAAAAATGTACAATTTTCTTATAGTACGAGCATAGGTCGCTTTGACTGGAAACCTGACCTGCCATAATGGCACCAAATTCTTCCCTTATGGTTGGAAAATGTTCCGCATCCTCAAAGTCCGTCCTGCATACTAGTCTGTCTTCTGCATTTAATGGCTGAGGACACCAGCAGTTGGAGTGCAGACAGACCTCCTCTTCTTGTACCCTGTAATGGCCATGATCTAGCACTGAAGGTACCCTGTGTATAGGAGGACTTGTAGTGCCTGTTGGACATACTCAATTGTGGCAATTTACTATGCCCAGCCAGCCTCCTCTGAGTGATGTTATTGTTCATTATGGTCCAATCCCGACAGCAGACACTTCTCCAATAATGGTGACAAGTCCTCCTGTTCCATCTCACTCGCTCCTGGCACCGTCAGTGGTAGGCATGGCACACATTATAAGACTGGTGACTATTTCAAGTGTTCCCTCCTTAAATTCAGCACAATGTGAATAAGGTATGGAGGCAGGCACTGTATCTGCCTTCATGTGTACCCTACTACTCCCATATACCATGGTGGCACACAAGATGTTTGATGGGCTAAAGTCTGTATTGGTTAGGAATATATTAATGATGGTAATGTGTCATAGTGGGTAACACATATATATTATTTTTATTATTTAAACTGTGTACTTGCCTTAAATTGATGCCCCTCCTGGCATTAGGCAGCCGGGCAATCTCCCTCATCCACCCTCTCTAAGACCGTATCACTCACTATGGTGGTAGTAAGGCACCACACTCCAACTCATTGTGTGCCTACTTCCTTCCACCTGCCCTCCTGGGCACTCTGGGGATCAGTGCATGTTAGGTATATTAAGAGGGCCATTGCTTGTCACACTGCTGTCTAGGAGCAGTCTCCCTGCCTTTATGGGTTTGCTGCTTCTAAAATAAATAAGAATAAAATAATAATTCAGTTTAGAAGTACAATATGGATTGCATGTTTAATAAAATTGCAATGTAATCCTTTAGCGACATCTAGTGGTTACTCTGTTGTACAGCTGAAATACAGCATTTAGCCTTTAAATGACCTGGCCGTTTCACTGATAAATAGCAATATCACTATTTAGTGAAAGGGAGGCATGGCTAATGGGTAGAATTAAGCTGCGGAAAGCAGAACTAATTATTTTTAAACAAAAGTAGAGAGATATTAAAGTGTGAAAATACAGAATTAATACTTAGATGTGTTGGTGTCTAGTATTCCTGCAGTGATGAGTACTGCTTTAGATATATTTGAAAGTGTTTTCGTCATAATTATTAGACATGTGCAATTCGCTCGGAATGTCAATTAGGACGAATTTCGGGCAATTCGGACATTCGCATACTTCCAAATGTCCAAATTGCCGAAGTTCCGAAAGTTCCAAAGTGTTGAAGTACACTTTACTTACTAAGTGGAAGAATGTTACACTGTATACAATTTTAAATAAAAAGTATACAAACTTGGCCAGGATTCAGCTGTAAGCAAACACTTACAACAATCAAGTAACATACATTCATATAAAATGTAAGTTACTTAGCCAGTCAATGTAATGACAGGAATGAATAAGTAGATAACTCCCTAATTCCCACGGTACTGGGAGCTATCTACTAAAAGGCTGAAAGACCTAAATTGGTCTTTCAGCCAAATTTACTAATAATAAGTAAAGATTACTTAGTATTAGTAAATTTTGCCCCTACTAGCTATACCTATTGTCCTCCCCCCTGACCCCACCCCTTAGCGGCAGGTGGGGGCCCTAAATAAAAATGTATCATTCCCCAGGTGACTAGTAATGTGTGCTACTTGATTCTTTTTTTCTAAAATCTTTTTTTCATTCCTAAAAAAAGGCCAAATAAAAATCCATAACTGTCGCACTTAGAAGAAAAAAAAAACAATAGGTCCCCCCTTATTCTAATTTAGGGCCTCCACCCATTATTTTACTTTATGGCCCCCACCTGCCGCTCAGGGGTGGGGGCCGGACAATAGGTTCCCCCCCTTATTCTTCTTTAGGGTCCCCATCCACCACTTGGGGGTGGGGGTCGGACAATAGGTCCCCCCTTTTAAGTAATTTGGGGCCCCCACCCACCGCTCAGGGGTGGGGGCCAGGGGGGAGGACAATAGGTTCCCTCCCCCTATTTTACTATAGGGCCCCCACCCACCGCTCAGGGGTGGGGGCAATAGGTTCCCCCCTTTAGGTTAAAAGCCCCCACTCATACGTCACAGGTGGGGGCTCAGGAGAGGGGACACTTTTTTTTTAAACAATGAGCAGCCACAGGCTGAATTTACGGGGCAGAATTTACGAATACTGAGTAATTTTTACTTAGTATTAGTAACTTTGGCTGAAAGACCAATTTAGGTCTTTCAGCCTTTTGGTAGATAGCTCCCTAATACCGTGGGAATTAGGGAGTTATCTACTAAGCGGCTGCAAGAGAAGTCCCTAAGTCCCGAATTTCGGAATGCCGAACCGAAATTTTTCCCCATGCACATCCCTAATAATTATGTATTTTTTTTTAGAAAACTTTGAAAAATCTATTTTAAAATTATAAAATTTTTCTTTTTAATAGAAAAAGTTTGTCACCTTAAGCAACACCAATGTGTTTTACTTTGTTTCCACAGTTGAGCATGTATGAGGTTGAGCTGCAGCATGCTGTAGTAAGCGTAGCACTTTAAATCTGTGTTTTTTGTCTGCATTTTTAATATTACTTTGTCACCACTTTCCTATTAATTTTAGGCTAAGGTTATTCCTCAAATGAGCTCTTTAGTTACCCTGCAAAGTGTTTAAAATCTTAACAGTGTTCCCCAGCAAACTCTGGTGTTTCATTTTGTAGGCTGAGAACGTGCAATATAAAATTTGTCCAGGGAGGATAATCACTTTTTTGCCATAGCTAAAGTCTAGTGGAACTGCCAAATCCTGTATGTGACTGGTACTAATTATAGTATCGATCACAATAGGAAGTCACAGTCATAAATCTGAAAGGAAGAAAGATCAGACTTGGAATGTTGATCTATGTCCCATTCATACTTAAAACTGTTATTTTTGTTCATGATCAGTAAATAGTATCAACTGCACAGAGCAGATGACAGTGATAATTTGCTGGTCTAGGGCTCCCATTGTCCTGCCAGTAACCCCACCAGGAAATTATGCTGCTTCATGAGCACAGTGAGGAGGCAAGTAGCCAGCACTGATAGAGTTCACAGAACAATAACTGACACTACCATCCGTACACTGCCTCTGATGAAGTAATGATTCCCTATGAATCATTACTACATGCTGTCATGGTGAAATGCTGCAATACAGATTCCAAACACCATAATCACTTCAAATCACTGAAGTGATCATGGTGCTTGGAGTAACCCTTTAACCACCTTCTAAAAGCAGCTCTATGATTTTGTCAGAAATGACAGGGCTAGCAGCAAAGTATCTTCTGGTCAGAAGAATCTATGTTTAGAAAGGTTATTTAGCTTACAAATACATATTTAAAAGTGATTGATTTATTAACATTTTAGAACATATATAAAAGAACCATATGTGGGGCAGGGCCTGGACGCCATTCTGGAAAGTCGCAAATCATTTGAGCTCCAGCCTGAATCTGCCTTTAAAGCGACTGAGGGTGAGAAAACCTGAATCCTGTCATACTTGTACTGGCACCCTCCTCCAGAACGTCTCCTGTGGGAGCGTTACCACGTGGCAAATCTAAAATGGCTGACAGAGGCAAGCATGAAGCGCAAGTGCCGGCACTGAGCTGGAAAGAGGGCTTCTCTGAGGCGTTTGATGCCATCTGGATAAAAACAAGGGGGTAGGTGCAGCGCTTCAGTAATCCAGTAATCTGGTTCTCTTCACATTTACCTTGTCAAGGATTACTGAAGCGCTGCACCTACCCCCTGTTTCTATCCTGTTTTCATCCAGTTTTCTGATCAGAAAAGAGAGACTCCATATTGGTGTTCAAGCTGCTTTTGGACTATTATCACTTTGCTTCCGCCCTGAATTTATTTTTGTGTGATTTGATGCCATCTGCCAGCGGTTCTGGGACCAACTAGAGAGTTGAAAGCATCAATACACACTGCTGGTCTTCAAGGCTTAGCCGGCCTCTGGGGTCCCTGCTCAGAGGCTCGCCTCCGGCCGTAGAACCGAAGGGTTTGGCGGGCAGCGATCAAGCCAGAATAGAATAAAATGTTACACATATCCTGCCTGAAGTGACGTCCGGGCAGCTGCCCATACACCGGTGGAGACAGCAAATTCATGGAGACCCAGCTAGCTCCAGGAGAAGGCGGAACTACAGACCCGAGACACCTGCCTCCTAGAGGGCTCGGAGCAGTAACTGCGGGAAAACCCAGCTGGATGGCCTGCCTCATCTCATACCATCTAGGAGAGCAGACTCCATGGTTACTCAGCCAAGTGGACTACACAACCATGTGAAAGGTACATTGCATTGCATGGTTACTCAGCCAAGTGGACTACACAACCATGTGAAAGGTACACCCAGGATGGGTATTGGCTCACAGCCTTACTTACCTCCTCATAAACTGGCCTACAATGTGGACACTGACCCCTTTGTATCTTTGGCAAAGCAGCCCTCTTCAGTCTGACCCGAAGAGGAGCCCAGCGGTTGACCAGCAACACCTTAACCTCACGCTCACACTTATTAATTGTAACATGCTATATCGTAATCTCATGTTAGCCATTTTACACCTAGCCTATATCATGCAACTAAGCTGGTTTCTCTTCTCTTACTATTTTAAAGTAAGTGGTTTAGCCAGTTTCCTTTACCTCATGTATAATATACATAACGTCAGTTGTCATGCATAGCACAATCTTTCCAGCTCCTCTCCTGACTCACACTCATGCATACTATTGTACTTAAAATACAAAAGACTGTGCAGTTTCATAGAAGACCCACTAAAGTTCTCTATTATATCTTCCACTTGTACGTGCTAAAATTACTGTGGCAAGGAAAGCTTGTATTGTTATAAGCGCACAACAACAACAACAACAAAAAAACAAAGAAAAAAAACCAAAAACATATGCACACAAATCCAGGGTGGGGCATTGTTTAACTTTGATATCCCTTTAATGAACCCAAGGTTGAGGGGTAAGAATCCCAGTTGAATCATGTCTAGCAGTCCACCAACTTATTTACTATTATGGGTAGATTTAGTGACTGGTTAAGTGGTCCCTCCTCTTTTTTATTAAATTTTTTAAACACACAAGCTTTAAAAAAAAACAAAAAACAGTTATCTGCATGTGTATGAACATATGTGTCACCAGAAATGAATGCTAAAGCTAGGCACAGGGTAATGATTACCCCAACGTAGGGTGGTTCTAATGCTACTGATAATCTGACCTATTAATGACCAAATCTTTCTCTTACACACATATACATATTTGTATGTATTAGTATACATAACATAAATGGTCTCCTACCAACTAGGGAGGTCAGATGACATGACCATTCTCAAAGTACAAAAAATTGGGAGGTCTCCACACATACCTCCTCTTCTTAGTTACGCCCTCTTGCTCTTATCAAGTGGCTTGATTGGTCCAGATGTGGTTGAACATTTGTTTGCACTAGTGAAGCACATTCAGTGTGAGGTTTTTTTTTTTTTTTTATTTCCTCATGTTTGATGGGTTAACATCTGGGTTGGTTAGAAATATATAACTGGTGGTAATGAGTCATAGTGGGTAACAGTAAATAACAGGAATATAGAACGCAGGATTTTTACCCCATTAAATCCTTAAGCAATATTTTCCAATGATTTATATTTTTTTATTTTTGCTTTACGGTCAAATTTGCCTTACAGATTACCCCAGACATTTGAAATTATGTCCTTGAATGTCAGACTAAACATGATATAAAGCCTAGCATTGTTCTTGTATCCCCTTCCTTACATTCTGTGCTGGAGGATTAAAAAAAAAAAAAAATGCTAAGAAATACTGACTGATCCGACATTCAAAGACACCTTTATAGAAGTTACAAATCAAAGAGAAGATAATTCACAGCATTCTGGTCCTTATCGGTACATCTCATTTAGAGATACAGAGTAATGGGTCAATATGGCGCGGGCAATTCTCTAGTGTCAAGTCACACACCGATCGTCATAGATACATTTAACACATTTCATGAAGCACGGTCCCTGTGTAATTAAAAGAATAAAGAGGCCATGCATTTATAGAGTCTGAAAGGTGTTGGTTCATTGGTAAAAGAAAACAGGCGGAGGAGGTAGGAGGAGGTCTTAACAAAAGCAAACTCTTCACATCGGTCTCAAAATATACACTAATTTATATATATATATTTATATATACACACAGCTGTAGTGGATTCAACAAAACAGGATTATGGAACACCCAATCCATTTGCAAATAATAAAAAAAAATAAAAAAAAAATGGGACAGATGAACTTGTGGCTGAAGACAGCCTACACAAACCATTCAAGGTTTTAATCCAGGTGGAAAAAATTAATGTCTTTCTTCCCTGGAGCTCCATTCCATCTCAATATGGTCATGTTTGTCCAAATGTCTCCCATCAGAACTTCTTACATTCAGATTGGACTGTTAACCCAAAGCATGTACTAGTATGAACATGAGATATTTTGGAGTTCTTGGCAGTAGAACAGGATAGAAAAGTGCAGTTTGGAGAGGAGCGCCATAAGGCTCCAGGAGTCTGTTCTGCAACATGTGAAGAACAAAAGTTACATTCATCATCCATCAATGTCCCAGCTGAAAAGGTGATGTTTTACCAACATATCCTGTACCCCTTCCTTCAATGGCTTTTTCTCTTTTTCCTGAGTAAGCAAGGAAAATAAAAGTCAAATCCCATAAAATTTAATTTAACTTATTGAGAAGTTAAAAGTAAAAGTCTACCAAGCCTGGACATGTTAATCAATTGTCAAAATATATTAATATCAGAGATTGTGTCACTACTCCAGTACTTTCTGCTACACACATTTACTCTTCAATGTCTGCAAAGAGATGACAATAGCCTTTATTACCCACTAATATAAAGTGCTAAAACCACATGACTGTATCCACAGAAACATTTGCAAAGGTCTATGAGATATAATATAAGAGCCCCTAGCACAGTTAAAATGTCACAAAAAAAATGTCCTAAATTTTAGACAAAGTCTGCAATAGCTCACATTCTTCAATAGAACTATAAGGCGCCCAGTTTTTTTCTTTAAACCTACCTCTTTTTTAACAGGTAATTCCCAGTCTGGAGATAAACTGAAAGCAAACTTTGAGAGAACCCTGTAGAAACATAAAGACATTAGTTAGTTTAAAATCGCTTTTAATAAGGTTTTAGATTTGACATTTTTTTACATTTTGTAAGGCAAGGAATGAGGTACTAACAAACACTCCTAAAAGGGGGTAACCCTAAATGTAAAAGTAAGCAAAATAAAAGGAAATGGGAGTGTGTTGAAAATAGGATATTGGATGGTGAATGTATTGGAACTATATATAAAACAACTTTTATTACGTATAAACCTAAAAATAATCATGATAAATTTCCCTCTAAAATTAGAGGGAACAGGAAAAAAGGTCAACCCCCTCCCCCCCAGTTGCTAAACTAAATTTAAGAAACTAAGAAAAAGGAAAATCCCATCAACCAAAGTCTACGATCAGATACAAATTGCTGGTCTACTGTGTTGATGGGTGTCCTAGAGCCCCTGACGCGTGCCTTTCGCCAACAGGCTCATCAGAGGGGACACATTAGACCAGCATATACATATTTATATATTTGAAGTCTATGTGTATATTTATAAAATTATTTACTCAAGCTGCAGAGTGAGGCAACTGTCTCATTCGAAGTTAAAGTTTTTAAATGAGACAGTTGCCTCAAAGTGATGCATGTCCCCTTTTTTAGAGATTGTTTAGCGTTTTAATTGTTCTAGGTTTGTGAATGTTAGCTGCATTTACTATATCTGCTGATTAAACTATATAGAATGGAAGGACAAATGTGGCAAAATGAATTGTGACAGAACATACTGTGTTTTTCAAAAGATTATATGAGTAATACATGACATTTGGCAAAAGACGAACGTTAATGCGAAGGACATAAATGTCAAAGCGTGTGTCAAACTCGAGGTGTGTTTGACAAGATCTGCATCTTTCAGTAAGGTATAAAAAAGGGCAGCAAAAGGTACAGACGTTTATAATATGCTGCTGTTACACCAACACAAGCTCTTTACTAGACGAAAGCATACAGCACCCCACATTGCAGAAAAAGGGCTTGCATGCTACGCATTGTGATTCATTGCCATATTTGCAGTTCTTACTTTTTCTTTTGCCAGGTTTCGGGAAATGCATCAAAAATGTGTTTACATATCTGTATTTTAGCTGACAAATGCAATAAACTGAATACTCTGCGTTGTTTGTATTGAGGCATTCTATAACCATAATTATGCAGTGCTATAACACTGTTATAGAATGGATTTCATTATTGCACATGTATCATGAAGTATTGTTAGAAACATCACTCGTTTATGTATTTTTAAACTCTGTACATGTCAAATAATCTAACCAGTGCCCATGCCCAACTTACAGTTTGTATAAGCCACTAGTTGGTCAAAATTCTCAAGTTTCTACTTTTACTGGGATGGGGTCAGATGTTTCCAACACAGTAATTCAATAAACAGAGAATTGTCAGAAATTCTAAGTGAATTTCAAATTTAAGGCTAAAGTACCCAACCTGGAAAAATTCTCTAAAATACTTCCAGTTTGGCTATTTTGGCCTTGAAATTCCTTTTGATTTCCCAACAATTCTCACATTAGCGAGTAACCCTGCAAGTTTGTATTCTTAACACGTACCTTAGTTCACATTTTATCTGAACCCAACCTGGGCTCCTGAGGAATGACCACGGCTGGTACCACTTCTCTACGGTCTGCAAGCTAGAACACAGCACTTCAAGCCACAAGTGGATTACCTGCTCGCTGCAAGACAAGACATGTGCAGAGCAAAAATATGAGAATATCATAGTCACAAATCAGCATCAACCACATACAGGGAGTGCAGAATTATTAGGCAAATGAGTATTTTGACCACATCATCCTCTTTATGCATGTTGTCTTACTCCAAGCTGTATAGGCTCGAAAGCCTACTACCAATTAAGCATATTAGGTGATGTGCATCTCTGTAATGAGAAGGGGTGTGGTCTAATGACATCAACACCCTATATCAGGTGTGCATAATTATTAGGCAACTTCCTTTCCTTTGGCAAAATGGGTCAAAAGAAGGACTTGACAGGCTCAGAAAAGTCAAAAATAGTGAGATATCTTGCAGAGGGATGCAGCACTCTTAAAATTGCAAAGCTTCTGAAGCGTGATCATCGAACAATCAAGCGTTTCATTCAAAATAGTCAACAGGGTCGCAAGAAGCGTGTGGAAAAACCAAGGCGCAAAATAACTGCCCATGAACTGAGAAAAGTCAAGCGTGCAGCTGCCACGATGCCACTTGCCACCAGTTTGGCCATATTTCAGAGCTGCAACATCACTGGAGTGCCCAAAAGCACAAGGTGTGCAATACTCAGAGACATGGCCAAGGTAAGAAAGGCTGAAAGACGACCACCACTGAACAAGACACACAAGCTGAAACGTCAAGACTGGGCCAAGAAATATCTCAAGACTGATTTTTCTAAGGTTTTATGGACTGATGAAATGAGAGTGAGTCTTGATGGGCCAGATGGATGGGCCCGTGGCTGGATTGGTAAAGGGCAGAGAGCTCCAGTCCGACTCAGACGCCAGCAAGGTGGAGGTGGAGTACTGGTTTGGGCTGGTATCATCAAAGATGAGCTTGTGGGGCCTTTTCGGGTTGAGGATGGAGTCAAGCTCAACTCCCAGTCCTACTGCCAGTTCCTGGAAGACACCTTCTTCAAGCAGTGGTACAGGAAGAAGTCTGCATCCTTCAAGAAAAACATGATTTTCATGCAGGACAATGCTCCATCACACGCGTCCAAGTACTCCACAGCGTGGCTGGCAAGAAAGGGTATAAAAGAAGAAAATCTAATGACATGGCCTCCTTGTTCACCTGATCTGAACCCCATTGAGAACCTGTGGTCCATCATCAAATGTGAGATTTACAAGGAGGGAAAACAGTACACCTCTCTGAACAGTGTCTGGGAGGCTGTGGTTGCTGCTGCACGCAATGTTGATGGTGAACAGATCAAAACACTGACAGAATCCATGGATGGCAGGCTTTTGAGTGTCCTTGCAAAGAAAGGTGGCTATATTGGTCACTGATTTGTTTTTGTTTTGTTTTTGAATGTCAGAAATGTATATTTGTGAATGTTGAGATGTTATATTGGTTTCACTGGTAATAATAAATAATTGAAATGGGTATATATTTGTTTTTTGTTAAGTTGCCTAATAATTATGCACAGTAATAGTCACCTGCACACACAGATATCCCCCTAACATAGCTATAACTAAAAACAAACTAAAAACTACTTCCAAAAATATTCAGCTTTGATATTAATGAGTTTTTTGGGTTCACTGAGAACATGGTTGTTGTTCAATAATAAAATTAATCCTCAAAAATACAACTTGCCTAATAATTCTGCACTCCCTGTATTCATAGTTGAATAGAACTCTGGTTTAAAGCTGTGAAGTGCATCAGCAGTGGCAAGTCTAAGGAATCAGGGGAATGGGCATCTCACAATTATTGTGAAGGGTTCATCTAGACTCTAGAGCAGGGGTGCCCTAAAGGTAGATGCCCACATGATGTTTAGACCCTCGTGATGCTTTGCATGTCTTGGAATGACAAAGCACCATGGAAGCTGCAGTTTTAAAACATCTGGGGATCTACCTTTTGGGCAGCCCTGCTCTAGAGGATTGTTGAATAATAGAGACCACTTGCAGTCTCCCTTCTGAATTAAAGTGAACCATGAAAAAAAAAAAATTACTTCCCTTCCCTCCAACATATATTGAATACATGATATATCAAAAACATACATGATGTATTCAATGTAAAATATTGAGATATACTCCGCTGACCTCCATTCCAGCACAGCCACGTGGGTGTTACCTGAAGGTGGGTATTACTCGTCAAGTAACACCCACCTCTAGTCCGTCGTACACTTTGATTCTCCCTCCCCCCCCCAATTTGCCCTGCTTGGGAATGCTTCCACAATCATGTCAAACTTCCTCTTCTTCTGGAATGCTGACTTCGTTGCCAACATGTCTGTGTCTGACGTCACTCCGTTCTTATGCCCACTGATAGCAGGGTTGGCTTAAGTTTCCATAGCAACAGCAGCACATGCAATCACCTGTGTTTTTGTATTATTTTGCTCTCCCTTCCCAGTAAAATCGTCAGAACATAGTCTACCAAAGATTTGACTGAGAAGTGGGAGAATGAACTATTTTTTGTTTTATTTTTTCAATTTATATTTCATTGAGTTTATAACATTGTTTTCAAATGTTTTAAATTCGTTATGATAAATTAACAGCTTATAGTAAGCAACATATTAGGTGACTATAACATCACTATTTGTGGTATGACAGGAATGGGCTGACTCTTGGGATCAACAGGTATGGCAGTCTTTGAAAACTTGGTATTTGGAACCCAGTGGTTAAGCTATCGATGCAAGGTAAGTCCCAGCCTGTGAACAGGAGGTTGTTAGGTCTCCAGACCACGGCACCCACGGAACCTACTCGCGTCAAGTGAGGCATCTGATATGGTATGGACTGGTCAGTGTTCCCAAAGCTTTGGCGGTTGCGTAGTTGTTCCTAGTTTCACGGTCCCTGACAGTTTTTTGCCTCTGGAGAAGTTCCTCGTGGGTTGTTGGGACAATCCCAGTGCCTGCAGGAGCGGCTCTGGATCTTCCGCTGACATCAGCATAATGGTCTCTCCTCCATTCTCTACCAAGAGGGACCCCTCTATTCCCCAGCAGTATTTCATGGAGTGTTCTCTTAATCGACTAGCAATTGGAACCAGCTTCCTCTTCTCTACCAGGACTGAGAACGGGATGTCTGCATATAGAGACAGTGTGCCCCTTATATTGTATCATCCCCATCTCCCTCGAACGGGTCATAATCACTGATCTCGCTGCGATATCTCTAGTCACCGCGATTATATCCATGGGTGCGCCACTTGGCGCCGCTGCCTATTTCTTCACATCAGAGGTGGGGGTCGTAGCCCCAGAGCGGGGAGAGGTGAGAGGATCTTCCTTCTCCAATGAGGTCTCTGACGGCTCAGGCACATCTCCTGGTTCAGGCACCATTTTAGACTGCCGCGGTCTCTCAAACGAGAGCCGAATATCTGATTAACAGGGAGCCTCTGAATGACAGTTTTTCTTGTTTTTTTGCCCCATTGCTTGTATGGGGTGCTTTTTTGGTGCAAAATTTAATCTCTATGTGGCTCTACGTCTCAGGTTTCCCCTAGGCCCGGTTTGGAGCTCAGGGAAAAGATGTCTGTGTTGGAACTCTGTCAGCCACGCCCCCCGAGATTGAACTATTTTTACATCTTTTACATTTTTACTCCCAATTTATAAATTTGCTAGCAAATTTGCCAACACAATGTAAGGATGAAATGTCATGCTCTTTCCAAAGAGGATAAGTGGTTTAAGGCATAACAGATCTCCTTTAATGGGCACCCCATATGCTTATTTCAGTTCAGGTAGATGATGAACAGCATGTGGATAGAGAGTGACAGTGAGTATTTGTGTGTCTGTGAAGGTGACAAATGAAAATGCCGATTTCCAGTTGCTCTTAAAAATAGTTGATTATAGTAAAGACATTAAAGTAAGAATTGTTTTACTTCTGTCAATTATGTTATTTTTGTGTACTTGACACAAACATGAGAATGGGGGTAAAGCCAACGTATTTACAACAGGCATGTTAGCCTAAGGCAGACGACTGCTAGAATTACATCAGATTAATAAGGGAAAGAATAAGCCATAAAGAATACAGTTGCAAACAGGTGAAGTGTACTTGATCAAGCAGGTACAGCTCATTGTGTTATTAACATGATGAAATGTTAGCAGTCATTCCCTTTAGGCTAACATACCAGACAGACTCTGAATAATATATCACTACACAGAGTTATTTATAAGGAGCAGTTCTGGAGCAAAGTTCTAAATATGGAACAGTCAGCAGGAATTGTACACTGGTTTCTATGATGACAAATTTTTAGAATTTTGTCCCCAAATTTATCCCATTGAAAAACTACCATCGTTGTAAACATGTTTAGTAAAAATATTGAATCCAATGCTTTCATGTAATTAATAATGAACAATAATTTCCTTAAATGAGGTTACACAACAACTGGATCCTAGAACCAAGTGGTTATTGGAATGTTATGTTTGCACGTCAGCGTATTGTGATGCGAGCACGTTAATTTTGTAAATGTGCGCTATGGTAAGAGGGAGAAAACCCCCCCAGAAGTTTCCAATAGACAACACAATATGAGTATTGTTACACAGGAAAAAGACATTAAAAAAGAAAGATGCCTTTATTTAGAGAAAACAATATGTCCTTTGGAAACATCATGACTGTTAGATAGCCTTAATTAGAGATGATTATACATCATACATTTCTGTATTATTTAGCTTTAATTTGTCAAATCATAAGGCAGAAGTGTGACTGTCTATTGTAACCTGAGCTACAGCTCTTTCTGTACTTTTGAAACATTATGGGTAAGGTCCTGTGTCTGACAATAATACAGAAGTTCACTGTAACAATTAGATACACAATTAGCTTAAGGCAAAATTCAAACATATTGTTAATGACTCAGTTAACATTCCCTTTCGTGATAACATCAATTAGACTTTCAATGTAAGGTTCATCAGATACCAGGAATCTCTGGTAACAGTTGAAGAACCTACAGCAAAATTAAGCTTAAGAAAAATTAAGATCTGTATCTGAGGCTACTCTACAAGGCTGCACTGCACAAAGTAAAGAGCATGTAACAGTGATATTATCATGGCGTATACTTACTTGAGCCCAATACAGATGAGAGAACGAAGCTTTACATCCATCTGTGCGTGAGCAGAATCATGACTGACATTCACAGACTGCACCCCCTAGTAAATGCAAATGTAAAGACATCAAACAATATGCAAGCCAGAGACAAGGCCGCTGGCTTCTGCCTGCCGACCCACAACACAATGATCTCCAACTGCGGCACTCCTGTGGCCTTCAGGTCAGGATTGTGCTTTTGATCTCCAGAATGGGTATCGGCTAAAACCCGGGCTGCACCTTGCTGACATGTATCCTATGTGCTATTATACATTTGGCTTTGAAACTCTCAATTACCTACACAAGGCCATTTACGTTTACTATTACCTCTCTTACATTATACAAGCCTTTTTTAAATGACTATAACTTTTCTGCTGTGTTTCCTCACCAGCTTTGTATAGCTCACTCTTACTAAGCACCTCTTTCCATGTACCTCCTCATGCATTATTACCTACTCTGACACACATTAGTGTTTATATTTACCTATAACTTGCATGTCTAGTACTCATGTGCATAGTGCCCTGGAGCCAATTTAGTTTATGCAACCAGCTCAATATATCTCAAACTCTAGCCTGTTAACGCTCTATGATCCAGCACTAGCACGGTGTCTCTCTAATTTGAAGAAAATAAAATGTGCAGAATAGGCTCTACTGTTTAGTTTTCCCACTACACGTTCACAATTGTTTATGTTGCTTAACAGTATGCAATGCCATCATGTACCATCCATGCACAACCAAAATAAAGAATTAATAAATAAATAAAAACAATATGCAAGCACAAACGCATGCTTCATTTATCTCCACCTTGCTGGGAAATGGCCTATACACCATGGATAGATGTATAAAGGTATGCATGTATAAGATCATTTAATGGATACCAGTGGATAACTATAGAATATAGGGGAATACATTGACTAACCAGCTTATGATTGTTTTGTGTCTAGAAAATATATAATCAATGAATTGATAAAAACACTCACCCGATAAAGTAATTCTTCTGGGGTCAACACTTTCCCGTCTTCATCTAACCTGTAAAAGGTCAAATGCAAATTGACAAACTAAGATACGGATATAAACATCGGCAATATTATACAAAGCCTATCGTTTGTTCTCTAGGACTGTGTTGTAAATGAAATGGTGTATTTGATATTACTGAATGTGAATGCAGACTTTTATGTAGTTGTGTAAATGAACACACGCTATCCGCATGTAGTTGTGTATCTGAACACACAGAATCCGCATGTAGTTGTGTAGCTGAACACACGGAATCCGCATGTAGTTGTGTAGCTGAACACACGATCTCTGTACAACCAGCAGACAGGGGTGGCAGGCTTGGACTCTATACGGTTTGCTCTTGAGACAAGCAATTCTAAGATTTCGAACGTCTCACTATGAAATTCATTAAGTGTCAAATGTTCCTAGCTTATCTTATACTCGTAGTGGTTGTCTATTAATTAATCATATTCCTAAATTCTTTAACCGAATTCCATGATTTTTATTCAAATGTTTTTCTATGTCTTTTGTGCCTCTACGGACCTAGCTTGCTTGTATTTTAACACGCTTATAATCACTGGCATATGCCTCAGATCATTAAAATATCTATATTGACTGCATATATATTAATTTTTCTATTAACTACACATTTCCATGATTTGTACCAAGTTTATATCCATATTGAATCATTTGAAAAGCTTATTAAATCAAGACCCAAGTCCAACATTTCAGTGCTTTTATCAAACATAAGCAACATGGAAAATATTTTGTTACAATCTGCATTTCAGGAATATATGTGAGAGGAAGAATGAGAACCACCAGTAGAATGGTTCTCCTGCTCCTCACGTCACACAATCCTCAGCTTAGATCGAATGCCACCGGTACCAAAAGGTCTATACCCAAGATTAATTGACACAGGGAGGGGCAGAATTTTTAAAGAGTGTTTAATGATAATCTATACATTTGCTAGCATTTCAACTAGCACCACGTTTCATGCATTTAATTTAAACCAACTTGTGTGCTACATGACAGGTACACTTTAAACTATCCTATGTAACTGCACTTCCCTGAATAAAAGGGGATAACCCTACTACAATCAACACTCATATAATCAAAACAGGAAACACCTGAAGTGTACTAAGGCACTTCAGGAGGGGAAGGCAGTGAACATAAAAGCTACATTTTATTGTATAATATGATTTACAGATTACTTAAACCAGAACAATTAAATACATTTATTTTTGTGGTTTAAGTCATGTGTGACACATACTATACAGTATGTGCGTTCCCCTCCCGAGGTGCTTTAGTACACTTCAGGTTTTTCCCTTTTTGACTTTTATACTGGAGAACCTGTGGTTCATTTATCCTTGGATTATTGCACATTAGGTGAAAGCATGGAAAGCTTACTCCCAATGTAACAAATAGTTTTTAGCAAAACCTGGTTTAGAGTCCTCACACTTGCCAAAGCATAATCCATTGTTTTCATTAACAAGCAAATCCTGTCATCATACATGAGAAAGCTGTGTTGTGTGGACATGTTTTAGTTACCTGTAAGTCTTGCACAAGACAAGGCGTGAGTACACGGAATCAAAATCTCGCTCCACTTCTCGGCTGGCAGCCTAGGTAAAAGAAATGATCAGTCAGAAAAGCAGTGCTAGTGTACCAGGATTTATTAAAAGAAAAAATAATAAAGTTATATTGCTCATTAAAGAAAGACTTTGATAATTTCGTACATAAGATGTACTGTAATTTCATTAAATAAATGAACAGGGAAATAATGCTAAACTACTGACAAAAAGGATAAGGCGAGGCCCGATAGAAAGTATTCGTTGTTGGGGGATTCTATCATAACAGGTAAGGAGCAGGACAATAGTGGCCTTATAAGATGTCTTCCTGGAACTACTGCTCGAAGAGACAGGAGACATTTTTAATATGGTTACGCAAAGCAGGAAGGGGAATTGGATGTACTTGTCCATCTAGGGATAAATGACTTGGCTTGCAATGAGGTTTCAGAGGTAAAGGAAGTTTTTTGTGTTTTTGCCAATGATACACAGCAGGTTGCTTCCACACTGTCATTCTCTGAAGTTCTGCCTGTGCATAACACTTAGAATGACAGGCGGACGTGTATTAGGGACTTTAACTTCTGGCTTGGTGAATGGTGTCAGGAGCAAGGATTTGGCTTCATTTCTCATGGTAGCTCTGTTTGGAATGGAAATTAACTGTACAAAAAAAGATGGTTTGAATCTTTCTGAAAAGGGAACAAATGTTCTCAGTGAGCAGTTCAGATGTTTTGCTATGATGTAGTTAAACTAGAGGTAAGGGGGCAAAAGGGTGATAAAACATCAATCCAATTGCCCCCCAAAACATGAAAATGAAGGAAAGGGACCTCAGTTAAGAAAAAGGAAAATTGAGTCATTTGCTACATGTGAATTTACAGAGGAAGAGGTTCTATTTCAACTTTCAAAAGTAAAGACAAATAAGTATATGGGGCCTGATGGAATACACCCAAAGTTATTAAAAGAGCTTAGTGGTCTACCATACAATTAATAACCAGGTCCAAAATCTGGATGGCTTCTGAGATCTGACGAGATCAGGCACTTTCAGACTGGTATGGCCGTAGGCCAAAAAAATAAAAGAAGAGCTTAGTGGTGTACTAGCAAAACCATTAACAAATTTATTTAACCAATCATTGTTAACAGGAATAGTCCCAGAAGATTGGAAGTTAGCGAATGTTGTACCCATTCACAAGAAAGGTAGGGAGGAGTCGGGCAACTATAGCCCAATAAGCCTTACGTCAGTAGTGGGGAAAGTAATGGAAACCATGTTAAAGTATAGGATTGAGTATCTAAAATCAGAGACAACATGGGTTTAATTCAGGGATGTCATGCCAAACTAATCTTAGAGATTTTTTTGATTGGGTAACTCAAATAATAGATCATGGTGGTGCAGTAGACATTGCTTACCTAGATTTTCCATAAGGCTTTTGACACTGTTGCACATAGAAGGCTTATCAATAAACTGCAATCTTTAAATTTGGATTCTAATATTGTTAAATGGGCTAGGCAGTGGCTGAGTGACAGGCAACAGAGGGTTGAAGTCAATGGAGTATATTTGAAGCATGGGCTTGTCACTAGTGGGGTACCTCAGGGATCTGTACTTGGACCCATTCTCTTTAATATTTTTATTAGTGATATTGCAGAAAGTCTTGATGGTAAGGTATGTTTTTTATCTGATGATACTAAGAAATGTAACAGGGTTGATGTTCCTGGAGAGATAAGCCAAATGGCAAATGATTTAGGTAAACTAGAAAAATGGTCAGAGTTGTGGCAATTGACATTTAATGTGGATAAGTGCAAGATAATGCATGTTGGACGTAAAAACCCAAGGGCAGAGTAAAGGATATTTGATAGAGTCCTAACCTCAACATCTGAGGAAAGGGATGTAGGGGTAATTATTTCTGCTAACTTAAAAGTAGGCAGACAATGCATTAGAGCAACACGAAATTCTAGCAGAATGCTTGGTTGCATAGGGAGAAGTATTACCATCTTATTTATTTTCCCCTGAAAAAAGCACTAGGGCTTATTTTTGGGGGATGTCTTATTTCGCGGGAAACAATAGCAAGCATGTGCTAGAAAGCAGGTCTTCATTTGGGGGAATTCTCCTTAACATAGACCAGTTCACTAGGGCATGGAATCCTGCAAATCTATGTTCGGGAAAACTTTCCCGAACAAAGCTTACTCGCAAATGGAATCCTGCAAATTTATGTTGAGGGAAACTAGTGACTAGGGAAACAGGGTAGCAGTAGAAAGCGGGAAGACCTCACTTGGAGCATTGTAAGCAGTACTGGAGACCGTATCTTCAGAAGGATATTGATACTTTAGAGAGAGTTCAGAGAAGGGCTACTAAACTGGTTCATGGATTGTAGGATAAAACTTTCAAGGAAAGGTTGAAGGAACTTAACACGTATAGCTTGGAGGAAAGATGAGACGGAGGGGGTGAGGGGGGTATGATAGAAACATTTAAATACATAAAAGGAAACAACAGAGTAAAGTAGGAGACTAGATTTAAAAGAAGAAAAACTACCACAACAAGAGGACAGTGTCTTAAATTAGAGGGGCAAAGGTTTAAAAATATCAGGAAGTATTACTTTACTGAGAGGGTAGTGGATTAAGTGATTTTATTATTATTATTATTATTGGTATTATATAGCACCAGCTTATACCGGAGCGCTTTGCAATAAGAGGGGAATTTACCAAATGTGACAATACCAAAATGTATCATGAACAATAGGTAGTTGAGGGCCCTGCTCACACGAGCTTACAGTCTAGAAGAGGTGGGGTATAAAAACACAATAAGAAGGGTATAGAGGGAGACAGCAAATATACATGGTGGATAAGTGGCAGAACTGGAGGTGAGAGTGGAGAGTTGCTCTTTAGGAGAGAGCAAGAGGAAGAATTAAGAGATAGAAGTTACTCAAAAATGACACCAAGCTTGAAAGGATGGGGTGAGGCAGGTACCGACAACCTGCAGGGAGAGGAGAGGTATATCTGGGAATCATTAGCATACAGGTGGTAGTGGAATCCAAATGAATTAATGAGTTTGCCAAAAGAGGCAATATAGAGAGAGAACAAAAGGGGATCACAAACTAGGCATGGTAAAGATCAGATAGGTGAAAGTAAGTTAAACATAAATTGACAGGACTAGGAGTGCAATAACTAACACTAACAAAAACAATTTAAATTATCAATTAAGCAGATAAACTATAGGGGATGGAGGCAAATAGGAAAGCAAAATTAAATAAACAGGACTGAAAAATAGATAGAGGTTAACACAGTGAAGGAGTTTAAGCATGCGTGGGATAGGCATAAGGTTATCCTAACTATAAGATAAGGCCAGGAACTAATGAGAGTATTTAGAAAATAGGGCAGACTAGATGGACCGAATGGTTCTTATCTGCCGTCACATTCAATGTTTCTATTGATCACACAATGATGCATTTTTACAGGATTTAACAAAATGTTTAAATTGATAAAACCACAAGCATTTGATTGGTGCAGTGCAGGGACGACCTATGGGGGAGCATTTGATTGGTTAAGATAATCAATCTTGATGATCTCAGCCAAGAGGTGGGGCGGCAGCAAATGAGCATTTGAAGGGGATTAAATTGCTTTTTTTTTGGGGTCAGTTAAATAGAAGGAACCTGTAGCATGTTTGCATTCCAAACGCCCTAGTGTTCCTTTGAGAGACAACCATTTGCAGTTACACACGTTTGCAATGTATCCTTTTCTAGTATTCTCATGATCTAATGTAGCCAGGTAACCATGCTTAGAATAAAAGACGTTCGAAGGAATTCTAAGGAGCACGATTATTTAGCAAAAGGTAAATTTATCTTCATGCAAAAAAGAAAGAAAATATATTAAAATCAAGATATTACAATGATTAAATGAAATATAGAATAGGCTATAATAATATTGCTTTTCACCAATAACCAGCTAAAATATGATAGAGTAAAACATTCACTTTTTGTTTAAAATAATTATATAATAAGGTAAGTCTGCCGGGCACGAAGGTGACATATTTACAGCTGCCAAACCAGTTTTCCTGTTAGCAGCGGTTATATTGCAAGATCCAGGACTCAGGAGAAAGATGTTCTTGGAGAGTCCAGTGAGACTTCACAGAAACCTATTGAAGTCATTGGACACTATCTTTTTACAAATATTTTATGTTCCTAGATGTTCTTGACTAATTGTGAGGCTTGGATTAGTCCTCTGTTCATGTCCCATGAATTCTGATGCTTAAAATGGCTCTTCGAGATTGTCCCCTCCTCTGATGCACTGATAATATGGCATTAACACTGTCAACTGAGTACCAATGTCAATTTTGTCGTTCTGTATGACGTATTGTCTGAGAGTGCTGGAGGTGGGTAAGACTTTCCTTCATGCAGAGGAAAACATTAATGGATTCAAACAAAATTTTAAAAGGTAGAAAACAATTGTGTGCTGTACCTCTCACCAAAACAAATATACCAAAACATCAACTCCAATGCACTAGGGTTAGAAGAAACTTACCTCCTCTATAAAAAGCCAGGGGTGGCATGGACCACCCAACAGAGAAGGCTTTTTTAGTCCATGCTCAAATATCGCCTTAATGCTAGGGCATAACGTTCCTCGAACCAGGTCTGTAATACCTTCGGTAACAGAGTCATCACCAGCGACTGAATACTGTATTAATGGGGAAAAAGGTCAGTCAATGTTAAAACAATCTTCACGAAATGAATGCCTGGGAAATTATGTAATACCTCCCAAGGCTTTCTACTTCACTGGCATTTATTATGTATAAACAAACAAAACAAGGCCTTCAATCTTTTCAGCTATTGACATCTTGTCTTATATGTACTGCCTGTATAGTAGAACCTTTTTAATTGTTCCGTGCATGGCTTATTGACCTTCAAATGATTGGATACAGGATATTAACCCAATAACAAAGACTGCTGCTGTATGTTTTGTAATGAAATAGCTGCTAAGCTAAAAAAGGAAATTCTAGAAAAAAAAAAGGATTGGCATCTTACAATGCCATATACAGTAACTTGGGGTAACTTTGAATGATTTTTTGTCTCTCTTATTATTACAATAAAACATATATATGACTTTGGCTGACCTGGGGCTCGCCGTCTTAATTTGTCATGCACTGCAGCTACCAATCATCTTGTCCTTTGCACTTTATAGCAGAGTTTACGTGATGTGCCCATACAGTCAAGCAGTCACCCCGGGAACATGACGCTTGTGTGCACTCCACGGTTTACAAAAAAGCAAGGGAGGGGAGTCTGGAAATATTTTATCAAGCCGATCTAAAGAGCAATATGCATTAGGAGTGTTCTTCGTAATTGTGCTATGTGTGAGGACACAGAATGTGAAGGCCTTCAAAAACTGAAGCATACCCTCAGCCAAATGTAAAGAGGCAGCATCTATGCACTAACAACATTAAATTAAGATATAGTGGGTTTGGTGCAAAGATTGCCAATTTAATCATCTTAAAACTACAAGAAAAAGAAAAGAAAAAAACACAGCACAAAAGGGAAAAATACAAAAAGTTTACAGGGCACTATTCATAAAAAGAACTAAGCGTCACTTTTCCTTTACCCGGTTCTAGATATCAATTTACCTCTTTGCTCCTTTCATCCAGTATCTCCACAAACTTTGCAGGGAACCAACCTGGAAGCAATGGAAAAGAGGAACAGCTATGAACAGAAATGTTCTGTAGGGTTATTAAAGTGGCATGGTCACCTTTACATAACATGGCAAAATACATGGGTTGGTTTGCAACTCCGTGGGTGTGACAGCTTCAACTTATATAGGACGTAAGCAGTTCCAGTAAATTGAACAGCATAAATTGAACACAGGTATGATGTAGCCGCCAGCCATTCCCACTGCATCCCATGAAATAATATCACTTCAGACCAGTACCATGTGTGATGTGAAGTCTGGAAACATATCTCTATAGCAACATTGCTGACTGTACAGAAACTTTCTATTTTTATCCCCATGTAAAAAAGATATTAGATGTGATTTTCTTAGCAGTGAGTAAATAAGAGTATCTAAAAGGCAAGCAATATGCATAGCAAAGAACAAACATCAAACGATTAGAATTCAATGCACATTGACGCCCATAACGATTTCAAATTTGTTAACATCGAAAGAGTTCATAAAAATATTTAATTATTTGTAGATTAATTTAGGACTTGCCAAATAACAGATATATACACAGGGTTTAAAATGTTAAGTCCTATACTACTGGCGAGGCCTTAAAAGTTAGTCTCCACTACAAGCCTGAAGGGTCCAATGCACACTCAATGGGGCATGAATTTCTATTTACCAATGGCTAGTGGAAATTTTGAGGCCTGAATACATTATATTTCACTATACTTACAATATGTATATATTTGTCATGTGGCTAGCAATAAAAGGATGTAATAGATAATTTGCAGATGAAAAGGGGTTACAAAATGTTAAACATGGCTAAGTGTCTTTAAGTCAATGCTGCTCTGCAGTGAGGGATGCTTATTGTGAATTAGTTTCACCCTTCTGAGAATGTTAAGAGTGTGAGACCAGATTAGTTGGATGCACCCACAGATGCTGCCATGGGGCCTTTCAGCTGACCATAGTTATCATCTTAAAATGTATGAGAATCTTGAACAAAACAAAAACCAACCAATGTCTTGTAGTAAAGAAAATATTGTAAATGTCAATATAGACAAACTGTTTCTAAAATTAAAAAAATTATAATAAAATAATGGCAAAACCAATCTTCATATGTATTTATCCATCTCTAAGCTGACCTACAACAAGGAAGAAAGAGAGCTCTTCCAAACAGGACATGACATTTAATGGTAATCACAAGTAGCTAATTAACAATTTGTAATATCTACAATGGACAACATGCTTAGGTCAAGAACATATGTTTACAGTAGAATTAGGTACGGTATTCAAGTTCCTCAAATTCACTGCATTGTGCTCAAATTGTCTTCTATGCGGTAGGCTGAAGACCCTGCAATATCACATGCATTGCAGATGACCAGACACTAGTGAATAAACTATATTTAAATGAACACTATAGGGTCAGCAACACAAATCTGTAATATTGTTCTATAGTGTTAAAAACACCACCTAGCCCCCCTGACTTCCATTCTTCCCCTAAATATAGTACAATCTTACTTTTATTCCAGTCTGCTGCTGCTCGCTCTGCCACTGATCTGCCTGCATGGCTGACATCATCTGAAGTGACTGTCTGAGCCAATCACATAGGAAAGCATTGGATTGGCTGAGAATGAATCAATGCATCTCAATGAGGAAGGTTCAGTGTCTCCATGCAAAGGGTGGAGACACTGAATGCCAGTACTGCACAGTGTGCAGCACTGACCCAGAAAGCACATCTAGCAGCCATCTGAGCAGTGGCCAGTAGAGGTATCCCTCAGCAGTTTTTACAGCAAAAAGCCTGAAGGAAGTGATTCTACTCACCAGAACAAATCCAATGAGCTGTTGTTGTTCTGCTGACTATAGTGCACCTTTGAAATGATTGCGTTCTGCTGCTGAGCAGGTATTAACATCAAAAAGGCTTGTTTCCATGATCAGAAAGAAGTGTGGGAGGTTATGAACGGAGTATACAAGTTGATTACTGCCAGCCATAGTTTTTAACAAAAGTATGTTACAAGGCAGGATATATTAGAAGATAAGTTATGTTTCTGAGAGTCTGTTCAAAAGATTTTAATTTGTTTGCCTTGTTCGGTAGTGAACTTGACACATGTTTGAACAAATCAGAAATTGAGTACTTGCCAACTTGGAAACTAAAAACAGTACATCCACTAGGAGAGAGCGCTAAGGAAATAGAGGGACTATGAGTTGCAAAATAAACATGTAAAATTAGTCTGACGAGATAAGAGGAAGGAGAATTAAAAAGTCACTCAAATCACCATAACAACCTATGCTCATTGTACAGGTTATTATGCAATAGTCGTTGCTACTGTGTCCCTGCACACAGTTGCTTAAAATAGCTGCAGCTATAAGCCTGCCCTCTGATAGTAATTCAGATAACAGCATCCTCACCCCCACATCCCCCCCTTGCTGGAGTGGGGTTTATAGGACAAGAACAGATGATAAATAGAAGAATGTATTTCTCATGAGTTTAAAAATGGTTTTCACTTCCAGCTCGTAGATAAAAGGGATGACAATTTTTAACTTACCACGTAGTCCATTAAGTTCCCCTACCCAGCAATGCTCATCTTTCTGTGAAATTATCTGAAAATTATAAGAAATGTATTAAAAGAATGTAAAGCCTCAAGAAGAGTCATCATAGTCCTTTCACAGGTCCCCAGAAGTTACCGTTATTATATCATTCTTGCGAAAGCCCAGTTCATCATCATCATGGCGCTCAAAGTCCAACAAAGCTTTAGCCCTGCGACGCCTGCTCCTCGAGCAAGACACATAGTTTTCATGGTCTCTTTGATGGCTCTCCATCGTGTAATCAGGAGTCAAGTCCTGTAAATGGAACAAAAACAGAGTCCTGTTCAAACTTGGATTTTGATGAAAAACATGGGTATTTTCCCTAATTCTCTATTTTAGGAACAAGTAAGTTAGAATGTTTTCAAGATAAAGAACAAATTATTCAAGACTATATATTAGTCTTCCTCAACACTATCCATTGAGTTATACACATATTTTAACCATCCACTTAAAGGAATACACTCCAACACTTATCAAACAAACAATTAGTCATTATACAACTTTTATTTTCAGCCGACCTTTGAATGTGATGAGTAGAAGTCAAAAAACTATCAAATACACTTAAGTTGTGTTAGTTCCAGAGTGTTCAGAAACCGTTATTAAAGAGGTAAAAAAAAAGAAAAGAGAAGAAAGAAGCATTTAATACTGGATAATATATATTCTCTATCTCAGTCAGTGGCTAAACAATTAATGACTATTATAAGATGTTTACTCAATGACCCTGGCAGACATCTGGGGCATGCAGATATTGGAATAACTTACAATGTTACAGTTTTTGGGATCTGTGCATTGAAAATGGCGAGCAACTTGCAGGATCGCCTCCCGTAAATCTGCTACCAGAGCAGTCTGTTTGATATTCTTGGATTTTAGGGCCTCGATATCATCTTCACCTGCAAAATACAAGCAATTGGATCAATACAACAAGTTGTTGTGAGGAATACATAGATTTTTATGTAGCCAAGAGCTTTGTTATTTAAAACTCTACTTTTGCATAATGTATTGGAGTAAAATTACATCTGGGCAGGGTAATAGCGTTCTTCAAGATAAAGGGAAGAATATAATAACAGAGGAAGCAAACTATTACAAACTTTGGCCTCAATTCCAGATTAGCTTTTCAATAATATATATCTCCAATCTCTGGCACTCACCAACAAAATTGTATATAGAAGCACATAAATAAGAAGTAAAGAAATGGAGCACTCCACAGGGATTTTTAATTGTGTATTGAAGAACAAAGATTTGTTCTCCATTTTTATACTCTCTCTCTCTCTATATTATATTATATATATATATATATATATATATAAAAAATATCAAAATAAAAATTTTTTTAAGTTTCTGCTAAAATAAACGTTCAAACCATTTACCATTAAACCATTTGAAAATTTGAAAAGCTTATCCAAAAATATTAAATCTGGGCCCATGACAGGAACAACAGATTGATGGGGACCCTGTTTGAACGATCTTACAATCCAATTAATTAAAAGGTAAATATGAGGTAATTACCCTCAAATATTTCATAAAAAAATATATGTGAAGGGATTTCTATAACTCAGAAAATAATGTAGATGAGAAGCTACTTTGTGTGTGGTGTGTAAAGTACCGGTAATTACTTACCAAACAATAACGTGGATATCCCCGATTTTCTGCGCTGACTTGGTCTTCTTGTAATCTGACCAAATACAAAAGGGAGTGATAAATACAGTGCTTTAAGTATCATCTCAAACTGAATATGATCAGAACAGAAATATACGTAGTTTCTGAGGTCCTCCCCTTTTTTCATTGCTTTTATACAGTGCATAACGGTAAGCAAATTATAGAAATTAAATGGTCTTTAAAGTGGTACACACACATTTCATATCAAATTGATAGCAAATGGATAGATTTTAAAGTGGACATTGTTCATAGTTCATATAAATAGACAATATTCTGGTTACATGGATGCATTTTTCCATCACACACACAAAAGTGACTTTTTTTACCTTGGAGACTTTTGAATTGTGCATCTGTCCCGGATCAGCATAGAGGTATGCCAGATGTTTGCGTCTCTGAGCCTCAATCATGACCTCTGTAAGAGTCCCTGCAATCATCATGGCCTCTCGCAGCAGAACATCTGCATCTTCTATCTGCGATGGGATGTCTGACAGAGTATTGAAGATGGATGCAGAGTTTTCAGACTGAATTAGCTCTTCCTCCTTGAACACAGGTGAAGAGGTAATGTCGTATTAAAACAATTCACTCAGGTTATAATAAAGCTCCAAACAAACAATGTACATGTAGGGTGTTTATTCACTAAACAGCAAATTGTATTGATTGTATTCAAACCTTCAGAGAGAGAAAAAAACCAAAAACCTTATAATGGAGATTTTATCCAACTTGTGTATTTTAGTAAAATCAGTTCACCAATATCTAGCTTTTTTTTGTTTTAGTGAAAAGACCCTATGAATGTTAGGAACCTCTTATCAATTCATTCAATGCTACATGCTATTAGTTACACAGTTTTACAACAAGGAGTAATTCTTTTTCTATTATTAGATACACAGGAACTGAGAGATGCAGATGGATCCCTGGAGATCTACATGAAGCTCTTAAGAAAACAAAATGTACAAAAGTGGTCAGTGTTGCTCTTACCTTCATTTTCAGCATTCCCAATGTAGTCTGAAATAGAACCAGAGATCCCTGATAGAAGAATAAATCCCAAACTCTTAACAGCAGCTTAATATGCACAACACTAGCAAACGCAGTGAGGAACCAGTGGAGAGTGATGAGAGACAGCTCTGTATATGGAGAGAGAAGACAATGTACGTTATGTTAGAACACTGAAGGCAAAATACAACAAAAGCAGATAAAGGAAACTCATGAAAACCGTCATACACAAACACATTTTGCCATGATTCGAAGGACTGCATGACAAGTGTCAGGTTTGAGCATTTTCCCAAAGAAAAGTAGTATCCTTAATAGTCCGTGATCATATAATAATCCTTACCAATGTCGTGTTCTTGTAGCAGCTTGTCCAGGCGTGGAAGATACTGCACAATAAGGTGACGCAACACCCGCTGGTCTGTTTGCACTCCATCCAGGGTGTTATTAAAATAAGAGGCTGGAACCAAGTCTTCTGTAATAGCACTCATCATCCAAAACGTATCTTCTTCCTCTAAGAAAAGCAGCAAACAGGCGGCCACCTGTCAATGAAGGGACAGGCAATGATTAAAAAAGAAAGAACAAGCGCAAGGGGAGCACGTCACTGAAGGCAGTCAGAGGGTGAAGCTACCTGCTCAGCTAGACACTGCCATAGGGCAACACGCACATGCCTACCAGACGAGCCCCTACCCACAGGGGAAGTTACTCGCCCCCGAGCACGCAAACGAGTTAGCATCCATGGTACAACAGACGGGCTACACATTGCTTGACACCACCGGGGTTACCGGGGGAAGGGGGGAGCCGGCTGGAGGGGGTCACATCTAGGGACCGAAACCATAGCGTAGGGACCAACCCCAGGGGGGCAGCGACCCCCGCCCAGGCGCATTCACCAAGGCTGACCCGAGGGGGGGGGGAGAGGTAAATCCCGGGGCACCTCTAGGACTGGGGCCCGCCGCTGGGGCCCTGACCGCCCTGCGATGACCCAACCGAGCAGGGGGCGGGCACCACCGGGGGGTCCCACTCGCACACGGACGAAGGGTGAGGGGGACACGCTGAAGAGGGGCCCGGGCACGGGTTAGAGGGAGAGGGGCACCTGAGAGGAGGGCCGGTAGGGGACGACCCGAACCATCCCTGGAGGGGCAGAGGGACCCGCCACAGGTGCCAGAGAGGGGGAGGTACGGGAGCGAAGGTTAGGTGCACAGCTTGGTACGCAATCAGGTTATAAAGCCGGCAGCTGCATGCCACAACCAAGTTCACAGTTTAAAGTTTAGTCCTAAGAAAAGGTTTATTAAGTTTAAATGCAAAATTGTTTTGTTAACTAATTCTTCTTTGCCTACGTACATGACAGGCGCCTGAGAAGGCGGCTTGACCTATGACCCGGAGCCCAACACACAGGAACTTTACCGAGGAGGACGTTCATAACGACCAGAACCTGACAGATAGAGCCGACAGGGGGACTACACGGACCAAACGGACCGAGACAACTCAGGTACACATCTACCACCGACATACGCACGGACGCAGGGAGGACTGGTTCCACCCAAAGTCCCTTAGCTTCCTTCTACTGCCCCAAAGGACCCAGCGACACAGACAGGCGAGCAGCAGCCGCGGACCACAGGTGGCCGCTGGCTAAACCGCTCCCCGTCGCTGACATCTCACTGTCACCTTACAGTGACAAGGATACGCACACCCACACCCCATACAACCCGCATCCCCCTCCCCCCCCTTTCCTTCTTTTTCTTCTCTTCCTACAACCCCCACCCGACCTACGACACAGACAGGACACAGACGCGTACAGATCCCTTGACCGGACAGGGACCCAAGGACGACACGATGCGGCCACACTCACACACAGACACGAAGGCACTGGTGCCGGACTGTCTCTCTGTCCTCTCCATAAACGCCAGAGGTCTCAATAAACCGGAGAAGCGCTCAGGAGCGCTGAGAGACTTCCATGCTAAACGAGCCTCGATAGTATTAATACAGGAGACACACTTCAAGGACGGGTCCAGGCCCAAACTGACAAACCATCACTACCCCACGGGATACTACAGTGACTACCACGCAGGGAGGTCCAGAGGCACGGCCATTCTAGTTCACAAAAATATACCTTTTGTAGAAACGGGACAGCTGACGGACAGGGAGGGCAGATTCCTCTTCCTCAAGGGCACAATAGCAGGACAGGCCTATACATTCGTAAACCTCTACGTCCCGAACACCCGACAATACAGATTCCTGGCACACACACTTAGGAAACTAAGGCCCTTCACGGAGGGAATCCTCATAGTGGGGGGTGACCTAAACGTAGCGCTCAATCCGCGGTGGGACACCTCCGCCGGACGATCGTGGGTCCCGGCGCAAAACCTAAACTCAATCAAGACCCTTCTAACTCGCCACCAGCTGATAGATTGCTGGAGGGCCTATCACCCGGACGAGAGAGATTATACGTTTTTCTCCCACGTGCACAACACTTACACCAGGCTAGACTACCTTCTCACCACGCACTACCATCTACCAATAACTAACGCTGCAGAACATGGGGTGGCGACATGGTCAGACCACGCGCCGGTAACCCTAACACTCTCGTCCCCCCTGTACAGACCCCGGCACAACAAATGGAGGCTTAACGAATAACTCCTTACTAGGCCCGACTTCACGTCCGAGATTAACAATACACTCAAAGAATACTTTGAGACGAACACAACCGAACACACCTCGCCGACCATTAGATGGGAGGCACACAAGAGCGTGATACGAGGACACTTCATCCGCCAGGGGTCCACCCTTAAAAAGCAGACCGACAGCCGTCTGACTGACCTACTGGCCGAAATACACAGGGTGGAAACACTCAACAAAAACACCCAACAAACGGCACACCAGGCGACACTACTACAACTCAGGCGGGACCTGACGAGTCTCTTACATAGGAAACACCACAGAGACGTAACCAGACATAGGGCCTTCTTCTTACTTCACGGCAATAAAAGCGGTAAGCTACTGGCCAGAATGTTAGCCAAACAGAAACAAAGGACGTACATCGATAAAATGATGGACGGGCAGGGCACCCTACACCACCTACCCTCTAAAATCCTCAACATAACGCGGGATTACTACGCGAACCTGTATGCCCTCCCTCGGCCCCCCCTAGACAGAGCGAGGGACAGCCTGCGGGGGAAAATACAAGCCTACCTGTCAGCCCACCCCCTCCCGTCCATAGACCAGGAAACCGCAGAAAGCCTAGACGAACCAATTTCGATAGAGGAACTAGCTTACGCCATTAAAGTGACGAAACTAGGTAAAAGCCCCGGGCCAGACGGGCTCCCATTAAAGTATTATAAAACGTTCGCGGAACACCTATACCCCCCTCTCCTAGACGCCCTGAACGCACTAAGGGAAGGACACCACCTGCCAAAACAGTCACTGACCGCACACATCGCACTCATCCCGAAGGAAGGTAAGGACAGGGAACATTGTGGGAACTACAGGCCCATCTCACTTATCAACTGCGACGTCAAACTGTTGGCAAAGATACTGGCCACACGCCTCCAGACACACATCCCCACTTTAATACATCCAGACCAGGTTGGCTTCGTCATGGGCCGCGAAGCGAGAGAACACGATCAGGGCACTGACGCTCATGCACAGACGTAATTGCGGGGACGAGGGCGTTCTACTGCTGTCCACGGACGCAGAGAAGGCCTTCGACAGAGTCGACTGGCAATACATGTACCACACACTGGCCCACACTGGGCTGGGACCGCACTTCCGGAGATGGGTCGAGGCGCTGTACGACGGGCCCACCGCCCACATTATAGTAAACGGAGCCCTGACGAGTGACTTCCCCATCACCAACGGCACGCGGCAGGGGTGCCCCTTATCACCCCTGCTTTTTGTGCTGACACTCGAACCCTTCCTGACGCACATACGACAGGACGCAGCAATCAGGGGCATTGGACATGGAGACACACAACACAAAGTCGCGGCATACGCCGATGACCTCCTCTTCTTTATCACTAACCCGGAGGTCTCGCTCCCGAATATCCTGAAGGCCTTCAGGACCTTTGGGGAGATATCCAACCTCAAGATCAACTTCACAAAATCATACATCTTGAACGTTAGTATACCAGAACACAGAGCCGCCCCCTTAAAGCAGAGCCACACATTCCAATGGGCACAACATCAAATACAATACCTAGGCACATGGCTGACGAGGAGGGAACCTGATCTATTCAGACACAACTTCATCCCCCTACTAAACAGGTTCCGTAAAGACCTGTAGGATTGGGCATACCCACACATATCCTGGCCTAGCAGGGTCCAGGTTATAAAAATGAACCTGCTCCCACGCCTACTATACCTCATGCAAGCCCTACCCATTACCATCCCCAGATCATTCTTTCAGGCCCTGCGACAGGAAACCGGGAAATATATTTGGGACCGCAAAAGACCGAGGGTCAAACTAGCCACACTGACGCTGCCCAAGGACAGGGGGGGACTGGCCATACCAGACTTCTCCCTGTACTACGAATCCTGTCACCTCCAACGAATTATGGAGTGGACAAAAGAGAAGGTGCATAAGAGATGGAAAGAGGCAGAGGAAACGGATGCGGGGATACCGCTGTCCATCGTCCCATGGCGGGGAGGGGAGGGAGCGGGAGACAGGGCACACCCTGTACAACCGCAACCCTACGGGCATGGGAGAGAGTAGCGCAGATATGCAGACTAGCGCCATTCCCATCCCCTCTTCTCCCTCTCACGCATAACAACAGCTTCCCACCGGGGCTAGACCCCAACGCATTCAGGGACTTAATCCGACATTAACTACCCAGACTACACCACCTCCTGGAAGGCACGGAATGCAAAACACTCCCGACCCTATTAGAGGGAGCAACCCCCACCCTCCTGCACCACCTAAAACACAGACAGCTACAGAGCTACGTACACACCCTCCCGGGGGGCACGGCACGGAAACGTGATCCTACCACACTTGAAAGAATGTGCATGGACCCAGACCCGCAACCACACGGGATCTCACTCATTTACTCCATGCTACAAAGGGAAACACCAACGGAGAAACCCAAATTCATGGGGAGATGGGAACAAACATTGGGGAAAACTTTCACAGACGGGGACTGGGAAAAGATATGCTACTTAACGCATCACTGCTCAGTCTTCAGCAAAACACAAGAAACGGCGTTTAAATTGTTAATGAACTGGTACCGCACCCCGATTGCACCCCGATTGCACTCCATGCCATGGACCCGGAAAACACGGATCTCTGCTGGAGGTGTAATAAAGAGGCCGGCACAGTACTCCACCTTTGGTGGGCCTGCGAAGCCATAAAGCCCTTCTGGCGGGGTATACACGGCTTTCTCAAAACCTTCTCAGACACGCCACCCCCCTTCCTCCCAGAACACATGCTCCTTCACCATACAAAGTCACCTAGAACAAGATACAAGCACTCACTAACCATTAGAATCCTAAACGTTGCCAAACAGGTGATCCCTCAATTCTGGAAGCAACAAACAACACCCCCGTTGACATGCTGATTCTCCCAAATGGAGGAACTCAGAGCCATAGAGGAACTCATTATGACCACACCCAACTCCTTGAATAGGTACACGGACATATGAACCCACTGGATACTGACTACTACCAAGGCAGAATTCACAACCAGGCTCCAATATGGCACATAAGGACAAAGTGACGAAGCCGCATAGACCGACAAATACAGAGACGACCTCGACAGACGTGACCCAGACGCGGACGCACCCCGACCCCCCCACCTCCCCAGACGCCACTACCCGGACATCGCCCCAATCCCAAACACTGAGTGCGAATAGACAGGCACTTGACATACGCCAATGACAACATAAGAGGAGATTTATAAGGCCTCCGGGAAGACGCTCACTCCTCCATGAGGGGACAACAGAACATATGACACCCACAAGCACGTTCTCCAGAACAGGCCACGGGACTTAACACTGGGCTCATAGGGGCCAGCGGACCCACCCTGACACCTCAGCGTTTACTAGAGGTAATACCTGACCGCCTTACTGCCACGCGACTCACGGGCCCGACACCCAACTATAACACCCACTACATGGTGACCGGCACGTCACCAATGCTGGTTTTGCAGACCGTCATTCCTTTCCAAAGGCTGCTCATGTCCCACCCTAAGTGGACCTGCGAGTCCACACTGAAGTTTGCATAATGAGACTTAACAAACGGGGCAACTGAATGCAAACGTCACATCAGCTTAGGGACAAGAACAGCATGCTGTAAGGGACCTGCGAGTCCACAGCAATTGTGGGCCTGCGCGCCCGGTTGGCTGATATAAAAAAGCTATGCACATGTTGTATTTTGGTTATTGTGCCCTAAAGGCTTACGGAGACCTGCGAGTCTCAATGTGACTAATTCTCGACAATATAAACCGAAATAAAAACATATTTACAAAAAAAAAAAAAAATGAAAGAACAAGTTTAACGCTTGTTTTCAATGCATTTTATCAGACTTACCATGCCTGTACCCTGGCAATATCCAATATCAGGATAGAACCATGCCAGTCCACGTAGGACTCGCCTGAGGCGAGGAACGCCTACACTTTGTAAGTTGGAGAAACAAGCATTGCTGGGCATAGTACGAAGCAAGTCTTTTTCAATCTGAAACAAACAGAATAAACAGAACTTGTTTAGTCATGAAATGTGGAATCTACGATAGTCAAAAGGATGGCAAACTCTATAATTCTTCACTTATACAAGCAAACTCCAATCACCCAGATATTTATTACTCCTTGTAAAACTTTACATTGTAGAAAATGCAAAAAGAGCCATAAATGCCAAGCGAATTTTAAGGTTTATGCCAAAATATTCATTCTATAGACAGCGACTCCAACTTTCTTGGGCTTAAATTTGAAATTCACTATGAACTCCTAAAAAACAAAAACAAAAACAAAAACAAACAAACAAACAAAACAACAATCAAACGGATATTCCTTAGTCACCCATCCAGTTACCTGTTTGGCGGACAGATTTTCATCATTTGAACTGTTCCTCACGATATCTCTGTATGTCATGTCTGAATTCCTCTTCTTCTGCAGGGCACCAGCAAGTCGCATCCATAGCTAGGGAAGAAATCGCATTGAAAAGCAAATTAGTGTATTTTTTCTTTCTAAATGATGCAAACCAGTTAAACCTCCACCTGGTTTAGTTGCATGGCAGACAATATCCAGACTTTAAGATTAAAAACATATTATATATTGCTGCTTTGACGTCACATATCACTATTGCAAGACGGCAAGATATTCCTTCCAAAACAGTGCTCCACTGTTCGTTATAAGTCCTGCACTTACAATATATGTTTTTATCTGCAACTTGGTGACAGAAGTAAGGGTACCTTACACAAATGTTTTGACCTGCCACTGTTTGTGTATGTAATTTTAAATTATACCACCAATATCCAGAGTTTGGAAATGAAGTTAAGATTGACCTGCAACATCCACTAGTAGCCTTACAATTGTGATTGAACTAAACTGCCATGGAGTGTTAGAATGTGTTTCAGCAGTGAAAGCAGTCTTTTCTTTGTTAAGTAGGCTTCTAGATTAGAATTGTTAGACAGATTAGGCAACAAAAAGTAAGACTGATACACAAGACAGAATCCTGGTACAGAGCTCAGACTTACATTTGGATTCCTTATGGACTAGACAGAAGGTCTAAGGACAGTCTTATACAATCCCTTTTTTAACTTATTACAATTTGATATTTTTTATATTTATGCTATGGTGGTTTGATATATGTGATATTAAGTCATTGCAGTTGACTTTTCAAGTAGCAGTTTAGTCAATTCATCGATCTCAATTACACTCTATCCAAACTTATTCCCTAAAGCCCACCCGTACACTCAGCCGGAACGTTTCAGAAAACTCAATTCTAATGTATTATAGGGGTTGTAAATTACTTAGCTTCTGACTACATTATAAGTCTACTCTGGAATGGACTATTACTAAACTAAAATTCTCCAGGCTAAGAGGGGGGAAATAATGTACTACATAAAAATAAAGATAAAAAATAAATACAATAAAAACAAGCGATTAAACGCCCAATGTATTTGACCCTGCAGTTTGTGACTCGGCCAGCCATAATGTGAGATTCAGTACAAAAAAAAAAAAAAAAAAATAGAAGTCTGCATAGTTTAGTATTGACTGCTACAAGAGACCACCATAGTAATGGCACACCAAAGAGAACACATGCTAATATTATGAACTTTAACAAGGTCTGGAATAAGAATAGCTTAGGTCCAGCTCAAACTTCTTCAAATTCTCTGTTGTATTGTGTGACACTAAAGTTTCAAATGTTTTACTATCAAGTAACTTTAATCCATTTTGACGGATGCCCAACCCATGGCACATGCAATACCTGCGGTCTCATACTGTGGGGGATTCCAGTTAGTACAAGTGAGCGCAGCTTGTCTGAATGCGGGAGGGTAACATCAATCTTATCCCATGTTAGGTCCCCCACATCATGATTGTGAGTGAATTCAAGGTGGGCTTGCCACTTTAATCTCTGCTGAGGGTCCTCTGTGAGTGGGATACTCAAAAGCTTGCTGGAATTAGGCTCCGCACCATCTGCAACAACAAAAAGACACAGTTGAAAACAGAGAGATATAAAACAGGGAGCAATGTATGACTATATGTGGATTGACTGGGGATGGTTGTAAGCATTAAAGAAAGAGGAAACTAAAAATGCAAATAGAAACCTAGTTATACAGTGATATTCACTAAAGTAAATGGTCAGCCATTCAAAGTAAATTTCTCATTTGAGACAAATTTGGAGAACTTCAACCATACCAATATTTTTTCTGGTGGCTTATTTTTCTTTGAATTCGGAAAAATTCGGAGATATAAAAATGGATCAAGCAGAGAGGTTGCGTGCTGTGAGAACCCCTGGGCTCGGCACGGACTTTGTTGCAATGGGAAAAGGGATTGGGAATCGGATGAAGATGTACCTTGAAAGTCATGGGCAGTGTGGTTCTGTCTGCCAAATCTCGCAATCTCATTGACTCTAGAAATGTATTTTATCAGTTTATTTTCTAGCATTGCTGCATATTATTTATTTTGCTAGCTCACAGTCAGTGCTTTATGTCTTTATTTTATTTCTTTGTTTATAGGGGCACTACTTCTGTTTTAAATGGTTTTTATTGTTTTTGCAGTAAAATTGCATGCATAGTGTGAGAAGCGAGAATCAATATAAGGTTGCCTGCGCAGAGGCTCAGTGTTATATAAAATCATAGTTGCATATGTGCCTGCGCAGAGGCTGATTATAGTTGTACCACACAATATCAGTCATCTGTATGTTCCAGAGCAGTACATTAAATCGACAAATCAGCAGACAGTGGCTATGCGTCAATAATATCTAGCAACAATACATTGAGCTGTGTGTATTTTAGCAAGCATGTAATAGCCTGTATAAGGTGCCGTGCGCGGGTGACTGTATTTATTTATTCGAATTAGCCCGCGGATGGCGCGTCCCATAGAAGCCACAATAAGTGTCGTATGAGTAACGGCAATGCAGGTGATTAAACCTAACTATTTTGCGCCCATGTAGCTCAGGTATTTAATCGAAGCAGGTCCTCGCTATGGGCTAGCTTTATACAGGTTATAGTGTAATAAACATTAGGCAATAACTGTGAACCAACGCCTCAGGGGGTAATGCAAAGCAGGACAAAAACTTTTTCAACTTTCAGCATAATGAGCATATTTGTTTTAGTTTGCTGCCTTATTATTTAACAAAGCTATTTGGGATATCGGATTTACAGTGATAAGCGACTGTACAGTCTGTCATGCAGCAGTCCGCAATTAAATATGCATCAGTTGGCCCCTATGGGCATTTTAGCATTAACTGTGCATTCCTTTGGTATTTTAATCTCAGATGACTATATGTAACATATCAGCCTAAATAGGTAGTATTGCTGCGTGTTATGGAGTGAGTGATGCTATGTCTGCTGTAGTAGGCGGGAGTCACTCCCACTCCAGCCGCCTTGGGCCCCCCGTGGCCGTCAATCCTCCGTCCGACCTCCCCAGGCTATGTCCAGCCTTCCCGCATGGCGCCCTGTGGCACTGTGGGCACTCAGAGTCCGAATCAGTCCATTAGACCCCCCCACCAAGAATCCATGTTCCGACCGGCTCCTGCACCTCCCCAGCACCACATGTGCTTCCGTGAGGTACATGGAATCCCTTGCTCCGCTGAGCGCCGGCCACATACTTGGAACTGGGCGTCCTCCCCACGGCGACCGGTACACCGGAAGGGTTGATGCACCTCCATCCCACAGGACTCACAGCGTCGGGGGCCGGTCTCCTCTGGGTCACCCCCAAACCCAAAGGCAGGGTCCATCACCTCTCTCGGGGGTCAGGGGCCCAGGGGTCTTTCTGAAGGGCCGCAGTCACCAGGGTCCCCACAGCAGCGTGAGAGTGCCTCCTCATGTTAGTGCAGGCTCTTCTCCGTGGCAGCTTGCGTGTCCGCTAGCTGGCTGTGCTTCGGGCAGCCTTTGCTAGTGCAGGAGGCAGGCTTGGGACAGGCGCGGGACCTCCCGCCGCTGTGTAGGCCGCCGCCATGTGGCCGGGATAACCCCCACCCGCCAGGGGGGGGAGCGGGGCCGGGCCCGAGCCCGGGCAGTGTGCCATATGTGCAGGTGTCTCACAGGAGGTGTCTGTCTCCCCCCTTGGTGTTCCGTGAGGACTTGTCTCCTGGTCTTCAGGGTGCACTCAACGGCTGCATGTATATAGGCGTATGGCTATTAGGCCGCGAGTGTCTATTTCGGTGCGGTATGCTTCTTCCAGGTATCTGATTAAAGCTGAAGTCCTTCTCCGTTGAATGGTGTTGGAGGATCCAACTTTGGTGCGGTTGGTACCGACTTTTTATGTCATTTCTCCGGGCTTAGAGCTGGAGCCAGAGCTGATGGCTTCCAGTCGGCTCGGCGGCCCGGCCCCGCCCGGGGCACTACTTCTGATTTTAATCATTTAAAAATGCGTAAATAGATCTCTAAGTAAAATTTGCAATAATTATATATATTGCTGCTTGAAATACTGAAACATTTTGCTATACTGTTGCATTGCTATGCCATTTCACAACAAGGGCAATAGCCTGACCAAACACGAACCTTCTTTGTCCACTCTGAAACCAAATTCATCATAGCGGAATTCTGGCTGTTCCACAGATTGCTCCTTCTGAATAGTGGACAAAACAATGGTTATTATTTAAACAGACCTGCAAAGTCAACAATCCCCATGTTTCATACCTATTTACATCTATTATACATTTATAAAAGGAAGTGCCTTTTGTATACAGAGATAAGTTAAATTTAAATTGCTTAAGAACATGAGGACTTAAATGATTTCTAAATGTCGTGGGCCACAAAATATTAACATGGACTTTTCACTTTCAAAAATAATAAAAACCGCAGGGCAGCATGAACTACTGGCAATGTGATAAAAATATCATACATCAGAGATACCAGTGTTTTATAACCCATTTAGCCATATTTCTATAATGAATATGATGCAATAGACTGAACTTCAGAAAAAAATATTGGTAAATTTTTCCCCCTATCCAACAGGATTTATATAGTATTTCTAGTGTTCATCTTATTAGAATAAATTTCACCTTACCTGTGTGTACTTCGCTAGTATGTCCTGTGGCCACATGCTGGCTGTGAGCGCTGAGAAGGGACCCCCTGGATATGGTGTGTAGCTACCTAAATATTATAAAGAAAAAAAAAAAAAGTCTATAACAACAGAAAAAGTATTCTAAAAGATAGTATATGGTTTCTGGATAGTAGGAGAGTAGACATATTACATGTCCAGGAAAAACAATATTAATAGACACAATCATACATTACAAACAGACTACAATGGGTGTGAGTCCATTAATTCACTTTTAAAATACATACACACAATAAATATATATATATATATATATATATATGTGTGAGTATATATTGTAATGGACTTCCCATTGCGTACCTCACTCTACAATCAACATTCAAACAATTGCAACAATTGCCTTATAGCAAAGTCAGAAGCTGATACTTCAGGCAATCTTACTTTGAATACCTTTAAAGATACATAACAAGGATATCATTATTGTGTCGTCAGACATGGTAAGGGACTGTACATTACCTGTGTTTATTAGTACTCTACCATAATGATAAAGCGCTCCTGTTTACCTAAAATTCAGTTTTTAAACTTTGGATGGCTTCAACAAACCATGAAGCACTTTAAGACGGCAACTCAGCAGCTCTCTGACCAGATATTGGTTGAGTCCAATTCTTTCAACCCAGCACCTCAATTGACCCCACACATAGCAAGATAGAGAGTCTCCAGTTCCTTTTTCCAATGGACTGATAAAACACTGTTTTAGTGCCAATTTCTGGCCTATATTAAGCTTTAATTAGGAGTTCAACGGTCAGTTGTTTTCTCTTACATTTTAAATGTGTGTCAGTGGTTCTCATAAGTACAGTAATGGCATATGCCAGAAGGCCTGTGGCTCTATGACATTCATTACTACAATAATATAAACCAAAAGCACCACACACATTCTTATTTTTCTCTCCAAGAGAGGCATTTCAACTTTCTGTGCCAAGGTACCTGAGTTGTAAATCCAGCCCTTGCAGTTAAATAAAAGCAAATCCTTTATGAGAATATGAGCAAAAAAGAAACTTCCATCCCTTACCAGACATTGTGCCGGTCTAAATGTTGCCGAAACCGGCTGATGATCCCGTGGAGTGATCTGCAGATGATAAAAGCCAAAAAGCTTCAAGTAGTTGTCCCAAGAAAATCAGGAGGTGAATTGTAAGTGATCATGAGGCGTGGACTTGGCATAAATACACACGGGCGTATGGCAGACTAAGAAGGCTCTGTTGGAAACACATAATTTTTATTTATTTTTTGTATCTTTGTTAACAATGGTATATATTCACATTCCTTCTTATGCTGTAGGTTCATTTTTGTTTCCATAATGTGTCACCCTAAGGACTAGCACACACATGTTCTATGTTGGCTCTCTTGGGAGCCTTTAGTCATCGCTATGTTAAGATGTAAATAAACAAGCACTAAATAATACAGTTATCCATTCTGCAACTGTTCAACATCACCCCAGCAAATGCAATGCATCTTGACATTGACTTTTACTATTAAGTTGGTATCTCGACTTGGAAAACAAAGCTTTCTGGTCTTGTTCTGTCTCACCATAGAAATTAGATTGTGCATTTTATGGCAAGGATAAGACTACTTAAATACAATGAGCTATAAAAAAAAAAAACACAACATATTTAATAATAGCAATATCTTTGTAATTATGCCGTTACGGAGGCCAAAGACCCACTAATACTTCAAAATACCTTTTGCTTCTTTTACAATAAAATCAGAATGTTGAAATTTCACCATGTACATCGCCTGGTGGGGGTGGGGTCAATTATTCAACAGATATCTCTTAAAAGAAGTCTTCTCAGGAGGAACAATTCACTCATTGTATTATGACCCACTTTGCGGACAGCAGAAATGAGACACGTAACTGATTAACACTGTAGCTGCGGGTTGGGTAACACACACCTATCTCAGAAACTACACTCAAATGACTACTCAATAGATACTGGGGGAAGGAGGAAGTTATTTTAACTGAGGCAAAACAGGTGCTCTTCTGGGGAAAAGTGCGAAATGCTGTGAGACATTCTACTGGTGTCCATGGGCCCCATATTTAGCCCATTGTCCCAAAATAGTACCTACATTTTCCTTGAAAATTTTCCTCCTTTGTGTTTCAAAAACATTACTCAATAATTAGAGGCAGTGAATTAAAGGAACTCTAACAAATATAATAACAGCATACTCCGTTAATTCTTAGATCTTTATTCTAGCACCAGCTCTAGCCTAAGTCTCCTCAGAGCAGTCACTCCACTTCCTATGAAGTCATCAATAGTGATATATTTGGTCCAATCCAATGTTTGAGACAATCACAATCTTCCACCATTCAAAAGCGTCTCAAAGAAGCATTGAATCCAGTGCTTCACTATGCCATCATGTTGGGTGTGATGACACAGAAGTTAAAGACCTTTTATTTTAACAGGTCTTCATGAGAAATAGCCTCTACAGGCTGCCCACCACTAGGGGTGTGGCTTCAGACAAATGTGAACGTTGCAACGTGTTTTTTGTGTTTAGAATTGGCCCGAAGTGTAATAGGCCCACAGCCCCATGGCTTGCAGATCCCAAATGAAACAATGGATAACGCTATTAACTGCTGTCCTAAGGAGGTCTACATCCCTCTGTACTGGCAATATCAAAACCGTAAGAATGATCTAGCATGAGATTTGAAGAAATCAGTGGGAGATTTGAATACATAGAAATCAGTGCACAGCCTTAACAGACTACATAGTACATAGTTGTCTAGGTTTAAAATAGACTACAGTCCATCAAGTTCAACTCTGAATCCCATTACTGTATGCGGTAGACAGTGGCGTACACACAACCCATGGGGCCCCGGTGCGAAAACTGATCTGTGCACCCCCCCTCCCCCTTACTCTGCACGGGCTGGGGCCGCAACACATGGCGGCGGGCACCTGGTCGCAGGGCTGCGACCGCGGTATGTACGCCAGTGCATGCAGATACACATACACTTAAAGGACCACTACAGACACCCAGATCATATCAGCTCAATGTCTGGGTGCCAGGTCCCTCTAGTTTTAACCCTGCTATGTTTCACTGAGGGTTAATCCAGCCTCTAGTGGCTGTCTCATTGACAGCCGCTAGAGGAGCTTCCGCAATTCTCATTGTGAAAAATCACAGTGAGAAGACGCTGAACGTCCATAGGAAAGCATTGAGTAATGCTTTCCTATGGGCGGTGTGAATGCGCGCGCGGCTCTTGCCACGCATGCGCATTCAGAGCTGAGAGGGCGGATCGGGGCGGAGAGATCCCCAGCGCCAAGGGAGTCCGGCACTGGAGAAAGGTAAGTGCTTAAGACACACACACACTCTAATACACACACCCCTTGCTGAAGCATAAACGTCAATGGCATAATGTCCCACTATTTCATATACATACCAACTTGTTATTTTACTGTACATCACCACATTCAATGAAGAAAGCACCTGCACTTACATTAGCATGTAAATAACCTGTAATATAGCTATGCCAGCTATGCTATTCAAGCAGTGGGGAGTTAATTCATGCAACTGTTCTACCTTTCTCGCAGACTAAGTGGACCTGTGCTTTTAGAAGAACAGTTGCAGCCAGTCATTGTGTCATTTGGTCAAGTTGACATTTAATCTTCCGATAAAGACACATTGTGTGACAAAGTATCCCATGGAGCAGGCCTGGATAGCTTTCACAGACTAGCATCTTCCACATCTATAAATATGTACACGGCAGACCCGTGAGATCATCAAAAGTTTACTTTTATAGGACTTTATTGCAAAATATAAAAGTGGTCAATATGCAGACTCTGTAAGATTCCAAGTATCTGGAGACGCGTTATAATTGCACACGCAACGTCTTCCAACAGGCTGAGTGTATGGTTCACAGCAATAAATGTTATAGAGATTGAGGAATTTACAGAGCTTTGATGCCATTGGGGAAAAGAAAAAAAAACAGTAATTTCTAAACATACAGTTTATCTTTGCTGCTATTATTCCTAAACATTGAAAAATGGCCTTCAACGCAAGTGTGTGGTTACAGGATATAAATGGAAACCTCTTGTACAGATAATATTTTAAAGAATAGTTCAGATATTAAAACATCAGCTTTGTGTCTGAAGAGCACACAAATTACATCAGCAAGCAATGAATAACACATGTGGAGATAAGGAATAGACGTACAGCTTCTGATAGCAGATAAAAGCCAACTAACCTGTTTATTTCACATCTGTCAAAGGCTTGAAATTCACACAGGATTGGATTTTATATAGGACTGCCATATATCTATCCTAAGAATTCTAGTACAAAAATATCAATCAGATAGCATCAAACAGTAAGCTCATATAGGGCAAGTATCATCTGTCCTCAAAACAAGGTACCACAGAGACCAGCTAGAGGCCTATTTGGATTTAATGTGAAGTCATTAGAGATAATGCTAGGGAGTCGAGTGACCAACAGGTGACAGACACGGCAGCTGTAATGTTTTAAAGACATTTCCTTCTGAAAACGTCAATCTATGCGGATAGATTGTGTATTCAGATTGTACGGTAATATATTCCCACCATGTTTTCATTTAGGCCTACTTTCTCCTTTCATTTTGAAGGGTTGTTTTCATGGTTTATACCACACGAGTTCCATAGAAGATGGAACTGGGTAAGACTCAAAACGATAACTAATAAAAGATAAAACACATACCTAGTAAATATATCTGGATGTGGTATAAGAATGGTATAATAAAAAATAGAGTGAGATAAGATAAGGGTTTAACATCAAACATCCAATAGCAATTGAAGATTAACATTCACCCATGCAACCTGGCAGGACTAATTCACAGTCAAATGTGAATTGTTGAGAACTCAAAGTGAATTTTAGTCAAAAATAGCTGAAACTAAAAATATAGCTGACTCAGAGAATTTTTACAGTTTGGCTTTTTTTGTTTATGCTTTGAAATTAATTGTGGAATCCTGACGATCCAAACATAGTGAATAACTCAGTAGGTTCCAAAAATTTATTTAAATTTATTCCTACAGGGAACTCGTGGTAAATTATTGAAACTGCAGCCCATTTTTAGCAGAATACTCAGAAAATCACTAAGGGACATGTACTCATGCCCTCTGAAAGGATTGTGCTTTTAGGGATAATTTTCCAGTCATCCAGAACAGGTTTGCACTTAAAAATAAACAAAACCAGCCATACATTATTTTCAGAGAAAGAAAAAAAAAAAAATAGGATTGGGGGCACACCCAGAACATGCATTTTTCAGCATTAATACAATATAAAATACAGATTTTAAAAAACAGCACACACATGCAAAATGACAATTTTAAATCACCTATCTAAGCAAGCAAATTTAGATTTAGTTCCAATGTTTGCCCACCAATACAGAGTAGTGTAATACCAGCAGATATCTAGTGGCACAGTGGACTGCTTAGCACAATATGGCCAAAGGGTGGAAGCAAATTTGAGGTAAGCTTGCAAGATGTAAAATTGTATTTGGGTGTGTGTGCCCTGTTCTTTAATCTGTATACGGTTGGTTTCAGTTTTACTACTTGCTTCTGGACATTACTGAAGTGATTGGGTCTGTTTTTCTACAGATTATTGTGTAATAATTGATCTCTAAAATGTTTTACCAGACCTGTCAATAACCCTTGTTAAGAAGAGACTTAAATAATTTTTTTCATTCATTTCATGTAATCCATTCTGTGATAATATTTAACATTATAATTGCCTTTTATTTGTGTAAGGATAAGAATACACAGAGGACTATAAAAGGTATATTGTTTTAGTTTATGTCCGTGATGGATAATCTTCACACTGCAGATATTTGTGGAGTAATTTCCTGTGGTACTCAGACCACCTTTATCCTGGCAGATAGCAGATAAACCTTCCGTTTATATCAGTGGTTCCCAACATGTGGTATGCGTACCCCCAGTGGTACGGATCAGTTCCCTGTAATGGTGCAAACAGAGGTGGAATAAATGGGCGGTCATTTTGGACATGGTCTGGCCGAGGAAGGAGACAGCCAGCCTCCCATTCTGGCAAAGGCTCAGCACTAAAGAATCCGATGTAATTTACGACAATCTCCTGCTATTCCAGGGAAGGAGGGGCTCATATGGAGAAGGATTTCAGCGCAAGGTGCATCACGTCACATACTGTTGTTGACATGCGCCGCCTGCAGAGTGCCGGATTTACTTTAAGGCAAACAGTGTGCGGAAGGATCTTCTCAGTTTGCCTTAAAGTTAATTAGATTGCAAACCACTGCAAATAAATAAGTATTGCTAATGCCATAGACGTTGGACTTTGCAGCCAACCATAGGAAGAGCCTGGGGCAAATGAGGAGCTGGGAAACCTGAACAATTCTAGCCCATCTTATATCTCTTCACAGACCAATAGGTATTCCCCTCCTTGTTCCCTCTGCTCTGCCTGTGACCACCTTCTGACTGCTGCTCGCACCTGTACAGCCAACTTGCGTTTGCATGGCAGCTCCTTTCCTATGGAATAGCTTGCCTACCCTCATCAGACTCTGCCCTAGTCTTCAATCCTGTAAGAAGTGCCTTAAAACCCATCTCTTTAGGAAAGCTTATGGCCTCCCAGAGTAACCTCTACCTTGCATACCTGTCTCTTGCTCTCTCCTATAGGGCAGCACTCTACCCCCTCCTCCAGCTCTGCTTCATTCCCACCCTATTTGATTGATATTTCCTGTCCTAACGTGTCTTATACCCCACCTCCTATAGACTGTAAGCTCGTTTGAGCAGGGTCCTCTTCAACCTATTGTTCCTGTAAGTTTTCTTGTAATTGCCCTATTTATAGTTATATCCCCCCTCTCGTAATATTGTAAAGCGCTAAGGAATCTGTTGGCGCTATATAAATGGCAATAATAATAATAAATAGCAGCTATATTAATTACAAACATTTTGCTGAGGGATACAATTTATGGAAATGGGCTACCAAGGGGTAAAAAAGTGAAAAAAGGTTGAAACCCATTCATCTGTATAATGCTGAAATAAAAACTGCAAATACACTCCTGCTATCCCTCAACAATGTGAAAAAGCACATTGCCAACAAGGTTTGTGCTCGGTAAAATGACAAAACATCAAACCATCAAACTTCAAGTTAAAAAGGGATAGTTTATCCATTCAAGAATAGGCATAACAAGGTAAAACATTCCCACTTTAGCCATCAGCCATAACAGGTGGCAGTAAATGGGACATTCTTTGTTTTAGCTGTTGCATCTCTCTGTGCAGGACAGGGAATATCTGAGGAAGATACAGCTGTCAATGTTGCATTTTAAATACCTTTTCGCGATGGGGATGAGAATGACGCAAGATTAAGAATATCAACAGTATGGCCTCTTTCTGAATGGCCACATTTATGGCTTTCAGTACTTTTCTCACTAAAAACATGAATGAAGCTACTAGCAGAAGCTTGTTAACAGAAGTTCCACAAGGGCTCCAAAGAGACTGCTAAGTAGCTTTATATCATGTTATCGTGGATGAAATTCCTTGTGACAGAAGAATTGCATATCTCAGGATCTCTTAAAGCTACGCACAGCAGGATTTATGTGATAAAGGCATTGTCCCTTTAGAAATCAATGGGAGGGCCGAGATTGTCTTCTAGATCACAAACACAATTTATGGAAATGGGCTACCAAGGGGTACAAAAGTGAAAAAAGGTTGAAACCCATTCATCTGTATAATGCTGAAATAAAAACTGCAAATACACTCCTGCTATCCCTCAACAATGTGAAAAAGCACATTGCCAACAAGGTTTGTGCTCGGTAAAATGACAAAACATCAAACCATCAAACTTCAAGTTAAAAAGGGATAGTTTGTCCATTCAAGAGTTCATTACAAGAAACAAAAACCAGCCTCCATTCCAGTAGTATACTGTGCACCTGAGTGAATTGAATGAAATCAATTGTGTGCACCTACTTATAGGCAATTTAAAAACACTGTAGCAAATTGGACAAGGAGCAACATATTAGCAAAATAACAGCCTGCAAATATCAAAGGAACTCTTACAGTAAATGGGAGTGGGGGAACATTCATCAGGTCAATGGAGTTCATGCATACCGTAGGTACAAACAAGCTAAACTTTATCAAGACTGGTATAACCGTAATGAAAAAAAATAACCCCATAAACCCCAAAATCTAACTTAAAAATACAGGCCAAAGTAGTCATTTTATAAGAATTGTCCAACTCAGTTATAGTCATACTATTTTGGGCAGAAGTTTTCAATTCTGTCCTCGATACTTTTGAAGTTTGAAGTTTAGTGGAGAAATCCTTAAGAGTTTTACATGATAATTGTGGTGGTACTGGATGTTCAACTCGCTTGTAGTTTACATATACCTGTAGTGCTATGGTAAGCAATTGCTGACCTAGGTGGAACATTTATCACCTTCCATTTCTCGAGTCCACAATTATGTCTAAACACTGCAAAAGGTAAAATCAGCTTCAAGGTGAATGCAGGCGTTGCAAAAACAAAATAAAAGACATACGCACAACACAGTAAAGGAGGAGACCATATTTAAAAGAAGAAAAACTACCACAACAAGAGGACAGTCTTAAATTAGAAGTGTAAAGGTTAAAAAATATCAGGAAATATTACTTTACTGAGAGGGTATTGGATGCATGGAATAGCCTTCCAGCCAAAGTGGTAGAGGTTAACACAGTAAAGGAGTTTAAGCATGCGTGGGATAGGCATAAGGCTATCCTAACTATAAGATAATGTCAGGGGACTAATGAAAATATTTAGAAAATTGGGCAGACTAGATGGACTGAATGGTTCTTATCTGCCGTCACATTCTATGTTTCTATTTGAAAACACAAAACATAGGATTCTGTCACATAGGACCTTTGATCACTATAGAACAACATACGGTCTCCACAAGTTCCTAATTAAAGTAAAAACCAAAGAAAAACAAGTTACCTGCGCTCTCTCCTTAATCCCTATGTATTTTTAAACAAATGGAGGTTTTTTAGTTACCTCCAATGGCCATGAGAGGATAAGCCCACCTGCCAACGTCAAGGCAGCCCCCCCTAAGTGGGTCCTAACTCTAACCATTCACCTTGCTTCCTTGAGCCTCTGGCAAAAATTTCTCTAATTTGACAGAAAGGGGTATTTTTTATATACACCCCTATATATTTATTAACCCTTAATAGGGAACACATGGAATGGGCGGCAGCATTGTAACAAAGCTGTGAGATACAAAAAGTGGATACAAATGCAGAAAGATAGGTCCAGTGCAACCTGTTTTTCTTTGTTTTTTACTATACATTGGGGCTGATGTGAACTGTAGTCTTTGCTGCCGCCCAGTAGTGATGGGAGTTAGTCCCTTTCAATAACAATTTCCGTGACTGCTATACCACTGGCCTAGGGGAAGACTCCAAGCAAGACCTCAGGAGCAACCATTTAACTATCTTTGATTAATACCATATATGTCAGTGTCCCAAATGAAGCATCTACCTCTAGCAGACTTCCGGACACTGCTAATTTTGCATGCTTTCATAAAGCCAAAATGCACTTACATAAAAATGGCAGCCCCGATTGCTGCCCCACATGCACGGCCAAATTTCCACAGAACACTTCGATATTTAAATGCAATTATGTTGCCTTCCTAAGGCCCACTTATGATTTTCATAGCCCAATACCACAGTTCTGTATTCTATAGCATTTTTTTGCTTTGTGTGGATACCCTGTCCTGCCTCTCACGACCTTGACCAGTGCAGTCTTGCGTACTTCTGGATTTTTTTTAAAATGTATTTTTTAAACTTTGGCTATTTCCGCTCACCTTTATAGGGTTCTGTTTAATCACATCATTTCAGAGTCGTCTGTTAAGACTGGCCATTCTGATAGCCAGCACAAAGACCCTCTATCTCTGCATTACTTGTCCTTACTGCAGATCTACAGTCTGGTCAGTATCCAGTATAAAAATACATTAAGAATAAAATAAAGAACAAAAAAATGTATAAAAAAGGATAAAAGGAACAGGCATGAAATATATTATGTTAGTGGAAAGAGTTAAAAACTAGACAGTGCTATAAAATAAAAAAAATGCTCTTAAGAACAGTCAGACTGGTTTTTCTTGATGGCCTATCATCTCCTTGGAAACATGTTTGTAAGCAGAGATGAAAGGAGGTGTGGGAGATATAAGCCAGTATCTTCGGCCCACGTTTATCAGCTGTTGCCTGTCCTGAACCAGTTTAGCTTTCGGATGGATTACTGAGGGCTTTAGAGAACACGGCACAATCTTTTACTGCAACAAACTAACATAAATAGCAATGGGAAAAGTAAGTCCTAAAAGTACAACTACGGAAACAAAGAGTATGCAATGACAAAGCATAATGAAATACTCAAAGGGAACGTATATTTAAAGATACAAGTACATATACAACAGCACTGAAGATGGGCCTTTAGGCAACTTTAGGACTAAACTAAACAAACAAAAAAAAAAAACAACCAAAACATCCAGTTCAGAATTACAGGGCCATCTTCCTTTCCAATTCAGTTTAAATAAACATAACTATGGAAATGTTAAAATTCCATTTGCACTTCCTTGACACACTTCAAGAGAAAGGGGCCGCTTTAAGAATTAACCAGGATTATTAACAGAAGTGTTAATTGTTTTGGGTACAAAGTGAATACCATATTTAAGGCCATCATAGTCATACAGCAAAAATAGCTGCTGGAGAGAAATCTCCTAATTTGGCTATTTACTAAAAGTCAAAGACTTGAGTAAATAACCCTGATGGAAATTATACACTAAATGGTGACATTAAATTAAACTTTTACAACAAAACTGACAAATTAAAATATATACACACACATTTTTTATTTCTCAATTTGGCCTTAAATGTGCAATCCCATGATAAATTTCTACAAACAAACCAAAAAAACAATAACTCAGTTTAGAGTTTAACCCTGACAACAGAAAGAGACAAGTAGAAAATACAAATAAATCTGTATTGAAATAAACACAAGTTTTTACAATTTCACAGAGCATTGCTTTCCAAATTTATACGTCTATTACGACAAATGTTACGGAGAGCAAGCAAAGCAGCTGCTGATATATCCTTGTTTTAGAGGCTGCCATTACGTACGTTAGATAGAATTGTTGCAGCTGTGAATATTAATAATGGTAAACGGAAAAAGTATACGCACACGGTACACATGCAGCACATCTAAAAAATTAAATAAATGAAAAGCAGTGCTCGAGGCTGTAACTCTGCATAGTGGTAACAAGCCTTCTGAGCGGAGTCAATGACGTGTCACTAGAACTAATTTGGAAACTCACAGGTAGGACAGGTGCAGTCCAGAAGAGATTAGCCTGTATAGCCATAGCTTTATAGAGTTCAACTCGCCCCCATTAAAGCATTTTAGGACGACGTGATCCAGCAGCTGTCACAATGTTATAGTCTATAACTGGCAGCTGCAAACTTTTGTTCTCTCAACAATCAGAAGAAAAATCACTGACAGACAACAATCAGATAGTAAGTATTTACCCTTGAAGCTGAAAATCTAGTGAAATGGAAGGAAAGTTAGTAGAAGAAAGAGAGGAACAGTAGAGTACGTTGATCACAAACAGGTGCTCCTGGTTCCATTGCTACTCAATGCTTTCCCAGGTGACGTGGGAAGCAGGTGCTGTAATTGCATAAGGTAAAAAGTGCCCCCTTCACTTCCTTAGATCCATGCTCACCTTTGCTTTAATGTCCCATCACAAATGCCTGATGCTCAAATCCCCCTTTCCTCCTTTTGCTCCTGCAATAACAACACAGGAAAACATTCCCTCAGCTGTACATCCTGGTGTGAGAGCTCCTAATATTTGCTCTCCTCCCCCTTCTTCCCTTGCAGAAAAACCTACAGCTCTTCGTCAACCCTTTCAGTGCAAGACATGAATACATCATCTTAATTCAATACACAACGCACAACTAGAGGAAGGAATTTACAGGAAATAATTAACCAGGGTGGGGATCCCATCGGACCTGTCCTCAGTAATTAATTCCCTTTATTTTAGTTGTAGCCATTCAACATGCTGCTGGGGAGCACTTGCCTTAAGCTGGCTTACTGTGTATATAATGCAGGAAACCACTCCCAAATATTTGGCTAAGCATCATGGGAAACATAGTCCACAACAGTCGGAGTACTCGCCGTTAGCCATTGGCATAGAACGGTAAATATGCTACTGGAATTTCCAGAGGAAAAAAAACAGCATATGATTGGGAGCATAAGATATTTTAGAAGGATACAAATTATTTTTGCCTTATATTAACCTGGCACTGTGATTCCAGGTGACCACAAAACTACTTCAATCATGGAGGTTGTTGATATAAATAAAACAATTAAAGGAAAAATAAATAAAATAAAAACACATTTTTGTTAAGTTGAATGATGACAGCTGCATTTAGTGGTGACAAACACACTTGTTACATCTAGATCAAAATATCAGTTATAATTTGTTATTTGAAAACGTTATAAAAAATAAAAAAAATAAAAAAAAATATGTTTGCAGGCTTTTGTCACTTTTATATTAGTCCTTTGTATGACTGCATTATTACAGAATTACTAATTACAGCCCTGAAGCTTTTTTAACAAAGTACTTTTGAAATGGGCAACGCTTCCGTTAGAAAAGTGATCCAGTTGAAGAGTTACAAAGTTGGACAGATATTGGAAAAACACCTGTAGTCCAGCAAAAATCATGAAAACAAACACTGAAAAGGAAATTAAATTCAGCTCAACCACCTGTCAGACAGGACCTGGCTCCCCCTCCTCCACACACCCTTCCCTAAGGCAGCTTATTTGCAGTTTAACCAGTTCACAATGAAGGCCGCCCTTGGTAAATCCAAAGCCTTTACAGACTCACTAGCCAAAAGTATTTGTCACGTCATTTTAGCCTTTAAAGGAAACACACAGGGATATTCACTAAAACATGGAACATCCATTTTTAGGCCAGATTGTTTGAATTGTTGGTAATTCAAAGTGAATTTCAAAATTTTAGGCAACATATCTAGCACAGCCATCTTGGAGAATGCTTCCAAATTGGCAGTTTCGGGCTAAAACTGAAATTCGATTTTAACTTGCAGTGCATTCCAATAGACGTGGGTAAGACAAGTTGCTTAAGTGTTTGGAGGAAGGTGGGAATAGGGTAAAACATTCCCACTTTAGCCATCAGCCATAACAGGTGGCAGTAAATGGGACATTCTTTGTTTTAGCGGTTGCATCTCTCTGTGCAGGACAGGGAATATCTGAGGAAGATACAGCTGTCAATGTTGCATTTTAAATACCTTTTCGCGATGGGGATGAGAATGACGCAAGATTAAGAATATCAACAGTGTATGGCCTCTTTCTGAATGGCCACATTTATGGCTTTCAGTACTTTTCTCACTAAAAACATGAATGAAGCTACTAGCAGAAGCTTGTTAACAGAAGTTCCACAAGGGCTCCAAAGAGACGGCTAAGTAGCTTTATATCATGTTATCGTGGATGAAATTCCTTGTGACAAAAGAATTGCATATCTCAGGATCTCTTAAAGCTACGCACAGCAGGATTTATGTGATAAAGGCATTGTCCCTTTAGAAATCAATGGGAGGGCCGAGATTGTCTTCTAGATCACAAACACTCCCTAAACCTGGATGATGTAAAGGGATTATACATTAAGAGCCTTTGTGATATGGGTATTATAAATAAGATTTTTTTTTAACACAGGGAGAATGGTCGACTTCTTTTTGGGTCAGCTGCAACAATAAGGATGTATAAAAGATTGACTTTGAAGAATAAGTCTTTACACATAACATAAAGGGACATGGAAAACTTTTTCCCCTCAGTTTTACATTTAATAAAATGTGTTCGAACAATTAAAACAAACTCAAAACAGATTCATTAATTAGTCCTGAATGTTTACAAGCCCAATATGTCCAGGATTTCAATTATATTTTTTAGAAATAATAATAAAATTAAAAAAAACTACTGCAAGGGGTGAATTACGGTTTTAAAGCAAAAATTTGTCAACTTTGAACGTAGTTAATAGATCCAAAAACCACTATGCAAAAGTATATATTTGTAGAAAGTACATCCCTCAGCCTATGCAACAAGATCACTTTTCATTTAACCATTTTAATCACAAACCTAGGTTAAAATAGCTAATTTTTTGTGTTTTGTTCCCCCTCCCACACAAGTATTTTGTGGAAATTCATGGATCACATATGTCCCGCTACTGCAAACACCCCACATTTGTATTTGGCTACTGTCTTACAGTCGAGTACAAGGATACCCTGGATGTATACCTTTTACGCTAATCCTGCACTTAATCCTACCCCTAATACTGTCCCTAACCTTACATTTAAAGGAAAGCTATAGTGCAGGAAAACAAAGTTGTTGGTACTCAGATTGTAATTGAAGAAACAATCCAGGGACAATACCCACTACAGCTCTCTGTTGTGGTTATGGTGTCAGGAGTGCCGTGGCGCCCTCCCAGAATAAATAGTCAAACCGTTTAAGAACAGTTTGACAGTTTACCTGGGGTCTACCAGGACAGGGCCTCTAGTAGTGTGTGTGAGGGGTGCAGTACGTGTGTATGGGAGGCAGTGAGTGTAAGGGGTGCACTGTGTTTGTGTGTGTGAGGGGTTCTGTGTATGTGAGAGTGTGTGTACGAGGGGAACAGTGCGGGCAGTGTGTGTACGAGGGGAACAGTGCGGGCAGTGTGTGCCTATAACCCGACAAACAGCTCTTATGAAAAGACCACACACACGCCTCCCGCACAGCGACACCAATGGGGCGCAAAAATTTAAAATTTCGCATTCGTGAGACGCCCAAAATGTCAGATATTCGGCTCTTGTTTGCGAGGCCTAATCCACCGGCTCCCACCAAGATGGCGCCCAAGGCTCCCAGTGAGGAGGAGGCCTCAGAGGACTCACAGGATGACAGGGAGAGTCCTACCTTGCGTTCGGCAGAAGCTGTGGCCCATTATTCCGACTCAGAATCAAAGTGACATAAGAGACCTCTAAACAGAAATGAGGGAAGTGTGGAAAGCTGCTAAGCACTCAGAAGGAGGTGGGGAATCTCCAACAGTGGTTTACAGCAGTGGAAGCACGAGAAAGTGCAAGGGAGCACCAACAACAGCACTTCCAGGACTCAATGTGGGATATTTCCTCACAGGTCCAGAAACTCCTGCGGACTGTCACAACTATGGAGGCACAGCGCAGAAGGCGGAATATCTGAAAGTGTGGGAGGGGGATGCCTTACTGCCCTACATCTACTGCCTAATGTTCGCAATGGGCCTTAATGAAGGCACTGAGCCAAACATGATACTTTCTGCGTTCAGAATCCGTAAAGCTGCAACAACCCCAAGAGACGCACCCAGAGACACTATAGCAGTCATGAAGGACGTGACAACCCGTTTCGCTATCATGTCCCGCTCCAGAGTCTTGGGCACTGTGCAAATGAAGGGTAGCACTGTGGCCTTATATGGGGATCTCGCGTTCACAGCACTTGCGGAACGGAGACAGCTGGCACAAATTGCCAAACAACTAGGGGACGCAGGAGTAAGATACAGGTGGGAAGAAGATGGATCCCTGACAGAGCCACAGGGAGACCAGATGCTTACCCTGTCCTCCACAGATGACCAAATGGTATTCCTCTGACAGTTGAACTTACCAGAGGCAGACAAAGGTGAACCCAGGGATGAAATGAAGGCAATCAGTCACAGCTTAAGCCCAAAAGCAACCAGGGGCCCTAACAGATGATTTTTATTGTTTTAAAAATGTTATCATTTTCATACCACGGCAAAGTTGTATTTTTGAGTATCCAAACTCTAATAAAATGCTATTTTTTTTTTATTATTTTTTTTTAAAGCAATGATAGGACCCAGGACAATACCCATATTTTTGGTGTAAAACACTTTAATATAAACTTGATAAATCACATATTTAAAGCACGCATTGTGTTTTAATTTTTAAAGAATTTTAAAGCATACTGTAGCATTATTTTACTTGTAAACATATATAGGTGTATATAAAGTGTTACTAGATGTTTCAACACACATTTATTAAGGAAGGCCATGTTTGTTAGATGTGTTAAATTTAAATGTCATAAAATAATTAAAACAAAGGAAAATGTTCTTATTTGCTTATTTTCATTCTATTTCTGGATCAGTTTATATGTATAAAAAAAAAAAAAAAATGATAATTTGAGATGTAGGAGGGAAGCGATGAGCATAATTCACTGTCCAAAAAGTTACATAGCCATTTTTGACATATCAAAAGGTATGAGAGGGTGATGACATCACAATGGAGCTATCTCCAGTGTTCCAGATCATCTTTGTTTTGTCATTCAGTGCAGAAATTTACCAGTCAGTTGCTTTAATATTCAGACTTCATCTCTGAGGAAAGCATCAAAAATGTGTGTTTCCAAACAGATTTCTAGCGTGGAAATATTGCAGTTCTAAAGCAAACTGTAGAGAATACAAGTCTATTTACGGTAAAAGATCCATTGGAAGGAGAGGAGGAGAAGAAATGAAGAGTCTCATTAAAAAAAAAATGCTTTGTGTTTCATATTAGAAAATACTCTGCGAGGAGGGACCTTACTCTCTGTATTCTACTCTTCATCAGGAGCCAGGATTAGGGACCAGGTGCAGGAAAAAGGAGCCATGGATCAAGGATCTGGTACCAGGAATCAGGAACCTTGGATCAGGAACGAGAACCAGGAAACTAGGAGACTGAGGCAAGCACAAGAACTACCAAGCACTGGCCAACTGCAGTGCTTGGGTATTTATAGGGGGGAGATGACCACATGAATGGGCTCCACCCCCTGCATGCAGAGCCCCTTGCCGCCACCCCCCGTACCTATAAGGCAAAAGCCGGGATCCTGGTCCCGCGATCAGGGATCGGGAGGAATCTGGGACCGGCGACCACGATCAGGGACCCGGGACCGGCGACCACGATCAGGGACCACGGAACCGGCAACCACGATCAGGAACCCGGGGACCACGGAACCGGCAACCACGATCAGGAACCCGGGGACCACGGAACCGGCAACCACGATCAGGAACCCGGGGACCACGGAACCGGCAACCACGATCAGGAACCCGGGGACCACGGAACCGGCAACCACGATCAGGAACCCGGGGACCACGGAACCGGCAATCTGGGACCACGAACCTGCAATCTGGGTCAGCCATCTGGGACCACGGAACCAGCCATCTGGGACCACGGAACCAGCCATCTGGGACCACGGAACCAGCCATCTGGGACCACGGAACCAGCCATCTGGGACCACGGAACCAGCCATCTGGGACCACGGAACCAGCCATCTGGGACCACGGAACCAGCCATCTGGGACCACGGAACCAGCATCTGGGACCACGGAACCAGCCATCTGGGACCACGGAACCAGCCATCTGGGACCACGGAACCAGCCATCTGGGACCACGGAACCAGCAATCTGGGACCACGGAACCAGCAATCTGGGACCAGGGACCAGCGACCAGGGACCAGCTACCAACCCCTCCCCCCCCCGTACTATTCATATTAGAGTGTAATCTTTGTGAGCAGAGACCTCCCCCTATATATTGTAGTATTCATATTAGAATGTAAGCTCTGTGAGCAGAGACCACTCATCTGTATGGTACTGGGCATATTAGACTGTAAACTGTGAGCAAGGACCTTCCTTTCTGTATCGTACTGTTCCTATTAGAGTGTAAACTTTGTGAGTAGTAACCTACCTCTCTGCAGTGTATCGTTTCTATGAGAGTGTAAGCTCTGTGAGCAAGGACCTCCCTCTATGTATTGTACTATTCATATCAGAGCGTAAGCTCTGTGAGCAAGGACTGCCCCTTCTGTATTGTACTGTTCCTATTTGAGTATAAGCTTTGTGAGCAAGGACCTCCTCCTCTCTCTTGTACTATTCATATTAAGAGTGTAAGCTCAATGAGCAGGGATCTCCTTCTCTATATTGTACTTCTGATGGTAGAGTATGAGCTCTGTGAACAGGAACCTCATTATCTATATTGCACTATTCATGTTAGATTGTAAATTCTGTGAGCAAGGACCTCCTTTTCTGTTTTGTACTGTTCATATTAGAGTTAAACTCTGTGAGTAGGGAGTTTCCCCCTATATATAGTACTATTCATATTAGAGTGTAAGCTCTGTGAGCAGGATCTCCCACTATATATTGTACTGCTAATGGTAGAGTGTAAGCTCTGTGAGCAGGGTCCTCTTTCCCCATATTGAACTGTTGATATTGAAATGTAATCTCTCTGAGCAAGGACCTCATTCTCTGTATTGTACTGTTAATATTAGAGTGTAAGCTATGTGAGAAAGGACCTCCCTATTTGTACTGCAGTGTTCATACAAGACTGTAAGCTCTGTGAGCAAGGACCTCCCGCTCTGTAGTGTACTACTGATATTAGAGTGTAACCTCTGTGAGCAAGGACTCTCTGTATTGTACTGCTGATATTATAGAGTATAAGCTGTGTGTGCTGATAGAGTGTAAGCTCTGTGAACAGGGACCTCCTTCTCTGTATTGTACTATTCATATTAGAATGTAAGCTTTATGAGCAGAATCCTTCTTATCTGAATTGCATCCATTTTATTTGCATACAAGTATAATATATTCAGCAATATGCAATTAAACATTAGGTGGTTGATCCAGGGTATTAAACTGATCGCCATAAATCAGGAAGGAATTTTTTTCCCCCTGTTTGACATCATCTACCGGGGGTTTTATTTGCCTTCCTCTGCATCAACCAGGTTTTATTAATCATGAGGATTGCAGGAATGTTAAACTTTCTGCCTGTATATTGCGGTATATTAATAAAAACTAATAAATGTATATGCAATTGTCTGATTCTTCATTGATATCACTACACACATCATACATTAAGATAGTACTTTGATTTCAATTAAGAAAGAGCAATCGTAATATCAATGAGAGTTTCATAATCCGTATCTAGATCTCATATTAAAGCAACAATGTCACCCCCACATAAGTATTTTGTTAAAAATTAAATATTTCACTTAAATTCCAACCCAGTCAAAAGAGGAAGTACTATGTGTCAGTACTTTTCCCACGCCTAGCACTTCTAGATAATGGGCAAAGCTACCGACGTCTAGAAGTGTTAATTTTCAAGCCATCACCATTGATGACTGCAAAGATATTTGCTGTGTCCATGGAGGATCCCTCGGTCTCGCGGGATCTTCCATAGACCTCAATTCCGTACTCTCACAAATGCACGAGAATACAGCAGTGACATCGGCTCCTGGCACTGAAGCACCAGAAGGGGACCGGATAGAGGAAAATGGCGGCGGCCACGAGGGACAGGTTCAGAAAATAAATAAATCTCACCATTCATTTTTAAATTCTGCCATTTTGTCTATTTACGATTTGTGTGATTATTCAATGATTCCACTCACAATGTAAAAACAATTATAGGCAACCTATAGGGACCAAGACTACTTCATCCCAATGAAGTGGTCTGGGTGCCATGTTTACATTGCATGGTTATCAGGATTTACTGGATGCCTTCCAGCAGTGCTACCGCCCCAATAGCAAATTCAAACTTGGTTACTCAATTAGATGGTGTCAGAGACCATTTGATTAGTGCAGCATTTTCCCCGCTGATGTGCAAAACAAACAAAAACAAAAAAAACTAAAAAGTACAGAAAAGGAAAAATAAAAGGTTACAACGCGGCCACTCGATAAAAAAAAAGAATACAAATATGATAAATTAGGATTGGTGCAATAGATAACCATGAACACATAGTAGAGACTGATTTTAAAAAGAAAAGAATATAATCTCTCTGAAGATAAAGCATCATCCAGGTGTGTCTGAAACCAAGTGGGAGTTAGCTTACCTCGAGCAAAATGTCGATGTGAAATAGATTAGCAAATGTGATATGTCATCCCATTCACAAGGGATGCCGTATCTCTGAGTAAAGTAGTTTTTTTTTTTAAAAATGCAAAAAAAGGGGAATGATATGTAACCCTGGTGCTGGACTTTTCCCCAATGTTAAACAATAAGTCCCATAAGATAAACAATAGTCCGCACAAACATGGGTAATCCTCAAATAAGTCACAGAGAAAAACGGAAATATGAAGAAAAAAAAATATCACTTTCATTAGTAAACAATATATGTAGACTATAAGTACATGGCATCAAACTGTCATGGCAGCCCTCATAATTACTGCAGGTTGTACAAGTATATCGTACAAACTACATGGTGTGTTGAAGTGGCATAGGTTTTCAAGTATTAGCAGCGAACTTAGAAAAAAAAATGAAAAAATATGTAGCGATAAACCTGCAGCTGCCAGACAGGGGAGAGACCACCCACACAGCTACCAGAGTGAAAAGGTCGAGTAATAAAGCCCTGGATGCGTTTTGCAGCCCCTTGGTGCTTTCTCAACATTACCTCAAGCAAATAGGGAATAATTTGAGGTTACTGAAAGATAACTGCAGATTTCCACGTTTATTTTTACACCATAATCATCATTAAAAAGGGGAAAAAAAGTTTAACTTGGGATATCCGGAACTCAGACAGGTATAAATCAAATAGCACATTTTGGTTTAAATTTTAACGTAAAGACAGTTCTTACAGTTTTATGTTATATGAACTCAAGAAGAAAAAAAAGCTATGTTACAATTGTTACGGATCAGTAAAACAGCCCTTTGTGGTCTCTGCAAGGAAAATTAGTCACCTGACTTCCTACAGGTTCTTTAAACACTACCTATGTCAGTATAAACCAGGCACAATGCTCCATGTCAGTCAAACCAACAAGACGCTCACAATATAATATTAGCAAATAACACACAATGGTCTAAGTATACCCATGTTTTGGTTGAGTAATTGTGTCATTCTATACAAGGATTAGCCGCACTGGTTAGTAAATTAGTCAGTCTTTCACTGACCTGCTCATATATGAAAGACACAGAATTAAAAAAACTCTTTATAACTGGACGTGTTAACTTAACAATTCTGCTATGTATGTTTTGAAACACTCTAAATTAGAGCACAGCGAGTTGATAATGTGAGTCCCCCTCTTGAATGGCAACTTGTACCTTGCACAGATTGCAAAACATCTCAATGTCACAGCCAGCTCGAATATACTTTTTTTTTTTTTCCCCATATTTCTTTTTTATTGGTTTTAGTAGTACTCCAGTGCATGGTACCGTGATATAATAATACATTTACAGTATTGGTACAAATACAGTGATAGAATAATACAGTAAAACGATACTATAATAATATTACAATGATAATGATAGTAATACAATGCCAACATGAATATTAATACATTACTAACAGTAACATTAATGCAATACAATACAATACACTATCGCTGACGTAGCAGCTCATCGATCAAATGTGGCCTGATTGGCTTATCCACAGAAGTTCATATAAAATGATAATACGTGTAGTGACGCTAGTATCGACAACAACATATATGCATCATCGATGTTATGTTATAACTCCGTTTGTGTGACAGCTCGTTTGAGGTGTTTGTTTTTGACTAGAGCTATAGACATTTGTGCTAACTGTTGTTGATGTCCGCATTAGCTCAATTCTCTATCTCGTCATGCAACCGGGTAAAAGGGAAGAGAACAAAGGGTTAAGGGAAGGGTAACATTCAACAGTAACTCTTCTGCTCGGTAGTAATTACGGATGTCCGGAGCACCTAAGCCGCCTTTCGCAAATGGTAGGCTAAGTTTGGCGGTGGCCATTCTGGGAGGCTTCCGTTTCCATATGTGGGCGTTAATGATATTCTGGAATCTTTTTAGTAATTTGGTCGGTAGTGGAATGGGGAGTGTACGGAAGAGATAAAGCATGTGGGGGAGAATCATCATTTTAATGGAGTTGATGCGTCCCAGCCATGATACTTCCAACCCTTCCCATTGGCTTATTTGGGCTGTGAGTTTGTGAAGCATAGGTGTATGGTTTTCGGTAGTTAGTGAGTTTATTGATTTTGTTAGTTTGATACCTAAGTATTGGATAGATTTAGATTGCCATTCGAATGTATGTGTTTCCTCTAAATTTTTTAATCGTGGTCTTTGGTAGTCGGATGGGTTTTAGCTGTATTATTTTTGTAGTACGACACTGAGCCATACTTGTTCAGCGTTTGTAGAAGGACTGGGATAGAGTGTATCGGGTCTGTCAGGAATACTAGAATGTCGTCTGCGAATAGGGCTAGTTTTTGTTCACCCACAGGGGTGTCTAGTCCTGGGATTAGTGGGTCACGTTTAATGTGATAAATGAGGGGCTCTAGGCACAGAATGAAAATGAGTGGGGACAATGGGCATCCCTGGCGTGTGCCATTACGAATGTGGAAGGGTTTGGAGAGGAAGCCCGTATTATGGACTCTTGCCGAAGGGCAGCTGTATAAGGCTAGGATACTAGTTATAAAGGGCCGGGGAAATCCCTGCACTTCAAGAGTTTTCCTCATGTATTTCCAATTTAGGCGGTCGAACGCTTTTTCTGCGTCGAGTGCCAAGAGGACGCCTTGCTGATTTGATGAGTGTGCCCATTCAACTAGGTTGATAAAATGTCTAGTGTTGTCACCCACCTGTCTACCAGGCACGAACCCTGCTTGTTCCCTCGAAACTAGCTTGGATAGGAGTGGTTTCATTCTATTTGCAGCTCGAATATAATAAATGCAAGATGAAAGGAAAATATTCTCTCCAATTTTTATACATTTAGTAAAATGCAAACAAATCATTAAGAGGTTACTAAAACCCTGTTAAGAGAAGGGGTACCTTTCCTGTGTAATGTGCCATACTGGAAATATGGGGAAAGGTTCACCCTATCAATTAGAATGTGAAGAAAACAAAAAAAAAGGTCTGACTCACGTTAATTCCAGCGCCGAGCGAAGCTCCCGGCACTGCTTTTCTGCACCCTCTCCTGACGTTACTGGGGCTGCGCATGGTCCAATCACAGGTTTCTCATATAGAAGCCAATGATTGGAACATTTTTCTGGCTCAGAGTACATACGCTCACAGAGAGAGGGAAGTGAAAGCTAAATTACAGACGTAATTTATGCACAGAATTGACATTGCTCCGTTCTGGGCTGCCAACGTCACGTGTGCTGGGGGTTGAACTGCAAAAGCCGGATGCTGATCTTCCTGTTCATTCATTTGCTCAGGGTTGTGGTCAAGTGCTCTTAGCTAATAAATGAACCTGCATGCATGGGATATAAACAGAAGAGTTCTGGGCTGTCTAATGGAGGCTGCCAGAGGTGGAGATACACTAGCAGCATTATAAAATATCTACGCATGTGCAGCATTTCCTACTAAAACACTATGTACATAGAGACCTTGCACCATGACCACTTCAAAATAGTAAAGTGGTCATAACGCTCGGTTTAAATCTTTATTTTTTTTAGCTCTTCTGAATTACATTTATCACTAATATTAACTCAACAGCGTGAAATTTTTCCGCAGTGCTTTAGAATTTTACTGTTGGTATATTCAGCAATTAAGAGATAAACACATGTTAAGCAATCTAGACGTCGTAAAACCTTATACATGCCCAGCTGCAATATGCTCTAATTTCCTTTTCTTCATTTATCTCTAATAACAATATAACATAATATAATATAATAAGTGGGCATAAGTGAATTAGACTTCCTAAATTTACGTCAATGATACTGGAGTGTGATCACTAAGAAATACAAGAACATTGCTGTTATTATAAAAAGAAATATACACTGCTTTCACCTAACCTATTTTTAAGATTAATTTTGCCTCTAGTCAATGAACCATATTAGTTAAAGGACCAATATAGTACCAGGAACACTCTGGGGGGGGAGGATGGGGTTAAACTTACCTCTTTCTCCAGCGCCAGGCGGGGAGCTCTCCTCCTCTTCGGCTGAATGCGCATGCGCGGCATTCTCAATGCTTTCCTATGGACGCTGGTGTCTTCTCACTGTGAAAATCACAGTGAGAAGTGCAGAAGCCCTCTAGCGGCTGTCAATGAGACAGCCACTAGAGGCTGGATTAACCCCATTATAAACATAGCAGTTTCTCTGAAACTATGTTTATAGAAAAAAGGGTTAAACCTAGCTGGACCAGGCATCCAGACCACCTCATTAAGCTGAAGTGGTCTGGGTGCCTATAGTGGTCCTTTAATTACTGTAATTAAAGGATCACTATAGGGTCAGGAACACAAACATGTACTCCTGACCCTATAGTGTTAAAACCACCATCTAGCCCCTATGGGCCCCTCATGTTTCCATAAATATAGCAAAATCTTATTGTTTTCAAGCCAGAAGCTGTAACTCTGCATGCTGTTTGCCTAAAAAAATAAAAAATAAACAAGCAGTCTGCTGACATCACCAGAAGTGGTGGCCTGATCCAATCACAGTGCTTCCCCATAGGATTGGCTGAGACTGACAAAGAGGCAGATCAGGGGCAGAGCCAGCATGAGTCAAACACAGCCCTGGCCAATCAGCATCTCCTCACAGAGATGAACTGAATCAATTAATCTCTATGGAGGAAAGTTCAGTGTCTGCATTCAGAGGGAGTAGATACTGAATGTTTGGATGCATTTTAGGCAGCCATGACCCAGGAAGGATCTCTAACAGCCATCCGAGGAGTGGCCAGTGAAGTTATCAATAGGCTGTAATGTAAACACTGCATTTTCTCTGAAAAGACAGTGTTTACAGCAAAAAGCCTGAAGGCAATTATTCTACTCACCAAAACAAATGCATTAAGCTGTAGTTGTACTGGTGACTATAGTGTCCCTTTAAGGTCCTAACGAATACATGCAGGACACACATCCATTGTTCACCAGAATATAGGTTGGAGCTTTCTAATGTAACAAATTATGGCAGCAAAATTCATTGGGTAGTTAAATGGCTGTACCAATAACCTGTCTGCATCACAGAAATCATTCTACCAAAATATAACTGCACTGCTAATGGACTGAGTTAGCTTTCCTTCAATACCAACTGGGTATCTAAGACAAAATATATTTGCATGCTTTGCTACAATTGTGGGCATGATATTTCTTCAATAAAATACACCATACAATAAAGTGTGGGTATCTTATATGAAGTACCTATAGCATAAGAAACCCTAACCCTGCTTGTGAAAACAACAACGGGCTGATAGTGCTTATGTCTTATACTATACTTTTATAATTAAAACATTGCTTACCTAGATTTCAGTAAGGCTTTTGACACTGTTGCACATAGAAGGCTTATCAATAAATTGCAATCTTTAAGTTTGGATTCCAATATTGTTGAATGGGTAAGGCAGTGGATGAGTGACAGGCAACAGAGGGTTGTAGTTAATGGAATATATTCGAAACTTGGACTTGTCACCAGTGGGGTACCTCAGGGATCTGTACTTGGACCCATTCTCTTTAATATTTTTATTAGTGATATTGCAGAAGGTCTTGATGGTAAGGTGTGTGTTTTTGCTGATGATACTAAGACATGTAATAGGGTTGATGTTCCAGGAGGAATAAGCCAAATGGCAAATGATTTAGGTAAACTAGAAAAATGGTCAGAATTGTGGCAACTGACATTTAATGTGGATAAGTGCAAGATAATGCATCTTGGACGTAAAAACCCAAGGGCAGAGTACAGAATATTTGATAGAGTCCTAACCTCAACATATGAGGAAAGGGATTTAGGGGTGATTATTTCTGATGACTTAAAGGTAGGCAAACAATGTAATAGAGCAGCAGGAAATGCTATCAGAATGCTTGGTTGTATAGGGAGAGGTATTAGCAGTAGAAAGTAGAAATCTTTTTTAGATTGATCAAAAAGCTACTGATTGAATAGCTGATGTACAGATATAAGTATAATATTGTGATATTACTTTTCTAGCACCCCCCTCCTTTTCTTTCTTTTTCACAGAAAGAGGGAAGTGCTCATGCCATTGTACAGAACACTGGTGAGACCTCACTTGGAGTATTTATTGTACGCAGTATTGGAGACCGTATCTTCAGAAGGATATTGATACCTTAGAGAGGGTTCAGAGAAAGGCTACTAAACTGGTTCATGGATTGCGGGATAAAACTTACCAGGAAAGGTTAAAGGATCTTAACATGTATAGCTTGGAGGAAAGACGAGACAGGGGGGATATGATAGAAACATTTAAATATATAAAGGGAATCAACACAGTAAAGGAGGAGACTATATTTAAAAGAAGAAAAACTACCACAACAAGAGGACATAGTCTTAAATTAGAGGGACAAAGGTTTAAAAATAATATCAGGAAGTATTACTTTACTGAGAGGGTAGTGGATGCATGGAATAGCCTTCCAGCTGAAGTGGTAGAGGTTAACACAGTAAAGGAGTTTAAGCATGCGTGGGATAGGCATAAGGCTAGGGACTAATGAAAGTATTTAGAAAATTGGGCAGACTAGATGGGCCGAATGGTTCTGATCTGCCGTCACATTCTATGTTAAAAGGTATAAACGATGATTCTGATCTATACCAGAGCAAATTAGTATAAGGAACTAATTGCTCAAAATAGACTTGCAGTGGTGCCACAGTGTAGGATAAAACAAGTCACTTGATTAATGAAAAATTGATCAATTTATTGATTAAAAAATATGTTCCAAGTAAGAAATAGCGATAAAAATCAGAGGATAGCAGATAGTCCAGCACAGTGACACGCACGCCGCCCTCACCGCCTGCCAGGATACAGAGGAAGGATTCACTCACACAATCCTCATCCATCAGGGTCTGGACTGCAGGTTTACTTGCTTATTTTACTCCTTATATACTGGACTATCTGCTATCCTCTGATTTATCGCTATTTCTTACTTGGAACATATTTTTTAATCAATAAATTAATCAATTTTTCATTAATCAAGTGACTTGTTTTATCCTACACTGTGGCACCACTGCAATTCTATTTTGAGCAATTATCTGAATCATCTTTTATACCTTTTAATTATAAAAGTATAGTATAAGACATAAGCACTATCAGCCCGGTGTTGTTTTCACAAGCAGGGTTAGGGTTCCTTATGCTATAGTTACTTCACATAAGATTTGCACATTATTTTGGACTCCTATTTTATTCTGGACTTATATTTCACTCTGAACTTGTAATTGTATATTATGGATATCCCATCAAGGGTTACATATTAATTTGGATGATTGTATGCACTATTTACTATCTGAATTCTATTCTTCATATTTTATTTTAGCTCCTGGATACCCACACTTTATTGTATGGTATATTTTATTTATCTTTTATAGGATTTGGTGAATTCCTTTTTTCCATTTTTTAGAGCTAATTTATTCACTTTGTCTTACTCCCTCTAACATTCACATTGTGAATACCAGAATCTTGCACCTTATGATATTTCTTCAGTTATTACATTCTAAGAAATACTGATCGAAAATTTAATGTAAAAGCCACATAAAAAATTAAGTGAACATCCAAAAGCTTTCAGTGTGACTCATGAAAATTCAATCACCCCGCCATATGAGTAAACAGACCAATTTTAGCATCAGCAAATAGAGCAGTAAACGTTTTTATTTCGAAAGCACCAACTTACAGCAAATACTAACTTTGGTTCCTGTAATTCAAACATGTCTTGTAGCATTCACAAAGCCACTTCTCTCCTCTCGGACACTGTGCCAACAGGGAAGCATTGGCTTGGGGGCCAATCAGAGGCTGAGCGTGTCAGTTAACGCTCTCAGACTATAACTGGCTGCCCATTACGAATAAAGAGTAAAAACCATCACATGTTTACTCACAACAGGTGGTCAGTGATAGACTGAAAGCGTCTCCATCAGCCCATGCAGAGGAGGAGAGCCAGGAGACTGAAACCAATAGACACTCCTTCCGTGTTACACCGGTTTAAGACAGTTTAACACTTGAAGGCAAGCACAAACCAGGGGTCTCCGGGCACCATAACCGCTTAGACGCCACCAATGCTGTTTACGAGAAGCAGTAGATTGGGCAAAAGTCATCACTTCAAAATATACCTGTACACCCAGCACGATCTAGACTTGAATTAACATCTATACATTTTTCTAGTATTTAACATGCTTTCAGGTATTGCACTTTAAAAATGTGCTCCCTACCCCAACCTGTCAATTAATCTTCAACATTAGCTCTGTATGCTGGCAACACAGAAGATCAGACTCTGTAGACCAAAAGTACCCTCCTACCAGGTATTTCTCTTACTCTCCATCAGTGTTCTACTCCCACCAATAAACGTTTCTCATGCTTGCAGGAATATGGTGAAATCAGCTTGCCTGCTTTATAAGTCAGTGGGTGTTTCAACAGTTTAGTACCCACGGATCCTCTGGGAATGAGAGTGCTGAACTGGAGGTGTAGAAAGTAAGTAATGAAAGAACAGCCTGCAAAGCAAATATTTAATTTATCCTTATGTTACATTATATATAATGTTATACATTTACTGCCTAAGGACTTGTTACAGCTAATCGAGAACCTGGAGTGACAGGTTAAATTTAATAAACCTATATTTCAATCTAGCTTGTATAGAAAGTTTAAAGAAAACTATACAACTACACAAATCATGACTCCACAAAATAATTAGGTTGGCTCCAATTTATGGCTACCGGTTTCCTATGACCAACAAGCATGTATTCCTGACACTATAGTGCTAGAGTGGCTATTTAGATTCGCATACATTTTTTCCGTGGAGTGAAAAGGTTATTTAACTTACCTTTTCTCCTCTGCAGCTGGCTCTGCCCCAGTGACTGAGATCATCAATCTTGATGACCTCAGCCAATCCAATGCATTTCCATTTGAAAGTATTGGGTGGCTATTGCGCATGCGCAGCAAATAAACCTCTACTCCTAGAGATACACTGAATCTATGCATTTCTATAGATAGAGTTCAGTGTCTGAGATAGAAAGCACCTCTAGTAGCCGCCTGAGTGACTTTTTTTACCTCTGAAAAGGTAGTGTTTACAGTGCTAAGACAACAGGGACAGGCTATAGACACCAGAACCACTACATTGGGTTGTTGTGGTTCTGATGACTACAGTATTGTTTAAAAAAGATTGTTCTTATAAAATGCAACATTGCCTAATGTGTGCAACAGTCGGCACTTTTCATACAATGGTAAAGCCAGTAGTCTTCAGTTTAAAGGATCACTATAGGGTCAGGAACACAAACATGTATTCCTGACCCTATAGTGTTAACACCACCATCTAGCCCCCCTGGGCCCCTCATGCCTCCATAAATATAGTAAAAAATCTTACTGTATTCAAGCCAGAAGCTGTAAATCTGCATGCTGTTAGACTCAGAAAAACAAGCAGTCTGCTGACATGTGGTAGCCTGATCCAATCATAGTGCTTACCCATAGGATTGGCTGAGACTGACAAAGAGGCAGATCAGGGGCAGAGCCCTGGCCAATCAGCATCTCCTCATAGAAATGAATTGAATCAATGAATCTCTATGAGGAAAGTTCAATGTATGCATGCAGAGGGAGGAGATACTGAATCACAGGATGCTGTGCACAGTGCTGCCTTGTGCTCTGCTGACAGCAGATCTGAGTGGATGGAGGCATATTATGGTTCACTCTGAGTGACTGCAACTGGAGGTGTTCCTAGCTTTCAATGTAAACACTGTATTTTTTCAGAAAATACAGGGTTTACATGAGAAAGCCTGCAGGGAGCTATAGTTCTCACCTGAACAACCTCATTAAACTGAAATTGTTCAGGTGACTATAGTGTCCCTTTAAGAACAGGCTCAAGTGCATAATTGGAATAATAACCCAGTGAGGATCAGAGCAGGCAAATATATTGTTATCACAATAGTCCTAACATAGATATAGTTAAATCGGCTGAAAAGAGACATGCGTCCATCAAGATCTCCCATCTGTTTTTGCCGTTGATCCAAAATATCTTACAACTATACAATATAAATACAGTATATCATTGCAGAAGGAAAGAAAACCATATGCACTTAGAGGCCTCAGGTTACTAAACCTTTAAACCGGATTACAATTTAGCTGTAGCACACTCAGTTACTTGCAATAGATAGAGTGGCTCTCTGGCATTGAAGGGGGTTAAACAGACCATGGTCATAATGATTAAAATATGAGTCACTCTCAGTCGCACATCAAGAACAGACTGCTCCTACATCGCACGTCACGGCAGAGGTCCTATTAACACCTCAATTACTAGCAGGGGTCTGGACACTGTGCTAGTAAATTACTTGGGGGAAAAAAGATCCACTGTTTCTAGGGTTTGCTAGACAATCCATCTCCATATAAAAGGCATGTTTAAATACACATCTAGACAGGGCACTCTGTGCCTACTTAAATTATTATTACACGGAGAAAACAAAGACATCCAGCTGTACAGGAAATACAATTTCCGTAGTGCATCCCAGCATCATGGGAATAGTAGTTGTACAATAGCTGGGGTTTGTCCACCTGTGCTCTGTACTCAGTCCTACAATTTCTGTCCACAAATTATTTATACCTATATTAGGGATGCCCAAAAGGTAAATCCCCATATATTTGAAAACTACAGCTACTGTGATGCTTTGTAATTCCAGAGGCGTTTTAAAGGCACGTAAAGCATCATGGGAGTTGTAGTTCTACAACATCTAGGGATCTACCATTTGGACACCCCTGCCCTATAGCATGTAGCCACTCATAAGAGTATTTAAATATACACGCCCACTCTTAATTTGTAAACTAAACCATACACAAAAGCCATTTTCTATTTCACAAGACAAAAGGATGAAAAACTGAACTTGCATAATACAAATGAACTGAGAGCAGATGATGACAATGGGTAAAACTCTAACCATAGCTGCAACATATAAAATAATAACGATATAGCAACAGATCATCTCCATTTATCATTTGTCTGTGTCGGTCATGCTCCAAGTCATATAAATGGAGATCTATAAAAGCAGGAGCAATTCTGGGGCATATTACTAAATAAGCAGAAATCGCCATGGGAACCAATACAATATTATTGTTGTTTTTTTCCCTTCCTTTCTCTGCACTTTGCCCTTTAAATGACAATGTTGTGACCTTGATACCTTTTCCCCATAGTACTTGATTTATTCTAGGGATGTTTATTAAGCATGTTTACTGCAGGCCAGTATGAAATTAACTCCTTAATGCTAAATAAATAAAATCCAAGACGAAGACATGTCCTTGTTTCTCAAAGGGTGTAAATCATTGGCTCCCTGATGCAGCCTTTTTAAGAATTCACAAATAAAAGAGCAGTATTGTCACAACAACTGTCTCTCACCCTGTACACAACCTCATTACAAGCACACACCTCAATTACTCTGCGATCAGCATTGCATTTTCCTAACTCAATGGCTCCCTCTGTCTATTCATGCTGCCCCTTACTAGATCCCCACTAATCAACCTGTGCAGAGAATTTGTAGTTTTTGCAGCAATTTAACCACTTGATATACAGAAGGATGAGAGCAGTCTCCATATTTACTTCACACAGAAACCTATCAATTACCCATGGTTACATTAGGACAGACCCCTCCAGCAGTTGTAGAACCACAACTCCCAAGATTCTTTTTAATCACCCTTATGGCTGGCAAACCATCATGGGAGTTGTAGTTCTCCAACAGCAGATAATCTATCCTGTGTCCACCCCATTGGATTATGCCTTAGATTCCCCCACCATGCTCGTGCAAGGAAGAATGATAAAAGGCGTATTCACTAAACACCGAATTCTACTGAATTAAAATCCAAATGACAAAAAAACAAAAATAAAGGAGGGGGAGGATGGGGGCAGCACTATGCTGATATCAGACAGACATTATCCTATTATAGTTACAGTGACAGCTTATTTTATTTTAATATGACAGTGTAAGTATGAACACTAGCCCAGCTCGGATTAATGGGAAGTTATATTAATTAATATCAATAAGCACACATTCTGCAGGTGGATATTGTATACGCTCACAATTCGCAGTTTAGTAAATAGAGCGGTGATGTAGTAGGAGGGATGCTGGCAGTGCAGGGGTTAATCCGGGCATCTCTTATTGTAGCTCAGTGACCCTGGCAGCGCCCTCCCTCCTGTGTGAGCGCGGGGAGCGGTGCCTACCTGGACAGGTGTCTCCCGGTCGCTGTATCTCGATGCCCGGCTCGCGCTCGCTCTCTCCTGGCACTGAGCGGCGGTCCCCAGTATCTCCAGACTCTCCGTGCGTCATCACTGCGCATGCGCGGCGAGCACCTGCCAGCAGGGGACCGACATCAGCGCAGGCAGAGCATGACGGGAAATGGAGTCCATTGCTGTCAATGACAGGGCCCTATAAATAAGATAATGTTGCCTATATTTGATAGCAGTTGTTTCTTTTTAATAAATAATAACCCCCCCCCCCCAACACACGCACACACACACCTTTTTTTTTTTTTATAAATCTGAAGTGGTTCTGAAAAAGCAATAAGATACATGTATTTGAGTCTTTAAAGGGACACTCCAGGCACCCAGACCAGTTCTGCCCATTGGAGTGGTCTGGGTGCCAACTCCCACTACGATAAACCCTGCAAGTGTAATTATTGCAGTTTTTATAAACTGCAATATTTACCTTGAAGGGTTAACTCCTCCTCTAGTGGCTGTCTACTAGACAGCCACTAGAGGACACTTCCGTGTTTATAGAACATGAAAAGTGTGCTATAACGTCGTCACTGAAACCCCCATAGGAAAGCATTTAAAGCATTATTTATTGCTTTCCTATGGGGAGGTCTAATGCGCATGCATGGCATTGCTGCGCATGCTCAATAGGTCTCCCCTGCTGGATGACGTCGGGGGGGAGGAGCGTGGGCGGACCCTGACCCAGTGCCGAGGGACATTGGCACTGGATACAGGTAAGTCTCTGAAGGGGTTTTAACCAGGGGTGTAGAGAACCAAGGAGGTGTGGATTGAATACAGGACTTAAAGGGACACTGTAGGCACCCAGACCACTTCAGCTAATTAAAGTTGTCTGGGTGCTGTGACCCTTTTGCACCTAGTGCTGCAATGCTAAACATTGCGGTTCCAGAGAAACTGCAATGTTTACATTGCAGCACTAAGTCTGCCTTCTGTGGCTATCTACCAGACAACCACTAGGGGCACTTCCGTAATCGTAACAGACTTTTGGTCCATCATCGGACATGAGGACCTCCAGCGTCAGATTTTTCCCCATAGGAAAGCATTGATTCCCATAGGAAAGCATTGAATCCTATGTGCAGGTCTAATGCACGCACGGCATTTGCCGCGCATGTGCATTAGACCCCGCTCATTGCGGGACTGAAGAGAATGCGTAGCTTAGACTACCCTCGGTGCTGGGATAAGGTAAGTAAATAAAAGGTTTTTGACCCTTTATTTACTGAGGGGTGGAGAGCACGAAGGAGGGGGGAGGCAGAGGGATCGGTAGTGCCAGGAGTGCTTTGTATTCCTGGCACTACAGTATCCCTTTAAACAGATAATATAGGAATCAAAACAACTTTAGCTTAAATTAACACTATAGCGTTAAGGATACAAAGAATCCCCCGGCCATGTAAAGAGATTAAAAAAAAAAATCCCATTAAACACTTATCTGATGTCCCTCTACTCTGAGTTGCGCTCCTCTGACATCAGCCAATAGGGGGAACATAAGGCACATGCATGGCAAGCTGTGAGTGCCTTTGACCTTCCCCTTAGGAAAGCATTCAATCAATCCTTTCATAGGGGGGTTTTAAGCACGTTGGATGTCCTCATGCAAAGTGTGAGGACGTCCAGCATCGTTTCACAGAGTCAAGCTCCATGAAACTGCGTTACTCTGCCATTCACAAGTTAAATCACTTTTGTTTCTGTTCATGCAGCCCTAACCACACCTCCCCTGGCTGTGAATTACACCGTTTGGTTAAAAAAAAAAAAAAAACATTATTTAATTTTCAATCATATGTAACTTACTTTAGATGTTATTATCTTCTGTATTGCAAATTGAGTTTCAATCACACACATGAAGCTTCTGCACATGGTCTATATTAGAAGGTTATCAACAGAGCATGAAATAAGAAATTCTAAATTAAATAAACTGTGCAATAAAGTAAGTATAAACATTAGATATCTCTTTATAGGAAGTGTTTAGCAAGACTGCGCAAGTCACATGCAGGGAGGTGTGACTAGAGCTGTATAAACAAACTGACTTAACTCCCTATTGGCAGATATATGAGCAGTGAGACTGAAGAGGCATGATCTACACACCAAACAGCTTTATTTGGCTAAAGTTGTTTTGGTGGCTATAGTGTCCCTTTAATACGCTAAAATGGCTAAACGTACTTGTCTAACTTTTACCATCTCCCATCCTCTTGAATTTGTGTCTGGCCCCACAGCAGTAGCTTGTAGTTGGCAAAAATATCCCTAAGCACAGTGCCTACGCTGGTGACAAAGCCCCCTATTGTTGTGGACCAGTTGGGACAATCCTCTGCACAACTATGACTACTCACTCGCTGCAAGAAACAGAGACCGCCATTACTAATTTGCCTGAAGGCTCAGTACACCCCAGACGGCAGCCAATTGCTCAGTATATTAGCACACTACTCCCTAGTTGTATAGTAAGGAAATAGACCCAGGGTAGGTAACCTTCGGCACTCAAGATCTTGTGGACTTTTTTTTTTAAATCTGAAGTGGTTCTGAAAAAGCAATAAGATACATGTATTTGAGTCTTTAAAGGGACACTCCAGGCACCCAGACCAGTTCTGCCCATTGGAGTGGTCTGAGTGCCAACTCCCACTACCCTTAACCCTACAAGTGTAATTATTGCAGTTTTTATAAACTGCAATATTTACCTTGAAGGGTTAACTCCTCCTCTAGTGGCTGTCTACTAGACAGCCACTAGAGGACACTTCCGTGTTTATAGAACACGAAAAGTGTGCTATAACGTCGTCACTGAAATCCCCATAGGAAAGCATTTAAAGCATTATTCATTGCTTTCCTATGGGGAGGTCTAATGCGCATGCATGGCATTGCTGCGCATGCTCAATAGGCTCAATTCATGTCCCCTGATGCTTTGCCAGCATTACAGGAGATGTAGTACATCTGGAGCACTGAGAGTTTCCTACCCTTGGACTAGACCCAGTTGCTTTCTCCTGAACCACTGAGTCCTATGTCCTATCACAAAAATGGCAGCTGAAAAACGAGAAACCCTGCAAGAAGGAAAGTTGTTTTTACACCCCTCACAAACATTTTTGAGGAGTGTATTTGGGTTGTGATGTCAAACATGCGCTCTTGGAGTATCGCACTAATTCTAGGTTAAAGTTCTAAGCCTTTCTATTAACTTACCATTTGTTTAACCCCTTAAGGACCAAACTTCTGGAATAAAAGGGAATCATGGCATGTCACACATCATGTGTCCTTAAGGGGTTAAAACCATTTTCCCCCCAAATTTCATCTTTATTAATTTTTTTTATATATATATATATATATATATATATATATATATAAAAGGACAAACATAAAACACACACATTAATGTAACCATAATATATATATATATATATATATATATATATATATATATATATATATATATATATATAACAACAATACTTCAGATATCTCACAGGTATTAATACAGGATAGAATTTTAAAAGACAAACACATACTACAGGATATATTTAGATAGACATAGAAGATTAAGAAAACAACATACTTCGGATGGATTTTAGACATTACCGAAGAAAGATGAAGAAAAGAAAATGTATAAATATCAAAAACAGATATTAAGGATGGCCAACAAGGGGAAGGAACTTTATATGTTTAAATTCATTCACAGGGTAATGTTGGGTCTATAGTAATAAATCTATGGGCCCCAAATTGTAATATATATATATATATATATATATATATATATATATATATATATATATATATATATATATATATATAATGCCTTTAATTCTTTATCATAGAACATTTTATTCTAATTCTCATTGAAAATTTGTTTGGGTTTTTAATTCATCCTATGTTGGGATAGATATGTTTCTCCAATATCTGGCTAGGCACATTTTAACTGCTGCAAAGACATTCATACATTGAAACATAGAATGTGATGACAGATGAGAACCATTCAGCCCATCTAGTCTGCCCAATTTAAAAAAATACTTTAATTAGTCCCTGGCCTTATCTTATAGCTAGGATAGCCTTATGCCTATCCCACGCATGTTTAAACTCCCACACTTTGTTAACCTCTACCAGTTCAGCTGGAAGGCAATTCCATGCATCCACTACCCTCTCTGTTAAGTAATACTTCCTACAAAGGTATTGGTTGTGTCTGCACATAACGGGTAGGTCGATGTAGAATAAAAACCCTTTTACAGTAGGTATGTTCTACTGAGATGATAGCTAGCAGATGTTCTTCTATAGCTTTTTGATGGGGGCCAGACTCACGCATTCACACCAGATATGGATTTGTGTGCCAGATTGTTTTTGACATGGCCAGCAAAGGTTCTCGAAGTTGAAATGAAATTTTGAAAGGTGTTCAGGGACCATATACCACCTTAGTGTCAGCTTGAAATTCTGTTCGTGTAGGTTGATAACAATGCATGGTCTTCCTAGTAGAATGCCAGGCATCATACAAAATTTGTAATGGAACAAAAAAGGAGCAATCTGATTTGAAATATTATCCTTATCCAAAGTTTTGCTAATTGCAGCAATTAATTGTGAATTAAATTGATTATTGTGTAAAACATCTATTACATCTGGTTGTAAAGGCAAATTTGAAGAAAGAACATTTTTTTATCCCTATATATCTTAATATTTCCAGAGGAGAAAGGTTAAATTTGTCCTGCAAGTTAGAAAAAGAGTTTAAGAATGTATTTGTTTAAAAGCATTTTTATTAATGTTATAAACATAAATTATAATTGCCTAAAATGTTTAATTTCCTTATTGGTGTTAAATAAAGCATTATTAACTATGCCTAAAATTGACATATGGCACAGTGCTGTAAAAGTAGGGCAGCCCTGACGTAGACAAAATGGGAAGATTGACAATTAGCCTGTAATTACCAACAGATGCTATGCTTATTTTTTTTAATAAACTGATTGTTTTTGTTGTTGTTGTGCAGAATAATATTAAATACAAGCTCAGGGTGCCCCAACAGCAATCCTCAAGTATATCGTCATGCGTAACATCAGAAGCTGTAGAGAAGACATGCACATTTTTAAAAATAATATAGCACGCTATAACACGCTTAAGTATTCTAAAGTAGCCAAACATGAGATAGCTGCCAATCACAGTAGTATGTAAGGGTAGGCTTTAGTGGGGTAATCTGGAGTATGCTAAAATGTTGTGTATGCCTACTGTAGTCACTTATCATGAAACACCCGAATAGCAGCCTTAAACTTAACTTAAACTTACTGAATAATAACTGTGAAGCTGCCCAAGTTTAGAGCCACCTGCTGCATGTAGGGGAGCCAGGAAGGTATTATGGCTGTGTGACAGCAGTGAGGTTGCAGAATGTTGGGCTGGGCAGCTTGTGAGGGTAACCACTGCAGCCCCACACCTTCCTGGTAGTGGGCATGCTGGGGTAGACATAAGTAAGATGCCCGGGGTAATCAAGTAAATGTGGAGGCCATGAGTCATGACAGTGGGCACACTATTGGGCGGATGGGCACTGAGGTAAAGCTCTGGTAAGCCTTCTCCCTGGTAAACAAGAGTCAAGCTAAAATCAAGACATTAGAGTGAAGGGTTTGAAGCCGTTGTCAAGCCGTTTGAATCAAGTCCTTGTTCTGGAGGACAAAGTTCAGCATCAGCCCACTCCTAGGCTTGGGAACTTGCGGTGTGGCTAACGGTCAGTACGCAGGGGGGGGAGAAAATCTGGCAACCCTCATGACCCGGGCTGTGGTGAGTGCCTGCATCGCTATACCACTGACTCAGGTGCCCATGGCTAAGTCCAAGCCCTTCTCTTGCAGGTTGCGGCAGGATCTGCGGGGTGTTCGCTGCATGCGGCGTCGGATCTTCTGTCTCCATGGATGATGCTTACAGGGTGAGTCTCTGGTGGCTCTCGGCCCAGGTGGGCGCACTGTAGAAGACATTGCAGCTTGGTGAGAAGTGTTGCCCAAGGGTGGCTCACTAGCTTTGTCTCTGCCCCTCCCCGTCCACTTTCCTGGTCTTGCGTTGCTGCCTTATTTCGGGCTTCCAGCTGTGCCCAGAACCGGGCAAAGATTTTGTCCAGACATAGCATGTGGTACAGTACCGAGCATCCAGCTGGAATTTCATGCTGTTTCCAGAGCTCAAGAGTAGTAGGCCCATCCGCCATTTTGATGGGTAGCCTCGTGGCCTGTTCCCCAGCGGTGACTGCTGCGTGCAGTAAGTGGGAGCTGTGGGCTGCACAATGAGGACCAGGATAGCCCCCCCCCGGTCCAAAGGGGGGGGGGGTGAGGGAGGAGCGGATCAAGGGTCTCAGCTTTAATCAAGGAACCAGGGGAGTGGCTGTCTCACCCTGGCTGCTTCAAGTGTAGGCCGCAAACCTTGGGCCGGACTGCCCAGAATTGGGGGTGATTGTGTGATGTACCGCCGTGTGCAGCAGTGGTCCCAGGTCTCTATCGCTTTGTGCCTTTAGCTCAATTCAAGCAGTAGGGTATATACCCAGAAATCTGTTGCCAGACATGGGAGCTCTCGCTGAACACGTCTGGTCTGGTCAGCTGTCAGGCTCGGCCCCCCATTAAACAGATATTTTAAGGGACACTATAGGCACCTAGACCACTTCATCTCATTAACCCTTTAAGGACACATGACGTGTGACATGTCATGATTCCCTTTTATTCCAAAAGTTTGGTCATTAAGGGGTTAAAGTGTTCTGGGTGCAGTGTCCAGATCTCCTTAACCCTGCAATGTAAAACTTTGCAGTATTAGAGAAACCGCCATGTTTACATTTTAGGGCTGAGATAGCCTCTTGTAGCAGTCTTTCAGGCAGCCACTAGAGTGAATTCCTAAATTCACAAAGGACACTGCATGCCTTCATGCTTTCTGACTCTACAAAGATCATAAAGTTAATCTGCGTTCCACCCATGGCGGCACATGCGCATACAGCTCCCCTGGGCACCACTACTTGAGACGTCATCAGGACGAAATACCAATGTGCACGTGTGCCTGACCTGTGTGGCACGGAAATTAAGATATAAAGAGCAGACCGAAATCAAACAATTCCCTGAAGAAATCCAAACAAGCACAGGATGAAACATGTGACGCAGAATAACAAGTTCCCCCAGTGATTACTTCATCTGCAGTAAGAAGCCATTTGAATCTCAGGGATTTGCAAATGGTGCGTTCCCAAGGACTTTGCTGGCATCTGTGTAACAGTGGGAGTTTAGCCCATTTGTGAGCAAAGCTTTTATACATTTCGTTGTATTTGTAAAAGCCCTTTTATTTATACATATCAGCGTACTGTGGGGATGCATGATTGGTAATTGCATTATATATATATATATATATTTCCATTATAGTACTCTGGTGTCTGACACCCTCAAGTGCATTTAGAAGTTTTCTATAAACAGTGTTTTTATTGGTCTTTATTAAAGGGACTCTCCAGTGCCAGGAAAACAATCCCGTTTTCCTGGCACTGCAGGTCCCCTCTCCCTTCCACCACCCATCCCCGGTTGCTGAAGGGGTGAAAACCCCTTCAGTGACTTACCTGAGACCCCCGCCGATGTCCCTCGGCGGTGGTTTTGGGTCGCCGCCGCTCCTCCTCTTCATTACGTCAGGAGACTGAACCCGCATGCGTAACAATGCCGTGCATGCGCATTAGAGCTCTCCATTGATAAGCATTGAAAATGCTTTTCAATGCTTTCCTATGGGGAATTGAGCGACACTGGAGGTCCTCACACAGCATGAGGACCTGTAGCACAGAAAACCTGTGCTTTGAAGCTGGAAGTGCCTTCTAGTGCAAGGTAATTATTGCAGTTCATGAAAACTGCAATAATTACAGTTGCAGGGTTAAGGGTAGTGGGAGTTGGCACCCAGACCACTCCAATGGGCAGAAGTGGTCTGGGTGCCTGGAGTGTCCCTTTAAGAGGTCTGTTTTATGGGACTGGGCCCAGAGTGGAAGCAGTCACCAGCTATACACACTATTTAGACTTTGTATTTGATATATTTCTAATGATAACGTATACCTTCACCTTTTGTTCACAGTTATATATGCACAGTTTGTTCTGTTATAAAATAATGGGAAAATTGTACCACATGTTATGACTTAACATTATACAGTAATGTGCCAGACACATTTTTAAAAAATGCGGTTGGTTCCTAAATCTATAATAAAGCAAACAAATTTTAATTTACGTTTCCGAGTTCCTGTGGCTGTTTATCACACCATTTAATGTTTGTTACCAAGCGAGGATTTTTTTTTCCCCCTTGTTGTTTGGACTGTCCTGGGATGCTGTGCTCTGGACCTGTTCATTGGCAAGTGTCTAGTCTTTGCTGTTTTGTGAAATTAATTGATCACGGGGCTTATTTGGATCTTCATTACTTGCTGATGCTAAACAGATATGCAGGACTTACAGTGAGTTATGATGATTTGGAAAGAGAAAAATTAAAAGAGATTCTGAAGTGTGCTTTGGACAGGACTTCGGTGTAGCCATATTTTGACTGCTTTTCATGAAAATAAAAAAAATAATGTACAAAGTGTACACATGAATGACTCTGAAAGGGAATTTGACAATAACATAATTTAAAGGGTTACTCCAACCACCATGACCACGTCAGTGATTTGAAGTGGTCATGGTTTTAGGAGTCAGTATGTGCAGTGTTTCTGCACGAGTTCCCTCTTGCCATTGCCGAAATCCTTGATTCCACTACAACATACTCATCATTGTGGAGGTTCATCTGCACTATACCCACAACAACCTGTAGCTTTATTTAATAACTTTTCCTTCTTTTTTAATTATTAAAAGATAGATATTCATGAAGCACTGACACGTTCTACTCCAATCTCGTTTTTTCAAGGTGAAATAGGAAGCACCTTTCATGTGTCGAGCAGCATTGATTTGTACCACATTGTAATTTCTAATAATTGTTTGCGCTTTTTTGTCTATGTTTTATATATTTTTTTAAATCCTCCCTCCTTTTGCAGGCTCAGAGCACATGCATGCTTTCTGAGCAGGTGAAAATAAAATGATCCAATCACAGGCTTCATTTTAAGTAAAAAAGAAAAATACGTTTGATAGGGTTAGAGCAACCATTTACATGTATGGGGAAAATGTACCCATTTATTGTGAACATTAGAATTCAAGAACCAATGCTATTTTAAATTAAAATTATTTATACTACAATGTGGGTAATACTTATTCTTTTACACATATATCCTGTGACATATTTCAAAAGAAACCATTGGACTACTTCTAGTTCAGAACTTGGACATCAAACCATTGTACTCTTCGGTAGTACCAAAGTCACATGTCTGTAGGGATTTTTTTTTTTTTTTCTGTAAGAGCAGAAGGCATGACTTCAGAAAACAAAATCTTCAAACAAAGCATTGAAATCCATCAGTTTATTTCCAAAATAAATATTTCTGATTAACACATTTCACAGGTCCAATTCAATCTTCACATCCATCTTGCTCTGGTAGGGAGTAAGCAGTGGAATCACTTCCTCCTTCAAAAACTTCAGCACCTAACAAGACAATTAAAGCAGACTCAGCACAGGTAAAATTAACAATCTATTCTGTATATGTGCTGGTAGAGAGTAGGGCAGCCAGCATTCCCACAGTTCTGATTTACATGGCTTACAGCCCCATGCCAAACACCCTTTGGTAAGTGACCCCACATACCGGCTCTATAGTCTATGTCTATAAGTAAACTATGTATAATTTTACGCAGTGATTTTTATGTGTTTTGAAAGTTTGAGCTGAAATTGTACCATTTCCTTTTTGACATTTTATATTTCCTGTGTGTATGGATGTAAATTGCTATACGCGAAAACACCACAATCCTTCAACTAGTTGTAAGGCTAAAATTTAGACCAACTACAATGTACATACAGTGTAAGAAGTTAGAAATAATTTTATGCATTGATTTTAAAACACAAAGTTATTTTGATACTTATACATTTTTTCGTGATGGCTATAAGTTCACCTGTTTTGGTAATTTTTACCTATGTTTTGTTTTTTAAATTATGTTTTATGTCTGCTGCAGAAACAATAACAAAATCAGCATCATGATTCTGACCTGCTGTGGTGCCCGGCCAATGAAGGACTTTGGGTCAAGAAGCTGCTCCAACTGAGAATGTATTGGGGCAAAGTAGGGATCAGATCGGATTCTCAAAATAAGGTCATTGTCCCCTCCCTCCTGCTTCACGACAGCAGCTGCTTGCTGAGAAAGCACTCTTATCCGCTCATGGCAGTCCTAGAGGATAGTGAAAAAGACAGGTCTTCAGTATATGATGGTTAAGCAGAGGGTACATGCTTGGGGACTGGGAGGACCTATTTTGGCATCATATCATAGGTAAACCCAAGTCCTGTACTATTAAGTGAGATATAACTGCTCCTATTACACAATGATTTGTGAATGTTCCATATTTGGGTTTAATTATAGAGGACATTGTGGGGGTACTTCTGTGGGTGCAGGTTTAATGCTGCAAATGTGTTGTTAATGTAGTGTAGTGTGGGATTAATGCAGAAGTTGTGCATGTTAATTAATAACATACTGTGGATCCTTTAAAAGATTTGGTGTCCTAATGGGATTCCATGACCATGTTGGGGCTTATGGTTTAACATAGGGCATGGAATATGGTGAGGGTTTTTGGAGAAGCTTAAGACAATAGATGTGGGAGAGGCCCAAAAAAATTTATCCTTGGTGGTCTTTTGTGATAAAGTAACATCCTTGCAAGTGTCAGAAACAACCTATACCATGACGATTTTGAGGTGTCCACAGAAAATCTGCAAAATACAATGGCTAAAAACGTTTGGTAATTTTACCTTGTGTTATATATTTTAATTACCTCCCTAGAGGCTACAACAGTAAATATAAATAAAACAGAATTAAGACTGCCATGCTGTGGAGGGTGCTCAATTAACCCCTTAAGGACACATGGCATGCGTAACATGTCATGATTCCCTTTTATTCCAGAAGTTTGGTCCTTAAGGGGTTAATGTTTCACAAAAGCAAAACTAGATGGCTCAAGTCATTCTGATCTTGAAAACTGCTAAATATTAATCTTTGTAAGAGCAAGATTAAAAACCACTCCGCATGGAACTGACCTGCCTATTGCCTCCAGTCTTCACCATAGCCATAATCACATTTTCAGTGGCCATAAAGGGCAGCTCCTGACGGATTCGCCTCTCAATTACCTGCCAAGAAAAGTTAGCATCAGCATCAAGATTTACAAAAACCAAATACCAAATGCTGTAATCATTAGAAGAAAGCAGCTCGAGACATATTTGAGATTCTGAAAGCCCCAGTGTGCATATATTCACTTTTTGATACAGAGCAAATGAAAATCCAAATGGCAACATTTAAAATAAAATAGCCAAGCTGTACTACAGCGGAACTGACAATTTATTTTTTCCAAAACAGCAGTTTTTTCCTACATTTTGCAATTTGAATATCAATTCACTACAATTCAGAGTCTAGTGAATAAAAAGTAAAAGTGTTCATCTGTTTTCCCAGCTCCAGAGCTCTATCAATCATTGTTCCACTATGTTAACCAAACTGCAAACAAAATAATCTGCAATGCTATACAGATGCTATTTTGGTCTGAGAAATATCATTCATATTTTATAGCTCAACATTACTGTTTCAATACAAACTCATAATAGAGGAAAAACACCACACATTGTCTTTTTGTAATGTACATACATGAAAATATCACTTAATTGTGAATGAGAAATCACAAACATTCCTTTAACAAGATAAATACATTTAATAAAATGCACTTTAGCCCAAGAGAGAGAAAGAATCAGATTGTTGTAATGCCTGTAGATACCAAATGTTAACTCCTAAGCAAAATAACCACTACAGCCTGCGTTTTCAAGCAGTTTAGATAAAAATGGTCCGTTGTTTGGTGTATTGCTATTGCAAAAGTTACTCTTCCGAATTCACTCTATTTTTTCAAATTTAGAGGACATCTATTGGCAAAGCATTTAAAAACAGTTTGACACAGAGATGGGAGACACAAACAGAGGCATGTTGGCACTATAACTACTACAGGAGGTTGCTCTTAGGCAGTTGCCATTGCTTTGGATTTTTTGCAGCAGGCATTTTAACTATTTCCATTCATGTTTACTTTGTCACCATTTTGTTATATGCTCGGAACCACTTCAGAATGGGTGAAATAGGAGGTGATTTAAAGGAAAACGGTCACATGCTCTAGTGTTCTCTCTTCCATTTAAATGATTGTCGGTACATTAATTCTAAGGAGTTAATGGCTCACCTGCAGATAACTGTTAATGTTATCTTAATGAGAATGAATTTCTGGGCAAAGCGGATTGATATTCAGACATGTAAACACTGTCCCCAACACAAGTTCTAAAAAGATTGTTCTGGGAGGTTTCTGATAAATTAGTGCACCACCCTACTTTAGGTCTGTCATGAGAAAAATAAATACATTTTAAATAAATAAAAAAATATCTCGGAACAGCTCCTCCAAGTGTTTTCAAAAGAGTTGCTACCCACATTCTCCTAATGTGGGCAGCATTCTCTTCCTACCCTTAAAGCACACCTGTCACACTCTTTAAAAAGCATGACATTTCAGTATGCTTGCAAATAGGAAGTTGAACAGTTATTCTGTCTTTTTTTTGACCTTCTGGATTTAGCTGCTAAGACAGCAGCTGTCACAGAACCAAATAACATAGCATCTGCATGCTAGGAATTGAGAGAAGTCTTGACATCTTCGGAAGGGCGCCAAGGTTCTGGCTTTTGGTTCTCGGAGATTCACTGTAAATATACTGAGAAGTCGCTAATTGAGAGAAAATAGAGGATCCAAGCATTGCAGAGAGGATTAACCTAAATGAAGTGCTTGGATCCTTTATTTTCTTTCTGTATCTACAAAGGGTCTGGCCACTCTAGATCCATTGTTGCACCAGTGGAATCTTCAGTTGTCTACTTTCCAGAGATGTGCAGTTCATAACACGGTGACTTATTAAGAGAAAGAGAGACCTCTCTACAAGTGGATCCTGGAACTATATACAAGAACCCATGAGTACATGGATACTTTATTGCACAAATTAAAGGGACATTGTAGGCACCCAGACCACGTCTGCACATTGGAGTGGTCTGGGTGCCTTGCCCCTCTCCCAATAGCCTTGTTAGTCAAAGCACTGCGGTTTTGGAGAAACTGCAGTGTTTTGATTACAGGGCTAATCCAACCTCTAGTTGCTGTCTCTCAGACAGCCGCTAGATGGTGCTTCCATGTTCTTAGAGCAGGAAAAGTGTTTTAAATGACGTTCGACATTCCCACACTCTGCATGAGGACGTCGAGCGTCGCCGGAATCCCCATAGAAAAGCAATGAATAATGCTTTCCTATAGAGAGGTCTAATGCATACGCGGCTATTGACGCGCACGCGCATTAGGTCTCCCCCGCCAGCGGCCGGCAGTGGCAGAAGAGCTTAAGTGACTGAGGGGGGTTATTAACCCCTTTAGCGCCGCGGGAGGGGGCCTTGACAGCAGGGGAAGCTACAGTGCTAGGAAAACTAGTTTATTTTCCTGGCACTATAGTTTCAATTTAAGATGTTTCAACACAAACTTATATGGTCATATACAGTCAGTACTTTTGTTATGTTTTTGAGATATGCAGGGTGCAAAGCTATGCATTAATAAAGTCTGCAAAGCTATCTTTTAATCTATAAACAAGCTTTTACAACTGCATGTGATGTAATTTTTTTTTTTTTTTAAAACACCTCACCTAGGCAAAAATGATGTGGGTTAGTTACAGCATATGATCATATGCTGCCTGCCACAATATCAGTTGTTCCTAGCAACCTAATGCCTGCTCTTATGAGGGTAACTCACTCACTTGGGACACCCTTACTCCTGGGAATCTCTCTCTCTCTATATATATATATATATATATATATATATATATATATATCCAACATTGGCTTGGCACTCGCATTCCTGTCCTGTTTTTGCTTCTGTGTTATTTCGTGCCACAATACAACGTTCCAGAGAAATGCACTCAGAGGGCTTGTAGTCTTGTGCAATGTATCCTTTATTAGTGCAAAGGTACAGTCAATGTTTCAGAATATCCCTAGTGGATTGTACCACCCAAGCATATTCAGATAGAGCTACCTTTGCTCTACAAACTGTAAGTGCAATTCTATTTGTTATGTTCTTACTTTACGCAAGATGTACTACACTATATTCTGCTGTATTCTTCTGTTTTTACATATCCCACTACCTCTGAGACTACACCTACCTCAAGAAATTCATCAAGGCACTCTACTTATTTTATATATTCATACATACCTATACACAAACACACACCTGGATTTGAACCCGTCATCTGTACGATTTGTGGATGACAGACTCACTGTAAGGAAGGTTAGATTTATTCAACCTATTTTTCCCCATTCTCTCTGTGGTAGAACCACAGCATTTTTTTACTTGTATCACCTGTACCCTTATATCCAACTACAACCACTTGAGGTGAGCATGTAACTAGCTAGATGGCCTTGCAAAGCACCAGCATGCCTCCCTGGTTGTACACAACAGATTTATACTACCAACATCTCCTTTTTCATTGTAGCTTCCCTCTGACTGGTTATTTGGATAGGCGGCAGCCATAGGAATAAGTAGGAGTGGAGGCTACTGGATATCCATCAATCAAAGGGAGGCATCTCAGGGCAGGACACCCACCTTAGTTTATTTTGTTGTAAATACCAAGGATAAGCTATCTACACTGAAACATTAAAGGGACACTCCTGGCACCCAGACCACTTCTGCTCATTGGAGTGGTCTGGGTGCCAACTCCCACTACTCTTAACTCTGCAACTGTAATTATTGCAGTTTTTTTTAAACTGCAATAATTACATTGCAGGGTTAACTCCACCTCTAGTGTCTGTCTACTACACAGCCACTAGAGGGCACTTCTGCGTTGATAGCAAAGATTTTCTTTGCTAGAGAGTCGCTGGATGTCCTCACGCTGGATGTCCTCAATGCTTTCCTATGTGGAGACCTAATGCGTGTGCGCGGCATTACCGCGCATGCGCATTAGGTTTCCTCAGCCGGCGGGCGGGATCCGTCTCGCCCACCGGCCGACGCGATTACTGGGAGGAGCGACGCCGACCCGAAACCACCACCGAGGGACATCGGCGGGGTCTCAGGTAAGTGACCTGAAGGGGTTTTCACCCCTTCAGCTACCTGGAATGGGAGAAGGTACCTGCAGTGCCAGGAAAACGGATTGTTTTCCTGGCACTAGAGTTTCCCTTTAACAACAAAACCAACACTTTAAAGGAATGTTATCATCAGCGACAAATTATTCTCGCAATTTCTTGCCAGTTGGGTGCATAATGATATAAGCTTACTTTTGGATATACCACTAATCCTTCTGAGATGTTTTGCAGAGTGCTGAGAACAATGTCGGCAGTCAAAAAAGCTTCAGCCAAACACACGCGCCTGTTGGGAAGAAACAAAACTCATTGTTATGATAGATAACCGTGTTGCTCTACATTAGCCGAGTTGTTTAGTCTATACTCTCCTATTATTGTCCCCATCCTCCCCCTTATGAAATACAAGTCACTAGCAAGCCTGAGACAGGTGGACATAATTACATGATCAGTAATTACTTTGAATTACCTATTAGCGCTGTCATCCAGTGTGCGTTCAAACCACTGCACAGAGGCAGTCTGGAGGGGGTTCATGATTAGGGTCATGAGATGACGAGCCAAGCTGCAACAACGTTCTGACCGCATAGGATTCCTCTTGTATGGCATTGCACTAGATCCTGGAAAGGGAGCAATGATTAGCTCACGGAAATAAACACACATAGTGAATTGTAATTAAAAGAACATTTTAGACTTTTAAATAGGGAACATTTTACTACTACTGTTACGATGCATAAGGGTGCAGTATGATAGTATAAATTTAGATCTTTTAAAGTGAAGGAGCATAACCACCAATGGATTATATAGACACATAGCCATCTGTACTTCAAAAAAATTATAATTCATTTGTCGAACTGGAGAACTCCTGGCTACCTGAACAACCTCATTGGCTATGAAGAGGGCAGAGAGCCATCTAACGTTATGCTTCCGTGCCGCTTTTGTGCAGAATACAGAGATGCTTCAAGAAACACAAATCAACAAAACTGTACCGTATTTTTCGCTCCATAAGACGCACTTTTTTTCCCCTCAAAAGTGAGGGGAAATGTCTGTGCGTCTTATGGAGCGAATGTGAAGCTGGACTTACCTGTCTTGTAGCGTGGGCCGGCAGCACAGCGTGCTCCGCAGTACAGGAACTTCAAGTTCAGGTTCCGGTTTCCGGCGGGACTGAAAAGAAGTGTGCACACTGAGTGTGCACTTCCTTTCAGTCCCGCCGGAAACCGGACCCTGAACTTGAAGTTCCTGTACCGCGGAGCGCGCTGTGAAGCAGGCCCACGCTACAAGACAGGTAAGTAATTATGTGACAAGGGGAGGGGGTACTCTATGGGACAAGGGGGGGGACACTATGGGACAAGGGGAGGGTGGGACATTATGGGACAAGGAGAAGGTGGGACACTATGGGACAAGGAGAGGGTGGGACACTATGGGACAAGGAGAGGGTGGGACACTATGGGAGGGAAAGTGCGCTATGGGACAAGGGGGGGGGACACTATTGGACAAGGGGAGGAGGGGTTAACAATCACTATGGGACAGAGGAAAGGGGGGTTAAAATAACTATGGGACAGGGGAGGAGGGGGTTAAAGATCATTATGGGACAGGAGAGGGGAGTGGGTGGTACGGAACAAAAAATTCCTTTAAAAAAAAAAAAAATATTCTGAACAAACTGTCCCATAGTAAGAAACACTATGGAACAGTTCAGAATATTTTTTTTTCTGGGTTTCCTCCTCTAAAAACTAGGTGCGTCTTATGGTGAGGTGCGTCTTATGGAACGAAAAATACAGTAATAGGAAAAAATCCCAGCATTTCTTGCAAGTCATATCTATTAACATAAACAGTGAGCAAGGTGTTATTATATTGGTCAAAACAGCCAGGCTTATCAACCAAAGTGATGGTGCCAATGGCACAATAAAAACACAGTTTGCAAGAAGTGATGTAGTTTTGTCTTTTGTCTTACAGTGATTGTGGATTTTGATGGAGACCATGACCTACCACTGGTGGTAAACATCACTGAAAAGTTTTGTCCACATTGTAACTGTGCTCCATCATTTGAAGCACGATATGGCTGTAATACAAAAACTCTTCTGTCCACTGGAACAGAAGATACCAGTGTTCACTGCAGCGTGAGCATGTTCTGACTACAGGAAAAAAAATAATTTTTTCACTCTATAAAGATGATGGATTTGATTATTTACTGTAAACCAACAGAATAAAAAAATAAAAATGGCTGAAATTCGGAAAATGTGGATATATTCTAACAGTATTTCCTTTGCTTATCAGTCATACCTAAGAAACAAAATACATGTCTGCCTGCCTGCATGATCAACTTGGGTATTTTGTGTTTTTATTTTAATTTTTTTCTCTTATTCTTGTAAAGAGAGCAGTGCTTTAACTTTGGTTACACCAAGTAGATTTCCTGTATATACACTGGAGATTAATATACCCACATAGTACATATACTGCATCCTTCTCAAAATAATTTGTTAATGTGTACATAATAAGGTATCTTTGGAAATTAGATACAGTTTGGTTTATTGCGATCTATGAAATGTTTTAATTGTAAATGTGCATGTTACCATGTGTTTTAGTCATTTTCAGTTAAATTTGCAGTGCATTGAAAGTTTACTGAATTACTTACTATATCTAGTGTGTTTAACTTATCTATTAACAAGGTTTTGTAAAGTGCCACCTTACCTATGATGCATCTATTCTAACAAGGATAAACCCATTGGAGAAGCTGTCTTCAGACTGATCGGATGGTCTATGTTCTGGATGCTTAAAGGGACACTATAGTCACCCAGACCACTTCATTAGTAGAGATGTCGCGAACCGTCCGCGAACTTCTCGCGAACGGTTACTCCGGTCAGCTGACACGTCCCGGCCAATCTCCAGCAGACCCTCCCTCCCAGACCCTCCTACTTCCTGGACAGCATCCATGTTTCTCTATTCATTAGTTCTGGCAAGTAATTTACAATCCCCTAGTTTGTCAGAGTGGAACAGTGCTAATTGGTTTTACACACAATGATTTAATCTGGTGAGCCACAAAGTTTCCTTCTACATGCGTTGATTTTGGACACGGGCCTATTTACAAAGTCTTTCTTCAAAGTGATTTGGGTGAGTTTACCAGATCCAGTTTTATGTACCTTGTTCAATGGGAATTTTCATCCTGTTTTACCTAAAACGTATGCTATTCGATGAAAGGAACTGGGCAGATACTCCTTATTCACTAGGGCATACATTTAAATACAAAGCAAAGCAAGGCTCCATGACACTATGAAAGGCAGACATTATATCCCACCTTTATACTTTAACACATCTACGAAAAACCGTTTACTCTACAATACTATATCTTATACCTACAGACACACCAGGTAAGTATTACAACTGCACTCACCAATCTGGTCCTTCTCAAAAGGCTCCTCTACTTCTTTCAGATTGGCAAGCAAACGGATATCAGTGCATATCTGAAACAGATTGTGACTTAAAATGACTTAAAATACACACACACACACACACACACATATACATACATACATACATTTTTTATTTTTTTTGATCAATAAAATCAAGAGGCTGGCAGAATTGTGTGCTTAGAAACCCCACATGGATAAGACTTTTCTAGCAAGTGATGTGTGTGTTAAAGGTATATTTTTTCTTTACAGTTATAGTCTCCAATTTGTTGTCCTCCTTTCGCCCTTATTAGGAGTAATTTTGTTTGTTACCATTATTTTCAGTGTAATTGCGGTGTCGATACTCAGTGAGTGCCTAAAATTTTAATTGCCTGGCTCTAGATGTATAATGATGTTTTAAAGATATTGGACTTCAAATGAACAGCAGCTCAAAAAATTCACTGTTCTCAGTCCAGCTTCATGACGCCTGATATGTATATGTTCCAAAGCGGAGGTTGTTTATCATATCCATGTCAGAACTAATCTACAGAGCTAGCCTTTCTCACATTCACAGCAAAAAACAAACAATGAATATTTTACAGCTGGGAGAGCTGCCAAGCAGGAGACTATTTATCCTAGTCATGGGAGGTGAGCTCAATCTTTAGAAGGTTTCAGAGAAGTAGCAGAGTGTTCCTTCACAACCAGACTTCAATTGAATGGCTCAGGTCAATTCTCAGTTTGGCCGGTTCAAAAGAATGTTACGCATCTTTTATATTCCTACTGACTAGGATCCAAGACCTTTAGCGTGGGAAATTACATCATCGTTCTTCTCTAATCATCTAGAATGCGCTGTTTCATACATGAATTTTGTTTGAGTAGTATTGTGGTGGGATTGTCACTATGTCCAGAAGGACTAAAGGATCAGAGTCTGCTGCAATCTGAATCATGCTCAGAAAAGTGCTCTGCAGCAATTCAAATACACAATGACCTTCTACTTCTCAAAGATTGCCGGCCTCAGAGATATTGTTCTTGAGGGCCGCAGCTGGGAAAGTGGGATAAACAAGCAGGGACGTCATGTTCTTTGAATTTTCTAATTTTTCACCTTTTACTATTTAGAAGAATGGTAAGCGGAGATGATACCGATTTGTGATTAACTTGTAATAGTGAGGAAGCAATGGTTGGTAAAATGTATAAATTAATAATAAGTACGTGTAAATCCACTCCAAATAATCAACACATTTCTCACAAAACACTAATTAGCATTCCTGACTATTACCATTGTAATAATTTATTCAAATTGACAACCCCTGGATATTGCGCTACGGTAACATCCCCAGGACGTACTTGAAAACCAAAGTAACCTGAATGTACCTTTCCTGGTTGAATACTTTGTTATTGTTATCTGTTTAGAAATACCATTAAGAAATCCCCCCCTGCCCCCGAAGCAAATTGACCCTGCATTTTGCATTCCAGGTCAGTAATAGTGAACTCTGTTCCTTGGCAGTCATACACAGGGTAGTAAATTGTAAATAGATTATTTATATTTGTCAATGCTTAATAAGGGCATTCTATAATTCCTGCACTTGTTAGGAAGCCTAAGGAACAAAAAGCAAAATATAGATTTTCTGCTGTTCTAAAACGTCATCTCCCACAGTACTTTGCCAGTGTTAAGGGGGGTACTTACTTTCTGGTCACTCCTGCCTCTGTAGTAATTTTCTCATTTATCTTTTTAGAATGAGGTTTTAAAAAACAAAAGAACACAACTACATATATCATTTTACCGGTGCTAAAGAGATAAGGAAACTTGTATTGATTAAGAACAATTCCATAACAATAACAGGAATCAGATCAATTTGCCTACCTTATGCACCGTTGCTCCTAAACTGGCCAGTACAGACAGCACCTCGACATCCACCTTGCGACTGTACGTTTGCCCGGTCACCATATACGTTCTAAAGGAAAAATCATCTTATGATTTAAACACAAAACATGCTCAATAATGTAAAGTATATTTTTTTTGTGTGTCAAAAGGGATGGGTGGCAACAAACAGAAAATATCCAGGCACTCAGTGTGCGAAAAGCAATGTTTTGACCTGCCAAGAGGTCTTTGTCAAGCCGAAAAGGGATGGGTGGGACCCAATTACATATATAAAAAAAAATAAAAAAATAAAAGATAGCTATCAATTAGGTTTTTAAAAAAAAATAAATCTATATATATTTGTTGAAAAAAACTTTACATATAAAAGGGTGGGATGGAATCAGGACTATATGCTTAACTGTCTTACATGCCCCACAGGGCACATAGGTGCTTCTACTTACTTTTTGAAGTTTGCCATGCAGGTCACCAATCTATCTAACTCTTCCACCTGATGAAAAAGACAACATTAAAATAAAAAACAAAGGACTAAGCCAACCTGTCACAGACCTAATGACATTGAGCTCAATATCTAAACTCAAATTAATTTTATAAGGCAGAAAATAATGCAATAACCATGGTCTGTATCTTCACTACTCTCCATCAAGTAACCTACCAGACAAACAAGGAATGAGTTTTTTTTAAGGTCTCCTTATGCTTTTCAAACAGATTTAAAACATTTCACAGGTGAGTGAATAGGCAACAGAAACATCATTGTCCATCAAAAGTGATGTTAACAAAATGCACTGCAACAGATGGTTCGTAACAGCACAGAACTGGATCCTGCTGGGTTTACAATCCGCTAAAGTGCAAGTAAATGGTTAATTCAGACAGTGCCCAGGCTACAACCCGGTCCCTAGTACAATGTAGCCTTTGGGTTTAGTAGGAGTTCATTAACCCCTTAAGGACCAAACTTCTGGAATAAAAGGGAATCATGACATGTCACACATGTCACGTGTCCTTAAGGGGTTAAAGAGGTATGGAACATCAAAACAGCCTTTGCATAATGAAGCTATTTTAGAGAATAGATAACGTCTCTACAGTCTCACTGATCATTTTTTTGCCATTTAGGAGGTTAATCACTTTTGTTTCTGTTTTTTTAGCCCTAGCCAGACCTTCCCCGGCTGTGAGCCACACAGCTTCCATGAATAATTGTTTCATGTTCAATCAGAGAGAGAGAGAGAGAGAGAGAGAGAGAGAATGTATTCCACATTGTGAAAAAAAAAAAAAAAGGAATAGTCGGCAACTTGCCTCCTTTTATTTACTATTCTATATTAGTGTATTTGTCAAGCATCAGTGTCGCTGAATTTCTATTTTTTCTAACTGAAGATGGGGCAACAGTCCATCTAGAAAACCTGAAAATGTTCTGTCTACTCTATATATCTCTACATTTTGGAAATTGCGCACACTGCTTGAAAGTTTGCAATTACTTTAGGTTCAATTAAATTTTTTGGGGGTTCTTTAATTAAAATCTCCCTTTCGCTCATCCATTGTATAGGTTATTTAAGAGTAGGACTTAACTGTCACATTGCTTGTGCTTACGAATTTGCAAGTATTAAGGAAAGTTAAGAATATTCGTGGCATAAAATAATCTTCATTGTTTCATAGACTTTCAAAAGCAACATTCATATGGCATTTATATGTATATAGGAGCTGTCGAATCACTGCTTGGATGCATGGGATTTGCAACCAAACAAAAAATGTCTGGATGGTGGCTGTAGTGACCACAAGGTGGCCGAGTACTCAGAATTTTACAGCAGTGACCATGCAGGTTATTTAATCTCTGACAGGTGAAGAAAGTAACATTTGAATAGCACCCGATAAAAAGGTATCTACCACTGAGGCCCATCCATTTATTACATAATGTCCCTACAAAAGTGCTCAATAACTGTACAGAATAATAAGGGAATATCACTGCAAGACACATGGAGAAATTCCCTTTGCATCAATGTGAAGTTAGATTAACTTCCTCATGAAATTAAACACTATGACACCTTTTCATGGTTTCCCTCAAAGAGCTGTAAGAAGCTGGCTTGAGTCCCCGTAGTGCCCTTCACTCCACGGAACCTCAGCTCATGCCTGACGCGTTCCAGGTTGTGTAGGTCCATGCACAAGTCTTGCAGCCAAAGGCAGCAACGTTTTCCTACAGTTGTCAGCTGGGCAGGCCTGCAAAGAGAGGGGCATGTTATAATCTTACCTTCATATCAGTACATGCCCATTGAAAATACTGAAGCATTACAGATTTTAAAATGGCTATCCCTCTCAGGTGGCTTCACATATAATCAGTCTGTGCAAGCTGCAGAAGCTGACCAGCACAGAGAGAGACATATCCATATATGGACAGCTACACAAGTGGCAGTGGAGAAAGGATGTTTTTTTAAATCTTAAAGTGTTTTTTCCAAATACAATGACCACTTCAGTGATTTTAAGTGGTTATGATGCTTGGAGTCTGGATAAAGCACATAGCTGCTGGAGGGAGACTTAAGACACCTCCAGCCTAGCTAATATTAAATGAGGATATTTGGCTTGTGTCATCAACGAGCATAGCAAGCAACCAGTGATGGTGTCGCCCAAGTCCCTCCCTCAGCGAGTGGAAATAATATCACACAAGGAAGATCAGGCTTCTGGTAGAACTTGGCTTCAGGGCTGGATTGAGGTTGATTTTTAGCTTTTATGAGGGGGACCATGCCAGGAAGGGTTACTGGTTTTGAGTTGGAGGAGTAACACTTTAAATCGCCACTCAACATCCCAAAAGCACTTCAGTTTGCTGGAGTGCTTTATGGCTGAGGAGTACCCTAGCTTAACCCCAGTTTATAAAACGCTGATTTCTATGAGAAATCGGCACTTTTATAAATTAACTAAGGAACTCCACTGGCTGTCAGACAGACAGGGAGGTTTGCAGCTCTCATGTGCTAACGAAGTGGCATGCAAGCTCTTCTTGGCTCCTCCCACACCGACCTCAGACCAGATGGATGAGCGTGCACAAACCAGCGCATGCAGACATCAGTTTAGGATTGCTTTTAACCTATGTGTCTTTACTTAAACCTTTTTCAAAAGAACAATCTTATGAAAATGCGGTCTCAGTACATAAAGCTTACTTTGGCAGTTTTGTACGCAATTTATTATGATTCCGAACAACAGTTGTATTGAAAAGGTACTGTACTACCCTTGTAATTCAGGCTGGAGTCTGGAAAATCCTCAAAATGTAATTTAAATTTGCCTTTCAAAAGACAATAAGATGGTTGTGTACTAATATAAACTTAAATGTCTTTTTGCTTTCAGAGCTGAATATAAAACATTTAAATCTAAACTAGACAAATCTGTCCAACACATTTACAATAGAAGCTTGCTTTGTGAATAACCAAAAAAAAAAGAAAAAAAAAAAAAAAGTTTTCCATCTAAGTTGTCGTATCTGGCTTAGCAAGTGATTTATTAGATCTGTATGATTATAATATTTGTGCAAACCTACATTCAATCCTTTGATCAGTACAATAACAATGTGTTTTGCTAAAAGCCAAGTGACACAAACTGGTGTTTTCCCCAAGTGCCGTTATACTCACTGATAATGAGTGAATCCTAGTGTTGGGAGGTCAGCATTTCTTTCTGCAAAGTCAGCCAAGCGGCTTATAACCCGAGCAAGCTACAAAATAGAGATGACAGGTACATTTAAAGAACACACATAAACCATGACATCTCATTTACCAGGATCTGCAATTTTAAACCTTTGTAAGGCGGGCATTATCCATACCTTTGGGAGTAGCAGATCAAATCCATCCCGCAGAACAATAAGATCCTAATGGCAAAGTAGAAAATGAGAAAGTCTGTAAACTGTGATTATCATTAAGAGCCCGAGCATTGTTTACATATAGTCATCCCATTATTGTCTAAGACATGTCGGATTTCCAAGCCCTGTACTTCCATTGGTGTTGTATAAGAATAAAAACGAGTTGTGGAAGTAAATGGAAAACTCATTAAGAGATTCTGCTCTGTTTTTAAAGCTGAGTGAGAATTTACTTTTCTACACATGGATCAGGTGTACATATCCTTTATTTATTGTTTATTTTTTATTATAAATCAAAGGCTCTCACAGATGAATGCTTGCACTTTTACTGCCCAGTGTGTACTTTTAAAATATGTCCAAGAGGTTAGGCAAGTGTCCATGTCCAGGCAGCCTGATTTCACAAAACAAAGTGAGTTAAAAATAAAAAGGTGCTGGACCACCATTAACCATTATGATTTGTTTACACGCGTATCTATAGTAGTGAACGCTCACTATATTTTCAGTATATTGACCTCATAGTCAAGAAGTCACACTTACGGTGTTATCTCCCACATAGCAGGAGGTGGCCCCCAGATGAATTATAGGTGCTGCTTTGGGGCAGCAGTGGGCAAAAGTGTGGACATGAGCCATAACATCATGGCGCAATCTCTTTTCCTCCTCAGCTGCCATCTTGAAATCTATGTTCTCCAAATTAGCCTCCATTTCCTGGATCTGCTCCTCGGTAATCGGAAGTCCCAAGCTCTGCAAAAACAATGGGATTTTATATACTCTTAAATATTCTGCCTGCTCTCTTCAGTATTGATATGGACATCTGGCTTTTTCTAACATGCCATTTCAATATACCTATTATTACTAAATATCAAAACAGACCCCATTTAATATTTAGAATTTTTACTTTTCTATGAATGGAATATAAAGAATATAGTATTGTAATTTCAAAAGATACATAAAATACAGTGGTATATTACTCTAAGACAGTGGGGCATTAAGGATGGTATTTAAGGAGGTTGGAGAAGCCAATCTGTAACTAAAGATAGCTTACTGCTAATTCCACCCCCAACTTGTATAAAAATACAAAGCCGCTGCAATAAAGGAACCGTTCCGTCACTCTATTGCAATCATCTGATTATATAGCAACTCAAAATAAAAATATCATCTGGGATGAAACTACAAACAAACCTAATATTGTAATTCCCTTGTCAATTCTCCATAAATACTGGTTTAACAATCCCTTAGAATTTTATACATTACCCATTTCATGAAGCAAAGGTATATTTTATTTCCATTTTTTAAAACGTATTTTTCATTATTTAATGACATTCAAATGCTTTCTTGATCAGTATTTCATAAGCGATATATATCTTTATGAAATACTAAAAAGTGACATATGCTTTAAAGGGACACTATAGTCATCAGAACAACTACAGCTAATTGTATTTGTTCTGGTAAGTATAATCATCTCCTTCAGGCTTTTTGCAGTAATACTGTCCTTTCAGAGAAAATGCAGTGTTTACATTACAGCCTAGTGATACCCCAATGGCCACTCCTCACATGGCTGCTAGAGGTAATTCCTGATGCAGTGCTGCACAAGTGCTTGGAGACACTGAACTTTCCTCATAGAGATGCATTGATTAAATGCATCTCTATGAGGAGATGCTGATTGGCCAGGGCTGTGTTTGTCTTGTGCTGGCTCTGCCCCTGATCTGCCTCCTTGACATTCTCAGCCAATCCTATTGGAAAGCAGCTGCAGACTTAAATACAAGTAAGATTGTACTATATTAGGGAGGCAAGGGGGGCCAGATGGTGGTTTTAACACTATAGGGTCAGGAATACAGGTTTGTGTTCCTGACCCTATAGTGTTCCTTTAAATGTAGGGGGATCAACAAACTTTTAAACTTAAACACATGTAGGGAGAATACGGCACACAATTGGCTAGCAATATAGTAAAAAAAAAAAAATTGGACTATTATATGATTAAACAATCCAGGCATCCTAAACGCTATATATTAATGTTATCTTCATTTTGCAATAAAAACAAAGCAATCTGAACTAGTCCAGTAACAGTGCAAGCGTATTCACAGCACAGTGTGAGCAGGTAGTGAGCCGAACCTCAATGTGTACAACCCAATGAGAAAATGATAAGATGTTAAAGGGAGTGGTGCAGTCTGGGCAGTTAGATAAAAAATATTATGAAAGCAGCAGGGAATTCTAAAGTATGATTGCAAGCACAGATTTCTAGCAGCATAGCAGAGAGTTTCTATATTTTTTTCAAAGATCCCTGAAGGTGACACCGCTGGTGACAGCTAGGGGAGAAGCTGAAGTAGATTCATTCCATTGTGGGCACTGCCATATTTCTCCTGTATCTATCTTCAGCTATAGTGCCAGGAATACAGCTTTGTATTCCTGGCACTTATAGAATGAAGTGGTGATGGGTGTAGGAGTATGTATGTGCAACGTTTCAACTTGAAACACTGCACATTCTGAGTAATTGGCAATTGTGTGCTGGGGCATCATTACATACCCAGCACACGTGAAACTGGCAAACCAGAAAAATGTAAATGTAAAATGTAGAAATGTCAATATCTTCTCCTGCAAGGTGAAGATTGCTCTCTCTCCTCCCTCCCAACCACTGTGTGCTCCCCCATATTCATTTATTGCCAAAACAGGATTTCCTTTAAAAAATAGGACTCCCTCCTCTAGCCGGCTCAGACTGCTCGTAAGCGCTCTGAGTCGGTGAAATGGTCGACATACAAGCTTCTTTAGGAGCAGCCTGTGGTTGGACCTGGTGTGGCTGCCCACGTAGCACTGGGAACTTTGCCCAGCACAGGAGAAGAGGGGCAGGTGGGGTAAGAAGAGGAGGAGGGGGGGTAAGAAGTTCTTTATTTGAAATTTAAGGGTTTTTTTCCCCTGAAATTTCCTTCTTAAAATGAGGTGCGTGTTATACGCCGATAAATACGGTAATTGTTGCAGAGTTTTCTCGTGTATGAGCAATTGCCTCCTAATGCTTTCCAATGGGGAAGCACTGGATTGGCAGAGATAATAAAGATTGATGATCTCGGCCATGAAGACGAGACCAGAGCAGCAACAGAGAAAAAGTAAGTTAAAAACCTTTTCACTGCAATTTGAGGGGGCCTTAAAGGACCACTATAGTGCCAGGAAAACATACTCGTTTTCCTGGCATTATAGTGCCCTGAGGGTGCCCCCACTCTCAGGGACCCCCTCCCGCCCGGCTCTGGAAGGGGGTAAAAACTTACCTTTTTCCAGCGCTGGGCGGGGAGCTCTCCTCCTTCTCTCCTCCTCCGTTCCTCCGCCTGGGCTGAATGCGCACGCGCGGCAAGAGCTGCGCGCGCATTCAGCCCGTCGCATAGGAAAGCATTTACAATGCTTTCCTATGGACGCTTGCGTGCTCTCACTGTGAAAATCACAGTGAGAAGCACGCAAGCGCCTCTAGTGGCTGTCAATGAAACAGCCACTAGAGGATTAGGGGGAAGGCTTAACCCATTCATAAACATAGCAGTTTCTCTGAAACTGCTATGTTTATAAAAAAAAAATGGGTTAACCCTAGAGGGACCTGGCACCCAGACCACTTCATTAAGCTGAAGTGGTCTGGGTGCCTAGAGTGGTCCTTTAACAGCCACTCCAGCACTATAATGTTAGGAATACCATAGTGTTCCTTTAAAGCTGCACTGTCACCTTCTGCGGACTTTGCAAAGTCCCATTTGGTGATATTGCTATTGAGGGTCCGATGGCAGGTAAAGGTAAGTTTTAGTTACCTAAACCTGTCCCTCGAAGGTGCTGCCATCTTCTCTTGACTGGTCCACTTCCGCGCCAGGAGCTAACGTCACTGCATGCGTGATAGTACAGCATTGAGGTCTATGGAGGATGCCGCGAGACCCTCTACAGATAAAGCCAATTCCCTTCAGCTGTCACTGGTGACAGCTGGGGGGCACTGACACTTCTAGATGTCAGTAGCTCCACCCGGTGTCTAGAAGTGTCAGGTGTAGTAAATATAAAGAGGCAAAGTAGTCCATACTTTGTATACCGTGACTGGGTTGGAATTTTGGTGAAATTCCAACACAGTCTATATGAATGTTTCGTAAAGATTCTATCTTTATAAAATACAAGAAGTTGTTTTTTTAAGGTGTTGTGGGGGTGACAGTGCCGCTTTAAATGAATAACCCTGCATACAGTCTGGATTAATATCCCAGCAGTGAAACCAGGCTATTATTTCAGGCACGTGTTGCAGATACCATGAAGCTCACCCACAGACTGCCCATGCCAGGACCACCACCCTTATTGCCCCTGCCCTATTTACCCGCTGGGCTTGTGCCAGCCACAGCCAGAGTCGCCTCCAAGTCTGGAATTTCTTGCTGTCACTAAAGTTGAAGGCCATCTCCTTGCTGGCATATCGAGACACGAGAGGTGAGCGGTACCGGAGAACTTCTTCTGGGCCCGCAGCGAAGGGTGACGCGCTGCCAGTGATCCTAAACACCGGGTCGGCGCTTAAACCGCTGCTCGCGTCCATTTCGAGCCGATAGAAACAAGCCAAGGAGAACAAGCAGCTCGCCACCTCCAAGATGGCCGTCACAGCATGCTGCCTGTCACATGTGGTGGGCCCAAGCGGCCATCTTAGCGGTGGCAAAAAAAAACAGAACCATGCTTATTCTGCATTCATGGAACTGCTGATTGTCTAGAACGCAATGTAACCATGGCAACCGTTAGGCTAACCTGTGGAAATAGGTGTTTGTTCGTGAGATAGCTTAAATTTTTAAAGCATAATGTGAATTGAATAGAAATGACAAGATGTGGGCAAAAATATCTTGGTTTATCTGGATCATCTAACTCCGTTATTGTCACAGATTTAGCTTATTTTAGGCTCAAAACATACAGTCTCGGGAGAGAGAAAGTACACCCTCTTTGAAGTCTATAGTTTTAGATATCACAACATAATATCACACATGGCTTTATTTTCGTTAAATAAATCATGATACTGTGTAATACCTCGTGTTATTGTGTTGTAAGACCTGCTAAGGAACAGATTGTTCTTATGTTCTGATAGTTAAAAACATAGAATTCAAAGAGGGTGTACTTTCTTTCTTTCCTAACCCCCACCCCAGTTTTCAGTTATGCAACTTTGGTCTAAAATGTTAAATTCACATTCATGTCTTAAAAGTTCACATTTTAGTGAAAAATCCTATAAGGAGATCTGTGCAGAATTGTAGATGGATTTCAGATTTTATGGAAAACTAGCTGAAGTGGATATAAAACGTCCAACACATCTGCGTCAGAATGTTTTTGTCCTGCTCTCTCTGTTGGCCTACAACTTGTAAAGGTTATGCAAAGTATCATCAGCCACCACAGTCCATTGCAGTGCGTGTGGTGCTATGATTCTATAGGAATTGTGCTCAATCATACAGCCAAGAGAATGTCCTTCCGGATTGCTTTGTTGCAAAGTGCAAAATGGAAGACAATGCTCATTTATGAGAGGTGAATGCTGCACCTCTGGCCTTTCTTCCAACGCTTCTCGCTTTGGGAGGTATTAGATTAATACCTACCGTCTTCCTCACTTTCCAGCGCTGTCATTCCAGGAAGTCGGTGGGAGTTACAACATTGTAGTACCAACTCTTGCTGCCACCCCTTTCTAATGCAATTGGCGCTGCAGGGGACACTTCCCCAAGCAGGATATTGCTCCGTAATGATATTGGCATACTGGCTTGTAGTTTTGCTACCAACTCATCAGTTTTAGAATGTCCTAATATACCCCTGTAAATGTGAAAAATACTTGCTGGGAGAAAATCTCTATGACCGAGAGCAGAACTGCCTGTAGAAGGATTCTCCTGCTCTTACCTGTCACTTAAAGGAACGCTATAGGGTCAGGAACACAAACATTTATTCCTGACCCTATTGTGTTAAAACCACCATCTAGCTCCCTTGCCCCGCTATATATATAGTAAAATCTTACTGGTATTAAGTAAGTGGCCTGGGTGCTGTGTCCCTTTTACACTTAGTGCTGCTATGTAACACATTGCAGGTCCATAGAAAATCCTGTACCATGGACTGGAGAGGAGTTCAGCAACGCTACACAGGGGAGGTGAGGAGAACACACAGGGGAAGTGAGGAGAAAACACAAGGGGGTGGGGAGTGAGGATAACACACAAGGGGGGTAGGGGAGGAGTGCGGAGAACACAGGGAGGGGGGAAGAGTCCACTGCGTGAGGGGAGTCGTGAGGAGAATGGGGGGAGGGGGGGTGAGAGACCACTAAGGGATGGGGGGGGGATGAGGAGAGACCACTGGGGGGGGAGGAGAGACCACCAAGGGGGGCTGGGGGGAGAGCAGAGACCACTAAGGGAGGGGTTGGAGAAAGAGACCAACCTTACACATAAAGACAATGCATTATTTGCACACATACACAGAAACACACAATGCATCCCTTACACACAACCAGAAACACTGCTTTCTATCCCTTACACAAAAACACACTGCTTCCACTACACACAAACTGGTATCCCTATACACTACATTCCATAAGAACACACATTAGATCCTCTACAATAACACATAACATCCCCTACACACTCCACTGCCTGTGAGCGAACTCATGAGTGGAACATGTAGGTGGACTTATGGGTGGGCCTTATAGGCATACTCACCGTCAGGCCCTGGGGGCCCAGACCTTAAACTGTGTAAGGGGTCCCAAAAAATGGAGCTGCTTCCTGTTCTCCCAGAACATTACATTTTGTGACCACAGTTACAAACAGCCTCCAGAGATCCTGTTCTACACCAGACCAGTGGAGCCAAACTGCAGCCAGAGCCCATCACCATCCTCATCTAGTTGTAAGTAGGCAATCTAGTATATTATTAGTGACACTAATCTATAATTTACCTCACATTAAAGGGACACTATAGTCCCCAGAAGCACTGCAGCTTAATGAAGTGGTTCTGGTGTCTATAGCCTGTCCCTGCAGGCTTTTTAATGTAAACACACACTGTGTGCAGCACTGGCGTTAGTCCATATGGCATTCTCCTCACCCCTCCCCTCACTCAGTGGTGGACTCTTCCCCCCTCCCTGTGTTCTCCTCACCACCACCCCATGTTCTCCTCCCCTCCCCCTCCCTGTGTGTTCTCCTCACTCTCTTCCCCCCCTTGTGGGTTCTCCTCACTCCCTCCCCCCTTGGGTTCTCCTCCTCCCCATGTGTGTTCTCCTCACTCCCCCCCCCCATGTGTGTTCTCCTCACCTCCCTTGTGTAGCGTGGCCGAGCTCCTCTCCGGTCCGCGGTACAGGATTTTCTGTTTCCTGTACCCGGCCGGACCGATAGGAAGTGCACTTCCTATCAGTCCGGCCGGGTACAGAAAACAGATGTTCCTGTACCGCGGACCGGAGAGGAGTTGAGCCACCCACGCTACACAGGGAAGGGGAGGTGAGAGAGAGGCAGTGCTGCAGCCGCCTAAGGCTCTCTATAGAGCGCTCAGGCGGCTGCAGCATTAGAAGGGCCGGTGTTCTATCAAAATCCCCTACCCTCGTCACTTCTGGTGAGGGAAATCAACTGGATCCTGTGCTGCACATGTGTGCTAGCACTCCTGCTACTCCTCCACAGCAAATTCCTGGAAGGTAAGTAAAGCTAGTAGTTTTACACTTTCATTATAAGGGTTAAAATTAGGGTTAGGTAAGTAATTTTAACCTCTCTCACACTCTATTCTTACCCTAACCCTTGAGGTAAGGGTTAAAATAAAGTGTGAGAAATCACTATTTAGTGATAATGCCCTAATGTGAAATATCACTAAGTATAAACAAATCCCTAATCCTAACCCTAAATGTCCCATATCCTAAGCTTAGTGAATGCACTAACTATAATGAAAGTGTAAAACTAGCTTTACTTAGGGGTAGAGAATTTTCACAGGTAGGGAAATTTGATAGAACACCAGCAATGGGGGCGCAGGGCGCCCCCTCCTATGTGGCACCCTATGTGGCTGCCTAGTTCACCGTATAGGAAGCGCCGGCGCTGACTCAAGGGAGGCAGGGAAGTGCAGAATGAAGCCTGGGAGGAATCCTGGATGACATGTACCTGGTGCTCATGTTCAGAGAGATGGCAGTATGGCACCATATACTGAAAGGGACGTTTCACTTCCCCGCAATGTAAATGTATGCTGGACCCACCCCAGTGGGCATGTCACTCCTCTCTCTTCCTATAAAACCATCCCAACCTTCAGTGCATTGCTTGGATGGTAATGGAGCTCCTATCTGTAGACTTGTGTCCTACTGTGTACAACCATTAAGTGATTCTCTGTGTACTGACTCTTATGGTATGAAGTGAACTCTGAACCTGTTCTGCCCCGACCAAACGTTTTCCTGCATGACCTCAACTTTTGGATTCCCATACCTGTTTGATGCTTTTGAAACAAATAAGACTTTTCTTAAAGTGACAGCACCCCTTTTGCAGTCTCGTGCCTTCTGAGCCCCTCCCACCCAAACCATGACAATGTATCAACAATAAAGGAACAGATGATACATATATGTAACAGAGATATGATCTAATATCTAGATAGCAGACAAAAAAGGGGACGGGGAAGATTACTAAAATATAAAGAGTAGGCAGGAAAATGGGTGAGACAGACATACACAATGCTAAATGAAGTTGGAGGGGGTTAGAACAGAGTAAAAAAATATATATTTAGTATAGTGAAAGACACAGAGAAATATTGAGATAAACAGTGAGATAGGCTGAGTGTAGAAGAAAGCAGAGAAAGATGAGATGGGAAATTAGATTAAAAACCTAAACCGGGAAGTGTGTCTAAATGAAATCATGTGGAATACAACCAACATCTGGCTGACAAGAAAGGACAACAAGAAGTCTTTTAATAATGAAGATATTGCAACAGAAGACTTCTGAAGACTCACATGATTATCTAATAATTCTCACTTGTAATGCCTCGTTTAAAGCAGTAAAGCAGACTATTGAGGAGGTGAAGATGAACATGAAAGAGGAAACTGCCTTACTACTACTGTCTCTTATATGGAACATTCCAATGTGAGATTAAAGATACTTTCTTTCCAAAAAACAAATCAAACCCTTTTCAATTTGACAATTTTTATTTTTCATGTATAGAAAACATAACGGGGTACAGAAAATAAAGGGGGGTGGGGTTACAGGCATAGGTATAGCTTGGGTTGCATTGTATCACAGAGTGTTGCGGAGTCACCCCTTTGGTCGTGTTATACCTCCAGTCAGCAGTTGTTTTATTGAGAGAGCATCGCTACAGAACCTGAAAGTAATGTCAGGTGTGTGGTCGGTCATATGCCTCGTCGTGTGGTTCTGTGCGGTATGATTTGGGATGGGGCTGTAGGAGGTGTGAGTTTTATTGGGGGGAGGGAAGAAGGAGGGGGGGGGGGTGTTGCTCCACTTTATGTTGAACTAAGCTCAAAATGGTCCGTCAGGTTCGCTCCTCAGGTTTATTCCCGTTGTGCCTATGTCTAACCTGTGTCTTTTAACCATCCTCCCTGTGTCTATGTCTCCGTGTGTTCTCACCTCTGTCCTTTAGTCTGTGGCTCTCCTGGCCCAGGTCTCCCATACCTCCCGCTTCCAGGT